GGCCAGTTGCTGTCGATGTATGCGCTGTTATTCCCGACACTGGTCTGCTACTAGGAGTTGCCCGTTTTCGGTGTGCGATGTGTGCGGGGCAGCAACTCAAAGGCGACGGATATAATGAGTTGCCAGTCTGATGTACGCTAGGCAAAAGAGATGACATGAGAACAGTGACAAGGACAAGTGTGAGAAAGTTCCCTCTCTTCACACACCTGGCTCTGGGTCTCACAGGCAATCAAAATACAATGTCAAAGAAACATGTTTTTTTGGATCTGAACAACAATTTACCCACATTGAAGCGTCTGGGTCAAAATGACCCGCAACATCATCTTTGTATACAAACTCTGCACAGACATTCCACTACACATCAAAGTGTCCAGATTTTACACACCAGTTCATGACCCTAGATGAGGAAAAGTCACCAAATTTCAGCAAGAAAAAGAAAGGATAACCAGTACTTTGATCAACTCAAAAACTGAAATGGGTCAAATTGACCCTCAACATAATACAAGGGTTATGGCATTATGTATCACATGATATAAAAAGGGAAAATTTCAGAGTTGACTCGGAGATGATTAGCCTGTTTATCAAGGCCTATCAATCCAAGCTAAATAAAAAAATGATTACGTGCATCTATACTGAGATAGAAAACCTGAAAAATGAAGATACACAATATATAAAACGTAGATGGGAAATTGAAGCCAATATTCATTTGACACAGGAAGAATGGGATGAGACCAATGAGCAGGTGTGGAAGACAACATGCTCATTAATGTGGAGGGAACATGGCTGGAAAAACATAGTGAGATTTTTCCGAACTCCAGCTCAAACAAAATACACAGACACAAGCTGTTGGAGACAATGTGGAGAAAAAGTGGCAAATCATGTGCATATATTCTGGTCCTGTCCCTCAGTGCAGAGATACTGGAAAGATTTGAAGGCATGTATGGACACGGTTTTACGTACGGATTTGCCATTTACATTTGAATTGTTTTATTTGGGAAAACTTAATGTGAGACTTAAAAATTATTTGAATTTGAAGTTGTTTAGAATTATGCTGTTAGCTGGGAAAAAGGGTATCACGCGAAATTGGCTGAAGGTGAGGAGCCCATCCAAAGAAAATTGGTTAGAGGTGATGAAAGATATTTTTACAATGGAGAAGATGACCGCAAGTATAAGGCTGGAAAGTGAAAAATTTGAAGAACTATGGAAACATTGGCTTAAATTTGTGAGAACGATAAGACAAGATTTTATTTGAAAGAGAATTTTAAATCCCCAAGTTTAGTCATGCTACTTTTGTGTGTTTGTGTTCTATTTTTTATTTTTATTTTTTTGTTTATAAAAAATGGGACAAAGTGTCAATGTATAATGTGAAACACTGTAATGTACATGTCATGTCCACGAAAAATCAATAAACAATAAATGTAAAAAAAAAAAAAGAGAAAAAGGGGAGGTCTCTTCATAACGCTATTTTAAGCCCTATTTGCATGGTGTGACGAGCGGGTCCATATCTAGCTGTGTGCGCCTATGTATCTGTAAACTCCGGGCCGACTCTCACGGCGCACGCGCCACATGTACGCACACACACATTTCCCCCCCTCCATTGATACGTAACATCCACACGCATCATCTCTCCCCTCTGTTACCGCCTGCTAGTTGCACACTGGTGCAGGTCAGAACTACATTGGAGCCTATATTTACACACACATACACACACACACACACACACGTGTATTGTACACACACACATACCGGTCTGTCACGCTCCTCTGTGTCACGCAGCCCAAAGGATCCTTGCAAATCCGCGGCTCCAGTCAAACCACGTGGAACATGTTTGTGTTTATGGTCCTTGGCATTAGATCAGCTCCACACACATCACTTTTAAACTTTAGCGGAGACCTGCGAGACGCGGCTCGTCACTCGCTGCCCTGACCATGGGAACGAGCCGTCTTTTGCTTAAAAATGCTTTAACCCGCAGCACAGCAGAATGGGAAGATTAAAACAGCAGTTCTGTGCGCAAAGGTGCCGAAGCTGTTGGGGGTTTTGGCGCCGCTGTCTCGGCTCTGACCCAGTAGAACACTCCGCTGCACTTATGAAAAGTACGTGGCTCGAAATGGCTGTTATTTCAATGAACCTGGGATATTTTAAACTACTCGGTTAACCGATTTCAACCGGTTAATGAGGCTCGGTGGTCGGTCATGAAAATTCATAGTTTTTTACATCCCTAGTTTGTACTTCAATTAATATCTACGTCAATGCTTATTTTGTGGCAGTGACCGGATTGATTATACTTACTGCAATCCATACTCGTTTAGTTTGTACTGTTTTACTATTGCTTACCTTAACTGTACATTTTCCAGTGTATGTAAAGAAACAGGCATACACATTGGGCCAAATCAAGCAGGAATTCTAAATGGTTAAAATGGCAAATTGATTTTATTATACAGAACAGACTAACTGCTGGCGTATTTATCTTTGCTCTTGATTCAGTAAAGTCAGAGCTATGGCTTAGTCCAATTCCAATGTGTAAAGTTTAACATAATATTCAGAGTTGAAAATTCCTCTCGGATTTGCCCGGAGTGACATTTCTCAGCTCATATTTGACTAAAACATTGTCGCGGTGCTGGTTTTCATTAGCAGTGGGAGCCGCGCAGCTGTTTTACACGCGGGGTCCTCTGGGTGACGACTTCCAAACATAGAGCTGCTGTTTTCTGCCTCATTAGCATCAAATTATCTGCAATTAGCCACTCACATGTTTGATCACCCGGCTTCTTGACTCTCTGGAAATGTGTGGAGTCCGGTTAGGTGAGTGAGGACCCATTGGAGAACTGATAGTTTTAGAAACATTAAAGAAGAATTATTATGCTTGATTTTTGGCCATTAACTCTTCCACAGTGATTAAAAGTAGACCCATGGGTTTAAATGACCCAGGGCTGGTCAAGTTAGGAAAAATCATAATAAATCAGCTCTAAGAACAAATATTTACGGAATTTTTTAATCACTGTGGGTGCTCATTTTGACCCGAGGATAGCACAAGGGTTGATACTTTTCAAATTGGGTTTTTTTAAAAATGCATACACATTTTGTCCTGTGCAATAATAGCGTGAGTAGATGCAATGTGAGTGTAGAGAACCTCCCAAGGGACAAGTAGAGCTGGGGTGTCACTTTCATGCACACGTGGCAGCAGATTATTTGAAAGCATGTCTATTAAATCAGACTATTCACTTTGTTGTTTTTTAGAGTGTGAAATCATATGTTGTAGAAAATATGACGGTATCGAGAGCAAAAAAATGCTTTGTGTCTGTAACCCCTGACTCTACCATCAGAGGGAGCAGTTAGATTTCACAGCACAAGATGAATGTACAATAATTCTAGACTAAAATAAAATAAAACTATAGCATTATAAAGAAGCAAATCTAAAATTTCCAACTTAATGAAGAAGCAAGATCTCTGACTTAAGCCTAATAAGGAAGGAAACAATTATAGCTAACAGTAAAAGAGCTGTTAGCTAAATGGCCTATGAACATGGCATTGGTTATTTATAACAATGCTTCTTGTTCTGTCCCTATGCCAATGTATGAAGTTTTGGACTTAATTTACTTATTAACTCATTCACTGCCCATGACGACAAAACTCGTCATGTTGAATAGTGACGCTCACTGCCCATGACGAGTTTGACGAGTTTTTCGTGTTATTACACGGGAGGCTGCAGTAATGTCTGGCGCACCTTGTTAATGACCCACAACACTGATATATAGTGCAAATGTACCTGTAATGATAAATCACCACCAGTAGGATGCAGTATTGCACCACAGGAGAGGTCATAAGTCAGTGGAGAGAAGGAGGAGGAGTGTGGGAGTGTCAGAGAGCGTGCTGCTGTAGCAGAGCGTGCTGCTGTAGCATTGAGACGGATCAGCGATCTAGTTTAGCGATAGTATAGCAAGAGTGATGGCGAAAAAGAATAGTTATAAGCAGCTGACACTGCTTCAGAGATTGACTCGCGGATCAGTGAGTGAGGTCGAGAGGGGAGAGAGTGGAGACCCCGGTGGAGGTCCGTCTCTGCAGCTACATTTGCGCGGAGCAAGAGCAGAGAGACACCTGCCGCCTCTCGCAGCGTATCAGCTGCTGTTGTTACTGATGCCTCGGATTCGTTCAGCAAACCTGATCATGATTTATCGGACACACTCACAAACACTCACACGCACTCACTCACTCACTCACGCACACAGACACTCACTCGCACACTGACATTCACACACACTGACATTCACACACAGACACTCACTCACACAGACACTCACTCGCACACTGACAGTCACACACACACACACACTCAAATTCACATGCTTCATTCTATTTTATACATCTATAGTTTTATTGATCTTTGTGTTGTTGTTGTTTGACGTTTTGGTTGATGGTATAGAAGAAAGTTAAATTTTCTATCTGTGAATAAATTGCCAACAATTTGCCATCAAAAGTATTATTTCAGAGTCATGTTTTTATAATTTTTGTAATGGAACAAGTGTGAAGATGTTTTGAGTTGTCACTAAAGCAGCAAAAATGCATCTAAAAGTCTCTTTTCTGCTTGATATGTTCCTGTTTACATAGAGCTCGTTTTCTCTATTTTCTTGCTCAGACCAGGTGTTATGGGTGAAAGTATGCTTTGTTCTATGGCGAATAACGCAAGAACGGTAAGAGGTAGAAACAAACTGTTTTTTTCAGAGTAAAGCAGAGAGGTGAATCTTTAATTTGGTGCCCTTGGTGTTTACATCGTCCAAAAAATGAATATTCTGTGGCACTTCAAAGTTGGGTCAAATCACCTGAAATTGCTGGCAGAATGCACTTCTCAAATCTGAAAATGCCTGGCAGTCAGTGAGTTAATAAACTAATTTAGCATTGAGTTTTTAGCTTTGTGACAACCCTAGTGTCCACTCTTCTCTTTTTTTTCCTGCATAGACTATAGTATGCTGTACTGTACTAACACCACTTGTTTGCCTCCTCTGCAGGGCACCCGTCATGTCTGAAGTTCTCCCCAGATTTAACATGCAACGTGAAGCGACTCCGGTGGCAGTGTATCGAATGCAAAACGTGCAGCTCCTGTCGGATCCAGGGCAAAAACGCGGTGAGTCTGATAGTTTTGATGTTGCAGCCTGCGAGTTAGATCGGCCTCAGTGGAGTTCCCCCAGTCGTTTTTTTTTTTTTGGCTTTCTAATGCCTCTCCAGTGAACAATCGGGTTTACTTTTCCTAAAGACTAGGACTCCCTCTGGGGTTTGGAGACCGCGTTCCTTCATATAAAGTGTGTGTGTAAAATAGAGCTCTCAGGCACAATTTCTAGCAAGACGCACATCACAGAGCCAGCTCCCCATTCGCCTGTTTGAGTATGTAGGCTGAAGGGCTGCCCACGGAACCTCATTTAACAGGTCAGAAAGACTGCCACTGCTATTAAAGGGTTTAACAAGTTCATTTAGCTTTCAACTATACTGCATATGTGCGTTTATGGGCTGTGACATTGAAATTAGTAACTGCAGTAAGTGGGTTATGCTGGCTCGACATGATACTGGCTTGACTTCTAATTACATTGGATTTCTCATAGTGAGTATATGTTTCATGTTATGTCAGCTGGAAGGATGACAAACTGAACTATAGTGTCATTTGTTGGTTCCAATGTGTTTTTATGGACAATTTGTCAACATTTATGGACATTGGTCATCTACCCCCTATGCACCATGTGAATACCGAGTACAAAATTGCTCAAAATTGGCATGATGTATTGTATTTTGAGCACATTCTGACTGCCTTAAAATAATATTTGCCAATGAGAGAAGCAAAATGATCATCACTCTTCACATTTGCACAACAGTGCATTTCTCAGAACAATTAGTACAAACTGCAAAACCTGCAAAAGTGCACGACTTTCTCAAAATGAAAAGTTGATTCCTTAAAAGCAAATATTCATGTCAATCAAACTGTCAAATGGCTTAGTCATGTTTCATTGTGAAAGTTTACTCTCTCTGTTTTCCAATGCAAAAAAGTCAGATCTTGGAGACTCTACCTGAAAATGCTTAAGATACACTAATGCACTTTACACTGTACAGCCGAAAACTACAGAAAAGTTACACATGACTGTATTTAGTGAGTAACTGAGTACAAGACATATGTGTGTATGTACTGTATGTATTTCACATAGTTAATGCATATGCTCTTTGCAATTCAAAAGCATTGTGCAAAAAAAAATACAGTCACTGTATTTATGTAGAACGAACATAAGAAATAGCATTATGGTAAAACTTTACACACATATAAACAATATAACAGTACATATTACTGTAAACAGCGGATGTCTTTCCTGGAAGGCAACAGATTTTGAGAACTAGTTCAACAATTTTATATGTAATGACTCAAGCAATGAAATGAGGACTATTAGTTTTATAGGGAATGAAGATTCAGCTTCATAAGTATGTTTCATTTTTACTGAAATGACATAAAATATAAGGATATAAAACAGCAGAGAATTATATGAAAGTAACTGATACAATGTCCAAAAGCATTTGACATTTGTTCAAAGGAAACTGCCCCGATGACTCAATGTTGTGGAGGTTGAACTAATAGTTGTGAGAACTTTCATTCTGATCTGAGAAAAGCCCCAAAGCAACTGCAAAAAACTGTAAAAAGATACAAGAAATATCTCCCTTGGAATGAGAAAATAAAACAACAGTCCTTGAAATAGGACTAAATCCTGTTGGCAAATCTTGATTAAAGTCAGAATGTGCTCAAATTAAGACAAAAACCACTTGATTTAAGCATCTATTACATATTGTATAACTCGTGTTTGAACTGTTTTATTCTCTGATCTGTGTTTGCGAATTCAACAGGGCGGCACGGTGGCTGAGTGGATAGCACTCTCGCCTCTCAGCAAGAAGGTCCTGGGTTCGAATCCCGGTCGGACCAGGGCCTTTCTGAGTGGAGTTTGCATGTTCTCCCCGTGTCTGCGTAGGTTTCCTCCGGGTACTCCGGTTTCCCCTACCACTAAAAATATGTACAATAGGTCTGACATGCGCCTCCTATACTGGCGACCCCGCTCCCATCTCTGTGTGGAGCGAGAGACAAATGCCCTAAAAATAACAATTGTAAACCGCTTTGAGACTCCGATGTGCAGTGAAAAGGCGGTATATAAATAAAGATTACTACTACTTACTACTACAACAGTTGTATAAAGTCCTCGGAGAGAACTGCTGTTGTGATTTAGATCTATACACGAATACATTGAATTGAATTGTTGTTTTTCATTCCAGGACGAGATGCTCTTCTGCGACTCGTGTGACCGGGGTTTCCACATGGAGTGCTGCGAGCCTCCTCTCTCGCGAATGCCAAAAGGTGAGCTGAATAAACGCGTTTAAGGACCACAAATCACAGGATTCCTCACAGTTCGATGGATGGACAGGGATGATCTGATGTCGCCAAATAATAATTGGTCCCGAATCAATATTTCATTGGGTTTGGGTCAGAGTAAAGGTTAGGGTTATGAGTCCAGGATCAACTTAGATAGACAGATAGACAGATACATACACACATACATAGACACATAGATACACAGATAGAGTAGATACATTGACAGATAGATAGATAGATGAATATTATTGATCCCACAAGGGTAAATTCAAGTGAGCATCAGTAGCCAATACAGAGAACACAAACCATAGACTACAAACCAAATAATATTATCCTTGTCCCACATTGGGGAAATTTCAATGTAATCGTTTTACAGCCACTACAGCAGAATATAAGCTGGAAATAAACAGGACACATCAAGCAGGATCTATTATTTAAGAGAATAATGATAAAATAAAGTAATATAATAATAGTAAAGCAGTGTACAGTGTGTGAATAAGCCTTCTCGCCGTGGATGCGTATGTTCTGAGACACAATGGTCACAATACTTGGAATAATCAAGATACCGTATTTGTGTACATCCAAACACAAACCCAATATTATACAAACATGATTCCTGCATCAAAAAGGGAAAGCTGTTACCCTGCTTGGCGTCTTCTTGATATATAGAGTGCTCTCAGCTCTACTTCACATCTCTCTGAAGGATGAGAAAGTGAAAGGGTTCAGGAAAAGGCACAGATGCATCCGATTCAGTCACAACAGTGGAACTAACAGAGAAATTCAACTTGTGTTTGATCCATCCTTCTCTTTCACAAGCGCAGTGAACGAAGTGTCTCTGTGTCCACGGTTTTTCAACACTGAACAGTTTTGGTTTTGAGGTTTATTGTATCATCAATTTTCAGGATTGTGTATTCAGTGCACTGCAAAAAGTGATGAAAAATAAGTAAAAAGTCTCACAAATTTGGCAAAATGTATCTTGATATAAAAAGATACAAGAAATATCTCCCATGAACAGAGAAAATAAAGCAACAGTTCTTTAAAAATATTGGCTTTGTCACATTGTCAGAATCTACTACAACAGTAGTTATCGTGGAAGAAATGCAATGATAATAAACACATCAAATTACAAATTAAGATTAAAAAAACATATTCTCATTTTTGCAGTGTGGTGGTGCCGTAAGTGTTCTTAATTATGTTGTCAATTTGGATCTAACATAGAGAATGTGATTGTTTCTGGATTTGTTTGTGATCCATGTATTGTGTGTGAGTCCGAGCCTTGTGCATAGATGGAAATTCAATCTGATAGATACAGTATTTGTCTGTGAGCCAGATGATCCTTTCTCCCTGTGGTTCACTGGGTCTACATCGACTCGAGGCCGGTGGGTTTCTCTGCTCATAGTCACACAGAGTCAGAGACAGTCGCATCGCCTCGCTTTCTTATGGATTTTCACTTTGTTCCGTATAATTGATTGTCATTGTGAAGCGGACGCGGCACAGTTAAAGGGGAATGTTTCAAATAAATGCCCGTCCCCTGCTCTTCGTCTTCTGTAGCCTGTCTCTCCTCCTCTCCTTCACTCAGCCTGCCCTTCTCTTCACTCTGTTCTGTGGTTTTTGGATGCCCTCCAGGGACGTGGATCTGCCAAGTGTGCAGGCCCAAGGAGAACAGCAAGAAGCTGCTTCACCAGAAAGCCCACCAGATCAAGCGCCGATATGCAAAGCCAATTGGACATCCCAGGAACAAGCTGAAACAAAGAATGTGAGTTACACAGTCGGTTTGGCTTGAAGTTATGGCTGTGATGAAAGATGAAAGAGCGATTTATTATGTAAACTCTACTTTTATGAGCTTTTTGCCTTGTAACAATGATCTCTCCTCTTGTTTAGTCAAGCGTGCGTTAGTACAAACTGTGCTTACCTTTAACCCTTTAATGTTTACTCCTTGAAGAAAGCAATGTAATTTTTGATATTTGATTTTGGATTTTCCCAGAGCACTAAATAAACTAAATAATTGTTTTTTTTTTTGTTTTTTTTTCTAACCCTTAGGTTTTTTTAAGTTACTGGCCTTAAATGGTTAATATGTAGTTTTGTGGTAAAAGTGCCTCAAACCAAGTGCCCCTATCTATAGAGGTAGATTTCAGTTCCAAGCTTCAAGTAGATATAGTGACTCAAAATCATTAAAGTTAAACTGGGGTATCTGACTTTTAAACCACAAAAAATGTAACTCTGTAATACAATCCATCTCGCTAGTTCCTCTCTGTTTAAAGCAGTTTTGGTGTGATTACTTGTTTACACATTTATTTTTTTGGCTTCAAATCAGCTTTTTTCAGACATGAAATCAATTAGTGACTCTCACAGCACTTTCTCACAAGTATGCAAAAGATAAACAATGTGTTATGTTTAGATGAAGACAGCATTTTGTGGTGTGATTTGTTCACAAAGATTCACTTTTACATGAACATGTATTCTTTGAGAGCAAAAGTTTGGTATTCCAGCTTTAATGGCTTTTTTTCTCATTTTCAAATATAATGACCACTGCTGAAGTTGAATGATTGTAAAATTATCACAAATAGTGCATAATATTCATTCTGTAAAACTGTAAGTTTAGCTGTAAGTGTTTTTTTGTCTGGTTTCCAAATCATTAGCATTGTTTAAACATGTCTTGGACTAGAGCAGGGGGCATAAGTTTACCCTGAGGAAGGCGAATTTCAACACCTTTTTTTGCCAAGCCAAGTATCCAAGCATTGTCAACCTGTTTAAATTAATACATATCTCTTTATTTTCACCTTTACTTCACCTTTTTTCTCTAACCAAACTTTCCCTCCGTGTCGCAGGTGTGTGAGTGGCGGTGGCGGCAGCTCGGCGACCCTGGCACCCGGTAGGGCTCAAAAGATTTCCGTCTGTTCCACAAATCCATCTGGTCATGCTGCATCTGTGACGGACACCAGGGGGCCTCGTTGTGCAGTCGAAATCACCTCCTCTTCCTCCTCCTTCTCCTCCTCCACCACCTCCCCACCTCCCCCTCTCACCTCCACCTCTCTCACCGTAAACAAGAAAACCAAAGGGCTAATCGACGGGCTTTCCAAATTCTTTACACCTTCCCCCATCGGACGCCGCACGCGAGCTGTGTCTTTAGACCAGACCCCGCCCCCCAAACTCTCCGCAGAATCCCCCAGCCCAGATTTGACCCAAAAAACCTCCTTGTCACTCCCAGTTACGCCCAACTCGCTGCCAGGCCTTAGCCCGAACGTGCAAGTCTCCAGCGGCTCGACGTCGGCTAACTCCCCCCAGAGCTCTTCCAGTCAGTCTAGCGTGCCGTCCCTGACTAGCTTGTGCACTAGCAGCCACGTTAAGGGCCTTTTCGACGGACTCTCTCACATATTTACCACACAGGGACAGTCACGGAAAAAGAGGCTGCCTTGCTATGCGCCACCCAGACGCAGAAAAAACCAAGCCGAGGGCAAAACGGGAACGGGGCGCCTCCACAAGACCGAGTTTAGCGCTAGCAAAAGCAGGCTGCCAGGATGTCCCCGAGGATATAAGGTGGTCAGTCATTTCAAGCGTAACCCCTTCCTTAAAAAGCACAGGACTCTAGGCAGGCTGCGCTATAGGGTGAGCCCACACAAGGGGGCGCTGTCTCCGGGAAAGGCAGACTTGAAAGACGGACAAGATAAAGCAGAGAATATCCATGGTAAGCAAGGAATTACCTGCACCGCGTGTCCTTACCCTCTTACAGGCCTGTTACGATAGTATTATTAATTGTTGCTCAGAAAACCAAATTGCTATTGTCATTTATAATAACCCTAAAGCAGTAAATTCTTATCTTAATAATACAATTTGGTTAAATAGGCTGCAAACGCTTACAAGTGCGACATGTAATTGTATCTGCCTCTCTCCATGGTAATGTAATTGCTTTGCCTGGAATGTTCCATACCAACACCCACATCCTCAAAACATGAAAAACAGAACATTTTACGTCACTTTAAAGCTATTGCAGACGGTCTAAGACATGCTAATCAGTGTAAATATGAAAGTTTATTAGCGCTTATCATTACCATACTTTGAGGTATAGGTCCTATTGACTTCCATTGAAAAGTAAACGATACCTCAATAACAGTTTCTGTCACACCATTTTTGGGCTTAAAAATTCAAAGTTTAGCATTCTCTATGATCCTGGTGTCCTCAGTTTAATTCCAATCGGAGCCTTCATTCATCGGGCTAAACTCCCGTTAGACTTAGCAACACATTAGCCAGCACCCATACTCTACAGTTTACGGTTCAGAGAGGGTTTGCCATCACTGTAAGCTAACAACAGCTAGCCACATTAGCTACACACTTCCTGTTTTGCTGAGAGAATGTAGAACGCAAAGAGAAAAACTTTTTTGACAGTGAGAGTTGCTTTGACAGCATATCTAACTGAGAACAAACTAATTTTCATCCGCTGCGTGACTTTTACTTGCTACTCATCTGTTTCTAAGTATGTGACATCTGCAGGCAACATTACATTTTAGAGCGGTGATGACAATCCCAATATGCAGTAAAATACATACAGTAAAATGAACAGCTTTGATGGATTTAATATTGTGGAACATTCCAGACACAAGTAAATACATCTCCAGCAAATCAATAGGTGGCTGACAAGTTTGAAAGTCTATGCAGGATGCAACGAAAAATATTCGAAAAAGTCGATATAGTACTTATCATGACAGGCCTGCCCTATTTTAAGCTTCTTTGACTTTTGTTTTGGTTGATTTTCTTCGTAGACTAGAGCTAACCCAGCCTACTAATCCCCCCATTTTGTTTCCTAACCCAAGTTACGTTGCGTTTTTTGACGTTTTTGGCTGCGGAATTTCCACGTAGCTTTGCCATTCTCTCCTCTCGCCGCTCGTTCGCTTCTGTCACTGTGCATGGCCCCTCTAACCTCCTCATAATGAACCCAAAGACAGGAACCTGGACTGGGGAAAATATTTGAAAGAAAATTAACCAAAAGGTATGGTGGATAGCCGGGTAATGCGAGGTTGACAAATGCAAGTCATCTTTCGAAAACTATAAAAATTTGATTTCTCAATTAGTTAAGATCATATAACAGGTTGCATTCATGTTGGAGGATTATTTTTTCTCTTGGAGGGCAGGTACTAATACAACTCAATGGGGAAGAAGTTATCCCAGACATCACCCAACTTCTAGACACCTTCACCTGAAAAAAAATAGGCCTTAGTTTATATGCATTGACAAATAAGGTGTGACAGAGATTTTTTTAATATATTTATTTTTGAGATTTTGCCTTTAAAGTTTGATTGGTCAAAAAATGTCATAATTCAAAAACAAGGCAACAATTATAATGCATTGGAAAAAAATTACACCCAAATAATAATCATGAAAAAAAATAAGATTAAAGACTAATAATAACAATAGTAATGACAGAGAATTTTAAGATTATTCTGCTGCCCTCCACCCCAGTTTCAAACTAAAGGCTCTTTGCAATGTTGTGATATCACATGAACGCAACCTATTAGTGCAAAATCCATGAAAATCCTGATGTTATGCAATGACAAGGCATAGAACTTGGCTTCCCTTGCACCGTTTGTTCCTGGGTCCACCCGGTTCCTGTCTTTGGCCCCTCTCCCCCTGATGTTGTGGGTGGGACGGCATCATCCACTGCTCCCCCTTCTCTCCCCCTGCTCTCTGCACCACCACACTGTCCACACCACTCAACTCAAGTTACATAAAGACACACGCAAGCTGTAGACTGGAAGAGAAATCTACGTCAAAGCAATGTCTCCGAGCACTATGCCAGAACTAAAAGGGGTTCTATTACAAGCAATTAACTTTATAGATGGGTAGATTTTTTGCTGATCAAGTTAAAAACATGGAAGGAATTAAAAAGTTCAGAGTTCACTTGTGAAGAAACGCCATTATTATCAAAAGGAAAATACTTTTTAACTTTCTAAATCAGGATATATCATTTCACTTATAAATCCTAATCAACCTCGGGTTAAAGTAGTGCTCATATAAGTGTAGAATATATGATTACTGCTGAAGTAAACCAAACTAACAAGATCTTTTGTTAATATTTGTGAAAGTGCTTCCAGAGAGTGTGACTACAGGTTTTCATTCCAACCAAGCAGGAGCATACAAACCTCAACCCATTTCCTCAAGTCTCAAGGCTAAGACTGGATTGACACCCCTGGTCAAGACATTGGGCAAATGACCAATCTCGTCCGGAAATTGGTGTTTTTTAAGTGAATACCACGTCATCTCCAGAATCTCTGGTGTTCCAATCATGTGTTGTGTTCACTATTCGAGTCAAGAGGCTAATTGATGATTAGAAAACCCTCGTGCATCTATGTATAATTTTCTCGCTAGGCTTAAAGTATTGACATTATGGCCCTTAGACTTTGTTTTTGACTGATAAATTGGACTGCCTTTCACAATAATATCAATTCAAGGCATTGCAAGTTTATTTGTTTAACAATTCATACACGGGGCACTACTTCACAAAAACAAGAGGGAGAGCATTCAAATCATAAAATGAAAATCATAAATAATTGCCCAAATGACATTTAAAATAGATCATTATATGAGACTCTGAGAGAGAGGTATTCAGGCCCATATTTTGCGCTAATTGTTTATCACTGTCTGTGGAACCTTTTGGGTGACTGTTTTTGACCCATATTTACCAAAAAGCTGGCATCTGGTCCAAGAAGATTGTATCCTAGCTTCAACGAGGAGGAGAATCTCGGGTTTTAATTTCCATCTATCTAATGTAAAAATCCGAATATTACACTTTCATTGAGTAATTTGTTCTTGAGATAACAGCGTTGAGTGAATGACTTCTTGAATGATTTCACAGCTGCTTAAAATAGATCCTACTTTTGATGTAATTAGCAGCAATTTCTAATCAAACGTCAATAAACCTCTTCATCTTCTTTAGCGATTCCAGCTTGAAGTCGATGACAGATTTTTGAGTTTTCTCTCGCTCTCTCTCTCTCCTCACGGGCTTTAAATAGATCCCGTTTGGTGGTGATAAACGATGAGCCATTGATGTGTGTTCTTAAATTACTGGCTGGCGCTCTGAGATCTCTCGCTTCCTGCCCTCTCCGCGCTGCATCCGCTTTCGGTGACTAAGCGGTTATGCAATTAGAAGACTTCAGCTTCTGCTCATTACATTTGGGATCCTCACATAAACATGCAAAGGCGACACATTACGGGAGTCCGTCGAGATTTCGGGCGCTAATGCACTCTCTGCATTTGTTTAGGCTTTAGGTTTTTTTATGTAGCACAGTTAAGATACAAGGCAACTCCAACAAAACAAGATAGAAACAATACAAATCATTTAAATTATAAATGATCACAGTAGATTCAAAATAATAAAGATATAATCCTTCAGTTGAATGCACAGCTAAAGGAAACATAATTATATAGCACAATTCATACAGTAATGGAACTTAATTACTTTACAACTGATTATAAAATGTTTGAATACTGCCGTGCAAAAATGCAGCTAAATGCGCCAGAATTAGCCAAAACAAAAATGTGTTGTCATTTAGAGGGAAGCAAGAAAGAAAACATAGAAGTCATAAAAACAGAAAGAATCAAAAGAATATATATGTTTTATTAATGTTTTATTTATTTTTCCAAACCGTGATACGAACATGATTTATATATTTTTTTATATGAATTAAAAATATATTTTTTAAATTAATTAAAAATATATTTTTCCGAATCCTCAGACTGTAACATCATGGTTCAAGCCAAGTTCAAGCATTGCATCTAAATAAGCTTCGGTAATTTCTCCAGTCAAGTTAGAATCAGATCTAAATCGTGAGGAATACGATTTCTCACATCCGCCACTAACGCTTTTTTTTGCACTTTCTAGTCAGCTCTTACTCCATTTGTTGCTTTTATTCATCTATTTTCAAGTGAAGAAATTATTAAACTTTCAAATAACAGGAAATGACTTGAAAGTAGATCATCTTAAAAAGCTTAGGTGACCACAAATGTACCATATTAGTTCTGGGACCTTAACTCTAATACTTATACGCACATATCTATGAGATTACAATGATATTTTTTACAGATTAGATTTATTGTACATTCTGTATACATCATTTGATTAAACATTTTCCATCATGCTTAGCTCTTTAAACCCCATCACAACATTATAAATATGATTAGCATGACCCAGTCCAAACACATTGAGCGATTACTTGATGCCTACATTACCGGCTTCTACAGTACTAACCCACACAGGTCAGTGGTGCATGTTTTTGCTGTATAATGTTGTGTTGTGTGTCGTGTGGTCGCGCAGGGCTGAACGGCGAGTTGCGGCTGAAGAAGGAGGTGCAAGCGGCCGCCATGTCTCGAGAACACGTCAACGAGGACGACGTCGAGACATTCTCCAGGGTACAGGAGCTCGCTACACAGGTGAACTATTCAAATCAAAAAATGATAAAATATGAGGTATTATAGGCTTGAATTGAGGGGTTTTGTCCTAATTTGCATTCGGACTGTCTTAAAACAAGATATAACAAAGGGACCCCGGCATTTAGTCTTATTTCAAGAACTATTGCTTTATTTTCTCATTCCAAGAGAGACATCTGAGACATCTTTCTAAAACAAGATCATTTTTATTGTCCCATTTGCAAATCTTGTTTTAAGGCAGTCAAATTAAGATGCATTTAGCCAAATTTTAGCAATTTTTGACTTAGTTTTCATCACTTTTTGCACTAAACGTTTAAGCGCGTATGATTGGCAAGACACCGTTTTTAAAATATATCATTAGCGTATAATTGCTCTTGAAAGTTTTTCTAAGATTTGTTTTTGTGGTGGTTTTGAAAGACAAGTTAATACATTTAACATGCCTTTCAAAAGAACCACAAAAAAACATTTGAACTCACGACAAAATGTACCTTTTTTTTAACTAATTTTTGTGCTTAAAACCAACTGGATTTCAGCACTGATTCTAGCAACCCACATGAGAGACTCTAAATCACTGCAGCTATCATGTCTAATGTTAGAACAATCAAGAAACGCTGGAGAGACTCATTGTTTAAGAAATATAACTTATTCTGAAATGTGTAATTGTTTTGGCAGAGACCCGGTGCTCTGGACAGCGACTCGATGAGATTTCCCTCCATCATCGAGTTCGGAAAGTACGAGATCCAGACGTGGTACTCGTCGCCGTATCCTCCAGAGTATTCGAGGTAGACTCACGATCATTTTCCAGATCAAATCATATCGTATCATATTGTAATGTCTGAAATATGTTGCGAGGATTAGCACGTAGCAGCAGGAGGCCAAGGCACAATTCTTTCACTTGGCAGACTTGGCTGTTTATTTAGCGAAGTTATGTCGTCCTTGATTAAAAATAGCTCCTCGCTCCTTTTGTCTCGTTCCCAGACTACAAAAGCTTTATTTGTGCGAGTTTTGTCTGAAGTACATGAGAAGCAAAAACATCCTGCAGAGGCACACGAAGAAGTGCGGCTGGTTTCACCCTCCGGCCAACGAGATCTACCGCAAGGACGACCTCTCCGTGTTCGAGGTGGGCACACGTTTCAATCTAACAGACTAAATATATATAATACAATACAATTATATATATACTGTATGTTATTGAAATATTTGTTTACACTTATCACAACATGAAAATCTGTTCTTCGGTCCTGGTTTTGTCCCATTTTTTTCCAAATTCAGTTCATAATTAATATTTTTTAAAGTTTAGGGACATTTTGGCTGTCACTACCAATTATTTCTATTCAAGGTTGAGATTTTGTGAACACATTTTAGTTAAATTTTGTGACTGGATATTAAGTTATTTAGTTAGAAAACAGTATGAATAGTAAAAAAGTATGAATATATAGATAAGATATTGACACAAATTAGAAATTGTATAGTCTTTTTAAATCATTTTTTGTATAATCAGAATCAGGATCATTTTTATTGCCATGTAAGTTAAAAGAAGTCACAGAGTTCTTAAAAAGTCAAAGTAAAAGTTCTTCTCTCCTTATTCTGAAATGTCTTAAGAATGTGTTTTTGTGTCTGTACAGCCCTGATAATAATTATGAACATTAAACACGCTTAACATAACATACCATGGTCAGTGAGGAGTCCAATGCAAACTACAGTACCTCATATGTTAAATTACAGGTTCCATATCACCTGCGTATCGCCATAGCAACAGACAACAATGAGCACAAACTGTTATTATCCTTCGGTTTGCAGGATAAAGTTAGTTTTAAAGGTCTATCCTACAGCAGGATGTTGGATTAAGTTGCTAAACGAGTGAATTCTGAATGAAAAGACTTAACAAAAATCCAAATTGTGCCTAAACCAAGTCTTCAAACCACCACAACTAAATCAGGACACGCACATATACACTAATGGCTCTAATAGAAAAACAATAAAGTCCAAATATTAAACTTCTATATATTTGATAGCTTTAATTAGACATGGATTGTTCACCGCACCCGATCCAACCGGGTAATTTTTCAGCGGTGGCTTGGGCTTTTTCCACGTTTGGTCTCAACACTGTTTCTCTTTTAGGTCGATGGAAATGTCAGTAAACTCTTCTGCCAAAACCTCTGCCTTTTGGCCAAACTGTTCCTGGATCACAAAACACTTTATTACGACGTGGAGCCGTTCCTGTTTTACATCCTCACGCAGAACGACGAGAAGGGCTGTCATCTGGTGGGATACTTCTCCAAGGTACAGTCCCTCTGCTTCACTTTTACATGGACGACAGACACAGTGATGTACAGTAGTGATTTCATAGAATAAGGCAAGGCAAGTTTATTTGTATTGCACAGTTCATACTCAAAGCAAATGCTATATATGTATTAATGTAGTTATTTTTGTATTATTATTATTCATGTGTGTATGTATTCATTATTGTTATTATTATTATTGTTATTATTCAAGCTAATAGTGTTCCAAGACCACAAACCCCATCCCAATTTCTGAGGAAAGAGATAATTATAGCTGCTTTTTCGTTCAATCATGAAACAATAATATAATCTTGCTTAACAAAATAAGACAGAAGGCACTGACAAGGCAATATATATATACGGTAGGGGTGGGCGATATGGCCTAAAATTCATATCGCGGTATAATTTGGGTCATAGACGGTAGACGGTATATATCGCGGTATAATTTGGTGTGTGAATTTCAATATAGGTCTAGCAGGTTCTTGCATAAAATAGTCAAGATTGTTAATTATTTATATATTAGAATCTAATATATATATTTTTTGAGTTAGAAAATCAGTTGTGAGACGAATAAAGAGACAAATAACATACATTATTTATGTATGTTACAGTAAATACCATTCACTGTAAAAGCAATTTTTAAAAAGAAAAACATATGCATTCATTTAAAATATAAAAAACTCACAAATGTTGAAATCAAAGTCTGTAGGAGTTAGACATGGTCATTATTTATAGTGTCTGAGAGTTTTGTGCAGGTGCATGACTTCAGTAAAAGTTGTTTGTTTACAAAGCTGGTCTTGCCATTTGTTGACGCTCCCTATAAGCGCTTTTCTCTGCGCTGGATGATTCAATGGATTTTATGTTCATTAAAACAGGGCATTGGATTTGAACAATTGATGTAAATGGTCATTTAGGCACAAATAATTTTGTTTAACAAAGTAGCTTTCGTGAGATATTGACCGCGGAGGTCTGAATTTGACGCTAACTTTCCCAAACTTCTGCTGTGATGCTGCGGACACGGCACAAGCATGGATCTATTTTGGCTCACGCTGGCGCTTCGAGCCTACGCCCCTTTGACACTGATTGGCCAAAAGGTAGACTCTTAAACTGTGATTACTGTGTGTGTATTTACCTCTGCTGGGGCCGCTGTGACAACAATACATAGACAGAAACACTGTGTTAATGCCGTGCTGTTGTTCGCTGTTTCCAGTGGTGTCCAATAGTGCTAGGCTAATGCTAGGCTAATAGTGCTAGGCTAATGCTGCTGAATGCCGGTTTGTTTTGGTCCTTTCTGCTGGCGTCAGAGCCTGCGCAATTTAATGACATAATGACCTATCGCAATATGCCGGTATAACAAAAATCTCTACCGTGGGCCAAATTTATACCGTCTACCGCTTATACCGTTTATACCGCCCAGCCCTAATATACGGGACAAAAATGTAGGTACCCCAGCTTTAATAATAGTCCTTTTCAGCCGGAGTTAATCACTTTTTTATTACAGAAATCCAGTTTTAGCAGAGTTGTTCTGCCTGTTGTAGCAGGAGTGTACTATCTCCTCTGTCTGGTGCACACTTGGGTAGTCTTGCGCAGTTATTCCAATGTGGTTTTACTGCAAATAGCAAATAAATTCTTGAATCTTGAATTTATTTTTTCTCCTCGGCCTCTGACTGACTTGCAGGAGGAGACAGTAGTAGCCTGTGTGTACTGTACATATGGCCTTGTTAAAGAGCCCACACTTAGAGTCCACTAACAAACCCATGACCACATAGTGAATGAGTGGAGAGGGAATAGGGTGGATATTGGGACGCAGCCCTCAGAATAAGCCAGTAGGATTGCTAATATGATGGTGCGGTCTCTCTGATGTGTCGTGTCCCGCAGGAGAAGCTTTGCCAGCAGAAGTACAACGTGTCGTGCATCATGATCCTGCCTCAGCACCAGCGCCGAGGATACGGACACTTCCTCATTGATTTCAGTAAGTTTCCCGATGAGGCTTTTATACACCACTCCTTGAAATAAGATCCGGTGTCTGTGGTTAATCATTTTTTCTAATCTCTTGGGCAAAAAATGTCCTCACCTTATAATTATATGGTTGTTTGTTGCCGATGCAGGAGGGTCTAAGGACGGGGACATTTATTAACATTGGTCGTCTGTCCCCTATGGCTTCTATGTGTTTGTTATTATTATTATTATTGTTATTAAGATTGTATTTCCTGGGTTCAAACTGTTCTCTGATGCTGCACACACAAAATGTATTGAATTGAATTGATTTGAATATGATCCTAGAACTTAACTGATATTACGCTATAACGCTTTAAGTTCCCCTTGAAACCTGCTGTCAAGATCAACTGCTTTTCCTTATAAAACCCCTAACATTTTCCAGAATGCTCTAAATGTTATATCTAAGATAGGATATAGCGTCCATAAGCACAGCAGGAAGAAGAACATATTGGCAACTCAATTTCGACAAAAGTGTTAGATAGAACCTCTTAATTCTGGGATGAAGGGATGAATGAATCTATTTTTTAAAACAACTTTGTATATGCCAATGCCCGTTTAGAAAGTATAGAAAGTAATGCCCATATAGAAAGTATAGTACATAATAAACAATGGGAATAAGTAAGAAAGTCATATATAATCCTATCTCTTCTTTACAAAACAAAAATTAGCGTCCATCATTTGCTGCCCTCAAAACTAACTAATGTATTTTGTGTTTAGTTTTTGGACTTGCCTCGCTAACATATCTCGCTAAAATCCTTTCCTTTTTATACTGGTGTATTTCAAAGTAGACGTAATTCCTTGAAACAGGTTTAAATAAGTAAAACCCTCTTTGCCCATCAAATAAATTAAACTAGTCACTGAAGAATCCTCGCTGGATCATCCGTCAAAGAGAGGAAGAGTTGATTTTGCTCTTTTTAACAGTCCATTCACTTTTGTGTGATACTGAAACATCCTGTTAAGCACGTTCACACTACCGCGCTTACACAGTGAAGCCTGTGTCTTGGGGGCAATACTGGAATCCCTTAAGTCAAAAAAAAACTAAAAAATCGACTTTCTTTCCAACTCTTTTCTCCGCTCCGGCATCTTTTGTCATTGGAGCACTTTTATTATTATGAAGAGTTTCGGTAACGATGAAGGAGGAGAGCGTGCGTTTTTGGTAATGGAGCGTTTGATTTCCTCTTGAGTTTGGGGCCGCTGAGACGGGTGGAGATTTTGGAGAGTGGTTGATAACAAAGACAAGGATTAGGGCCGATTGAGCACAGCTGAGCTCCTTCACGGCCCGGCTGGAAACGCAGCTTCAGAGCGCGGGGATGGCGTCCAGCCGGGACTTATCATGGATTTCTCTTCATATTTATCTTGCTGGTTTTTCACCCCTAATACTGTTGTCAAGATGTTAAAACAAGTAAGGCTCTCAAATTGAATAAAACAAATGACTGTTTTTTTTTCTCTCACTTTAGTCAAGATAATAGGATTGTTGAACATTGTGATGTAAACGGCGCAAATAGCATTTATCAAACCATTTTTGTCCTTCTCTGTCTACATTTTGTGTCCGCAGTCACAGATAAGTATGCAGATTGTCAAACTAGCAACTGAATTCTAGTAGGGGTGACAGACTGGGAGTTGGCAAAAATGTGTACAATTCAATACGTGTTATAAACTTTTAAATAATAGAATCTCGGTCAAAAGTTAATTTATTTCTTTGATTCATACAACTAATATTTGATATGAACACACATTCTTGAACTATCACTATCTATCTGTCAATATCGCGTTATGTAATAGTATAAGATAAATGGCACATCCCATTTTGACAGATAACATTACTTTTAAGAGCTTTCCACCAAGTCATGATAATTTTCCCTTTTCATTTACAAACTCGAGCTCAGTATGACATTTAAAACCTTCAAAAATATATATGGATCACAATTTAATTCAATTCAATGTATTATTATAATGGCCTAAATCACAACAGTAGTTATCTCGGAGGACTTTACAATACCTTAATCTGAACTCGCCAACACAGATCAGAGAATCAAACCGTTCAAACACAAGAAATGTCATGATAAAAACACATAGAGCCATTTGGCCATGAGGGGCAGATGACCAATGTCCATAAGTGTTGATAAATGTTGTTAAATTTTGTTGAATATCGAGTGTCCTGGATCATTATCACTGATTCGTATTCAAAAAACCGCTCACAACTAAATAGCAAATTCTTTAAAGTATCCCTTAAAACCGTGATAAACTGTATAATCTAATTCAATCACCCACTTGACTCTGAAACGCAAATTCTTTTCATTTGGTTTTTGTCTAATTTTTTGGCTTCAACTTTAAACTGTCTTTACATTTTTAATAGAATGTGTGCTCTCCGCTCGCCGACCGCAGTATTGGTCCACTCAGTGCAAAGAGTGGGCGTATGGGACTTCAGTGAAAAATCCTCTCTTTCAGATCATTTTTCAAAGCCGGCGCCGCTGCTCCTTTGTTTCCCATTTAATAAATGCTAATTCACTCGTACAAAAAAACGACAAAATGAATTATGACTTTTACCAATTAATTTATTTGAATATTCAGCGGTGAGTGTTTGCTCCTCTCCGCGCGGTTAAATGAATATGCGGTGATTACTGTAACATTAGCCGTGCCGTGTTTGGTGATTAGATTGGCTTGTTTGGGCGCGTCGGTTTGCGGGTTGCACATTAAAACGCATTAATTAATTTCACACCGTCTGTTAATGGATGACCCTTGACAAAGCAGCTCGAGAAATGGATTACGCACAATGCATTTTTGTGTTCTCTCTTCTCTTCTTCTCTTTGTTTGTTATCTCTGCGGTCTCCTGGGGGAAAGTGGAGTCAACTGTGATTAACTAGTGCCGTTAGGACTAATGTCACAACGAAATACAGTTAAATAATATATCAATGCAACTGCTATTAAAATGGATAGTTATTACAACAATCAGCATAACATGTTGCTCTAAACCTTTTTCCTTTTGCCAAAATCTTTAGGCTATCTGCTCACGAGGCGCGAAGGACAAGCCGGATCCCCCGAGAAGCCGCTGTCCGACCTTGGCCGCCTGTCGTACGCGGCGTATTGGAGAAGCGTGGTGCTGGAGTTCCTCTGGAAGCACCGGCAGAAGCGCATCAGCGTCAGGGGTATCAGCCGCGCCTCCGGGATGTGTCCTCACGACGTGGCCGCCACCCTGCAGCAGCTCGGCATGATCGACCGGCGAGACGGCAGGTCAGAGCAGGGAGAGACCCAACGCTTTAGTCCAGGAGTTAGATGGTTTTAGAACAGGCTCAGGAATGCCACGGGAATGTCTAAGTTTCTACAGCTGCAGCAGGTCTCATGTGTCAGGTGACTTTAGGCTTGTTTGTTAAAGTTAGAGAAGGGGACCGGGCAATAAGTGCACTTCTCTGAGATCTTATGAAACTTGGGTCTCAAACGTTGCTGCCCAAATGATTTAGAAATGAAGAAATATAAATAATACTCCAGAATGTATGTTTCATAATGCCGCTACAACTGCCATTGTGAACTTACTAGTAATGTGATGATAAATTACTTGATAGTGACAGCGCCCACTATTATATACTGTATATATCTATTAAGTTTCTCCCTGAGCGCTTAAAGGAGGAACTGTCATCTGTCATTTTTGTCCTAAGGAAAAGGTTGGGGACCAATCAGTAAAACATACATTTGTCTGGTTTGGAGCTACATTTCAGCTGGTGGCACCCTGTTTTGGATCAAGGTTTTATTCATTAGTATTTCAAGATTTAAGAATTGATTTGCCATTTGCAGTTAAACCACATTGGAAAAACTGCGCAAGACTACCCCAGTGTGCACTAGGAGCTCCTGCTATTTGTCAGGAAAATGTACAAACTCAGTCTCATTTTAAACAAATTATCCTTAAATATGATTTCAAACTTCATGGTGGTTGAAATCAATGGTTCATTCGATCTTCAAAGCAGTGTCGGCACCAGGCAGAAAATGTAAAACTGTGTGGTTGTGTGCAACGGTTTTCAATCCATTCAGCCCCTACATCTAACTTCTATCATCATCACGACACAAATAATACCTGTATTTTAACATCTATAGAGCAATATGTGACAGTGCTTTTGCTGGTAGTAGTAGTCCTGCCCTGGTTTTATCCACCTTTCCTTTGACCTCTTTCAAGTCCCAGGTTTGACGCGTCCCAGACTTGCTTAAGACCGCATTTAGCCTCGGTTTGGTCCATGCTGGTGCTGCAGGTGATTGACAGGTGTACGCAGGTCAGCCCGCCCCCTTCACTCAGCCGCTGTGTGTGACTTATCCAGGACAAGGTGTATTTTTAACTGCATATCCATTTAATGCGGCCCAATATTGACAGAAGTAAGTCAGGTTAAGCACCCCAAGGACGCAATGTGTCTGTGTACAGCTGTCAGCCCACCTGTGCTCTTTTTGTACTATTAAGGCGCGTTCAGACCAAAAGCTTCAAAAAGCTTTTGACGCGCTTCAACTGACGCCGGGATAGTTTTGTCATTTTGGTGCTTGAAGCTTTTGACGCGAGTGACGCGCCTGACGCCGGTGGGAGGAGCTTCTCTGTTGCCTGTAGTCAGGACAGCGGTGGATTTTTCAATGAGCAGCGAGCCTTTATTTGTTATATAAAGCAAAATAACGTTGTTGTAGGGCTTCAACAAAACATGTTCTGGGTTCACCACAGACTTGAGAGGCTGCAGTGTTTGCAGAGTTCCGTCATTTACTCCAGGAGCTGCGTACGGAGGAGTTTCGCTTTCAGCGGTACCGCATGTCACTCGCCCAGTCTGAGTTCTCAAACCCCGGAGCTCGCCTCTCCCCGGCTCTCCCCGGCTCTCCCTGCCTCTCCCCGGCTCTCCCCGGCTCTCCCTGCCTCTCCCTGCCTCTCCCCGCCTCTCGCTCGCCTCTCCCCTGCCTCTCCCCGCCTCGCTCTCCCGGAGCTGCCTTGCTCTGAGCCAGACTCATCGTCAGCCTGTTCTTATTTTAAATAAACTACGTTTACTACACAGCATGTATACAATGATTTTTGTTACTCAGAATTTTACTACTCATACAAATAATATTACTAATAACAATAATGACAATAAAACAGCAGCAGCAGATACATGACTTCTCTTCATGACAGAGACAGACCCTCTGCTGCTGCTGCTCCTCGTCTCCTGATTGGTTGAAGCCCGCGTCAAAGCTTCAAAAGCTCAGCTTTGCTCAGCTTCGGCGTCAAAGGGTTTGTTTTGATACGCGAGCGTTTCGCGCGTCAAAAGCTTCAAGTGAGCGCGTAGTACGCGCGACTCTTGAAGCTTTTGACGCGCGTCAAGTGACGCCGGGGCTCTCGGCTTCACCTGACGCGCTTCACCATTCACTTTCAATGCAAACCTGACGCTTTTGACGCCGAAGTTAAGTCCGGTGTGAACGCCCCTTTAGACATCGGACATGGAGTGGCATTAAATTCTATGTCAAAAATAGAATCACTGCAATTCGAAAACAAAATCTAAAATAAAATTCCTTTAAAATAGTTGTTTGGTTTCTATTGACTGTTTTGTATTACTTAAAGTCTTGGTAAAAAAAGATTATGTCTATGGGTCCCATTCTGAACGGCCCTGTCAAAGGGACCCACCAGGTAACAAAAACGTGTATGTGTGGGTGTGCAGAAAGTGTTTTGAGAAAAAAACCCAAGTGTTTAGGCTGTAGGACCAGGCACACTTCGAAAATCAGACTAAGTGTTTTGAGAAAAAACCTAAGTGTTTAGGCTGTAGGACCAGGCACACGTTGAAAATCAGACTAAGTGTTTTGAGAAAAAAACCTAAGTGTTTAGGCTGTAGGACCAGGCACACGTTGAAAATCAGACTAAGTGTTTTGAGAAAATAACCTAAGTGTCTAGACTGTAGGACCAGGCACACGTTGAAAATCAGACTAAGTGTTTTGAGAAAAAACCTAAGTGTTTAGGCTGTAGGACCAGGCACACGTTGAAAATCAGACTAAGTGTTTTGAGAAAAAAACCTAAGTGTCTAGACTGTAGGACCAGGCACACGTTGAAAATCAGACCAAGTGTTTTGAGAAAAAAACCTAAGTGTTTAGGCTTTGAGGATCCCGGAAAGCGGGGCTTACTTCCCCCGGGAATGGGCGCCCAGGCCCGGATCTGAGCGGGAGCAAAGCCCGCCCCGGTGGTAGCCCAGGTCCGGAGGAGTGCGTGGGTGAAGACCCCGTGTCTCTAGCCCTCATGGTTCGTTTTCTACGAGCCATGTAAGCCGAGGTTCTCCTCCCCCAGAAGGAGCGCTCTTGGGCGGATGGCAGGCGCGCGGTCCCCCGGTGGTTTCCAAGGGCCATAACTTTCTGGTCCTTTGTCCCCCGCACGTCAAATTCACACCGCGGGTACCCCTGGACCAGGGGAGTCCCTGGGTCCAGACCGCGAGTCTCTGGGCCTCTGCGTTGATTTTTAACGAATTTCCGGAGGCTCTCCCTGTATTCCCAGGCACACACGCTTTTGGAGCTCAAGCCCCTTTTACGCAGGCCGTAACTTTTTTGTCTTTCATTTCCCATGAGTGAAATTCACGGAGGATGTAGCCCAGGTCCGGAGGAGTGCGTGGGTCCAAACCCCATGTCTCTAGCCCCCGTGGTTCGCCTTCTACGGGCCCGAGAAACCGCCACTTTCTTGACCGAGAATAGGCGCTCGTGAGCGGACACGGCCGCGCTGTCCCCCGGTGGTTTCCAAGGGCCATAACTTTCTGGTCCTTTGTCCCCCGCGCGTCAAATTCACACCGCGGGTACCCCTGGACCAGGGGAGTCCCTGGGTCCAGACCGCGAGTCTCTGGGCCTCTGCGTTGATTTTTAACGAATTTCCGGAGGCTCTCCCTGTATTCCCAGGCACACACGCTTTTGGAGCTCAAGCCCCTTTTACGCAGGCCGTAACTTTTTTGTCTTTCATTTCCCATGAGTGAAATTCACGGAGGATGTAGCCCAGGTCCGGAGGAGTGCGTGGGTCCAAACCCCATGTCTCTAGCCCCCGTGGTTCGCCTTCTACGGGCCCGAGAAACCGCCACTTTCTTGACCGAGAATAGGCGCTCGTGAGCGGACACGGCCGCGCTGTCCCCCGGTGGTTTCCAAGGGCCATAACTTTCTGGTCCTTTGTCCCCCGCGCGTCAAATTCACACCGCGGGTACCCCTGGACCAGGGGAGTCCCTGGGTCCAGACCGCGAGTCTCTGGGCCTCTGCGTTGATTTTTAACGAATTTCCGGAGGCTCTCCCTGTATTCCCAGGCACACACGCTTTTGGAGCTCAAGCCCCTTTTACGCAGGCCGTAACTTTTTTGTCTTTCATTTCCCATGAGTGAAATTCACGGAGGATGTAGCCCAGGTCCGGAGGAGTGCGTGGGTCCAAACCCCATGTCTCTAGCCCCCGTGGTTCGCCTTCTACGGGCCCGAGAAACCGCCACTTTCTTGACCGAGAATAGGCGCTCGTGAGCGGACACGGCCGCGCTGTCCCCCGGTGGTTTCCAAGGGCCATAACTTTCTGGTCCTTTGTCCCCCGCGCGTCAAATTCACACCGCGGGTACCCCTGGACCAGGGGAGTCCCTGGGTCCAGACCGCGAGTCTCTGGGCCTCTGCGTTGATTTTTAACGAATTTCCGGAGGCTCTCCCTGTATTCCCAGGCACACACGCTTTTGGAGCTCAAGCCCCTTTTACGCAGGCCGTAACTTTTTTGTCTTTCATTTCCCATGAGTGAAATTCACGGAGGATGTAGCCCAGGTCCGGAGGAGTGCGTGGGTCCAAACCCCATGTCTCTAGCCCCCGTGGTTCGCCTTCTACGGGCCCGAGAAACCGCCACTTTCTTGACCGAGAATAGGCGCTCGTGAGCGGACACGGCCGCGCTGTCCCCCGGTGGTTTCCAAGGGCCATAACTTTCTGGTCCTTTGTCCCCCGCGCGTCAAATTCACACCGCGGGTACCCTGGACCAGGGGAGTCCCTGGGTCCAGACCGCGAGTCTCTGGGCCTCTGCGTTGATTTTTAACGAATTTCCGGAGGCTCTCCCTGTATTCCCAGGCACACACGCTTTTGGAGCTCAAGCCCCTTTTACGCAGGCCGTAACTTTTTTGTCTTTCATTTCCCATGAGTGAAATTCACGGAGGATGTAGCCCAGGTCCGGAGGAGTGCGTGGGTCCAAACCCCATGTCTCTAGCCCCCGTGGTTCGCCTTCTACGGGCCCGAGAAACCGCCACTTTCTTGACCGAGAATAGGCGCTCGTGAGCGGACACGGCCGCGCTGTCCCCCGGTGGTTTCCAAGGGCCATAACTTTCTGGTCCTTTGTCCCCCGCGCGTCAAATTCACACCGCGGGTACCCGTGGACCAGGGGAGTCCCTGGGTCCAAACCGCGAGTCTCTGGGCCTCTGCGTTGATTTTTAACGAATTTCCGGAGGCTCTCCCTGTATTCCCAGGCACACACGCTTTTGGAGCTCAAGCCCCTTTTACGCAGGCCGTAACTTTTTTGTCTTTCATTTCCCATGAGTGAAATTCACGGAGGATGTAGCCCAGGTCCGGAGGAGTGCGTGGGTCCAAACCCCATGTCTCTAGCCCCCGTGGTTCGCCTTCTACGGGCCCGAGAAACCGCCACTTTCTTGACCGAGAATAGGCGCTCGTGAGCGGACACGGCCGCGCTGTCCCCCGGTGGTTTCCAAGGGCCATAACTTTCTGGTCCTTTGTCCCCCGCGCGTCAAATTCACACCGCGGGTACCCCTGGACCAGGGGAGTCCCTGGGTCCAGACCGCGAGTCTCTGGGCCTCTGCGTTGATTTTTAACCAATTTCTGGAGATTCTGTATTCCTAGGCACACAGGCTTTTGGAGGAAAAAATGACAAAGTGTCTAGCGAGCTCAAGTGCCTTTTGCGCAGGCCGTAACTTTTTTGTCTTTCATTTCCTATGAGTGAAATTCACGGAGGATGTAGCCCAGGTCCGGAGGAGTGCGTGGGTCCAAGCCCCATGTCTATAGCCCCCCTGGTGCGCCTTCTACGGGCCCGTGAAACCGCCACTTTCTTGACCGAGAATAGGCGCTCGTGAGCGGACACGGCCGCGCTGTCCCCCGCTGATTTCAGACCGACGTAACATTCCCGTCTCTTGTCCCCCGTGCGTGAAACTCACAGGGGTGGTAGCCCGGGCCAAGACGAGTCCCTGGGTCCAGACCGCGAGTCTCTGGGCCTCTGCGTTGATTTTTAACCAATTTCTGGAGATTCTGTATTCCTAGGCACACAGGCTTTTGGAGGAAAAAATGACAAAGTGTCTAGCGAGCTCAAGTGCCTTTTGCGCAGGCCGTAACTTTTTTGTCTTTCATTTCCTATGAGTGAAATTCACGGAGGATGTAGCCCAGGTCCGGAGGAGTGCGTGGGTCCAAGCCCCATGTCTATAGCCCCCCTGGTTCGCCTTCTACGGGCCCGTGAAACCGCCACTTTCTTGACCGAGAATAGGCGCTCGTGAGCGGACACGGCCGCGCTGTCCCCCGCTGATTTCAGACCGACGTAACATTCCCGTCTCTTGTCCCCCGTGCGTGAAAATCACAGGGGTGGTAGCCCAGGTCAAGAAGAGTCCCTGGGTCCAGACCGCGAGTCTCTGGGCCTCTGCGTTGATTTTTAACCAATTTCTGGAGATTCTGTATTCCTAGGCACACAGGCTTTTGGAGGAAAAAATGACAAAGTGTCTAGCGAGCTCAAGTGCCTTTTGCGCAGGCCGTAACTTTTTTGTCTTTCATTTCCTATGAGTGAAATTCACGGAGGATGTAGCCCAGGTCCAGAGGAGTGCGTGGGTCCAAGCCCCATGTCTATAGCCCCCCTGGTTCGCCTTCTACGGGCCCGTGAAACCGCCACTTTCTTGACCGAGAATAGGCGCTCGTGAGCGGACACGGCCGCGCTGTCCCCCGCTGATTTCAGACCGGCGTAACATTCCCGTCTCTTGTCCCCCGTGCGTGAAACTCACAGGGGTGGTAGCCCGGGCCAAGACGAGTCCCTGGGTCCAGACCGCGAGTCTCTGGGCCTCTGCGTTGATTTTTAACCAATTTCTGGAGATTCTGTATTCCTAGGCACACGGCTTTTGGAGGAAAAAATGACAAAGTGTCTAGCGAGCTCAAGTGCCTTTTGCGCAGGCCGTAACTTTTTTGTCTTTCATTTCCTATGAGTGAAATTCACGGAGGATGTAGCCCAGGTCCGGAGGAGTGCGTGGGTCCAAGCCCCATGTCTATAGCCCCCCTGGTTCGCCTTCTACGGGCCCGTGAAACCGCCACTTTCTTGACCGAGAATAGGCGCTCGTGAGCGGACACGGCCGCGCTGTCCCCCCGCTGATTTCAGACCGGCGTAACATTCCCGTCTCTTGTCCCCCGTGCGTGAAACTCACAGGGGTGGTAGCCCGGGCCAAGACGAGTCCCTGGGTCCAGACCGCGAGTCTCTGGGCCTCTGCGTTGATTTTTAACCAATTTCTGGAGATTCTGTATTCCTAGGCACACAGGCTTTTGGAGGAAAAAATGACAAAGTGTCTAGCGAGCTCAAGTGCCTTTTGCGCAGGCCGTAACTTTTTTGTCTTTCATTTCCTATGAGTGAAATTCACGGAGGATGTAGCCCAGGTCCGGAGGAGTGCGTGGGTCCAAGCCCCATGTCTATAGCCCCCCTGGTTCGCCTTCTACGGGCCCGTGAAACCGCCACTTTCTTGACCGAGAATAGGCGCTCGTGAGCGGACACGGCCGCGCTGTCCCCCGCTGATTTCAGACCGACGTAACATTCCCGTCTCTTATTCCACGGGGCTGAAATTTTCAGGGATGGTAGCCCAGGTTGAGACGCGTCCGTGGACACCTCGGGCGTGTCGGTCCGACACCGGGTGCCGGTTCTAGGGCGGTTTGGAAATTCAGCCCGGGACTCCCGGGCTGACGAGAAATAACCCTCACTCTGCGTCCCCAAAACGGCTATAACTTTCCCGTCTCTTATTGCAGGGGGCTGAAATTTTCAGGGATGGTAGCCCAGGTAGAGACGCGTCCGTGGACGTCTCGGGCGTGTCGGTCCGACACCGGGGGCCGGTTCTAGGGCGGTTTGGAAATTCAGCCCGGGACTCCCGGGCTGACTAAAAACGTACCAAAACGGCTATAACTTTCCCGTCTCTTATTGCAGGGGGCTGAAATTTTCAGGGATGGTAGCCCAGGTCGAGACGCGTCCGTGGACGTCTCGGGCGTGTCGGTCCGACACCGGGGGCCGGTTCTAGGGCGGTTTGGAAATTCAGCCCGGGACTCCCGGGCTGACTAAAAACGTACCAAAACGGCTATAACTTTCCCGTCTCTTATTGCAGGGGGCTGAAATTTTCAGGGATGGTAGCCCAGGTCGAGACGCGTCCGTGGACGTCTCGGGCGTGTCGGTCCGACACCGGGGGCCGGTTCTAGAGCGGTTTGAAAATTCAGCCCGGGACTCCCGGGCTGACGAAAAAATCCTCACGCTGCGTCCCAAAAAGGCGAGGTCAAACCACTTTCTCCAAGGGACCTATATGGGGAATATAGAGAGGGTGTTGGTCGATGAACAGAAACATAGACACATGTGGTATCTGCGGATTCGTCTCTACGAGGCCGTTCGAATGGTGCACACGGCATGCCTCTGCGGGGCTCCCTGGTGGAAGTGATTCGAGCCAGACGGTTCCCTCACCTATATGGGGAATATGAGAGAGTATGTGTTTCAATCCAGAGACATCCAGGCTACAGGCAGAGAATATCAGTCCGATGGAAGGTGAGTGACTGTGGGATGACCTGAAGCGCCTGCCCGTCGTGGTCTCAATCTCGGAATGAGAATAAACCCATACAAATTTGGTATCTACGGATTCGTCTGGACGAGGCCGTTCGAATGGTACACACGGCATGCCTCTGCAGGGCCCTGGTTGAAGTTATTCGAGCCAGAAGGTTCCTCCACACAGCATGCCTGACTCTATTCGCATGGCTCCGGCGCGGGCTGACTTTGATTCTTCTATTGATATTTTTGCTTTAGAATGTCACCATGACTTCACTATTGCTATAAGATTACTACAATTTCTGCTCTTCTCTTAGGTTAAAATTTCCTCTTTTTGAAATGCCATTGTTACATGGCAATTATAAACAAAAAACTTTGAGACGATTTTGAGAGTTGGTTTCTGAGTGTACGCTAATTTACTACTGCTGGTGTCAGTACTTGTACAACTATTTCATTCAATTCAGTGTATTTTTGTACAACCCAAAACCACAACTGCAGTCGTCTTGGAGGACTTTGCAAAATTTGTTGATTCCTCAATAACAGATGAAATAATAATTTACTACTTCTAATTAATGTGTCGACTTATATATATATATTTTAGTTGGAACTTGGATTGAAACTAGTTCGTCACAGTTTTTATATTCCCAATAAAAGTGATTATAATTGTGTTGCCTCAATGAATGAATGATTTACATAACTACTTTAAACTACTGTATGTGAAACTGCACATTTCTCAATCTTTGACATCTGAAATTTCTCTGCAACAATGGGACCCTTATTGGTAGAGATTTACCGTCTAAAATGTAATGACACTTGTAATATATTAGTTTATGCTGCTATTCCCATTTTCAGCTTTTTTACTTGTACTATCTATTATGAATTCATTATATCCAATCCTGTACTGCCAGTTTTAGTGCCTTTAACTTTGACTGACTTTCCATTTTAGCATATTTTCTGTAGCTATGCATTGTCTTTTAACATTTTGACTTAGTTAAAACGACCACTGTTCTAGTATTCTTCTTTACACCTGTGGTTCAAACTTCCCCTTGTTTCCTCGCTGCAGAATCGTGTTGGTGCGGAGGGAGCGAGTGATCCAGAGACACGTGGACCGGCTGAGGGAGCGGCCCAGGCGGTTCCAGGTCGACCCCAGCGCCTTACGATGGAACCCACCCAAGAACCACCATGTGCCCACCACCTCCGACGAAGAGGAGGAGGAGGAGGAGGAGAGGGAGGTGAGGAGTCTGGAGTAGTTTTGTCATAATACTAACATTTACATTTCTGTCCTGATCCGAGGAAAGTTCACATTTTGTTTTGTTTTTGTGAACCTCACTGAGACCTATTGCATATGAATATTGTACAGTAGAAATGTAGGATTTTTTGATTCCTTAAAAATCTGAATCAAATATATAATGATGATATGAATATTTAAAATGATAATAGTAAGGTATTTGTTTTATATAGAGGTTATAGATGTTGACGCTTCACATGTCATCATTCATGCACATGTATATTGTGGCAATAAATTACTGCATTAGCCACAGCTGCCCTGGGGCACACTGACAAGCGAGTGCCATTGGCCCCTCTGACCACCAACAACCATTCATACACACACACACCAGATGATGTGGGTGATGTGAGTGTCTTGCTTAGGGACATAACAACAGTTGGCACTTTTTGCCGCCCCCGCCGTGTCACCTGGTGTTCTCAGAGGTCTCCCATCACAGCACAAACCAGACCCTGTCCTGCTTAGCTTCTGAGGTCTGACAGGATCTGCTTTCACATATAAGTGGGACCACAAATGCATTACTGGTATATCCATTGTGACCTAACTTCATAACGGAGGACTACTAGGTTCAAAATCAAGCCAAGTCTCTGTATAGAATCTGTCCTGGAGTCAGAAGCTCTAAAGTGTTAACCTCACAGAAACCTTCAGCCGTATACGTAATGTCTGAATTCGTTCTAATTTGTCTTTGCTCCAGTTTTTCCTTACTCTTTCGTACTAGAGATGTCTTTGTAACTCCCATCCCCAACTTCAAAGTGACACAATTACATGCACAAACAGTAATAGGCCTCGTACAGCGCGTCCTTTGAGCTAAAACGAGTGTATTTCTCAATGGGCTTTGGTGACTTCATCTGTCCTTTGAAAAGCCCTGACTCACGGCAAATTAGCAATGAACATTTTACTGGCGTCTCATTACTGTTCTCATAAACCGCTGTGTAAATGTCTATTAACATGGAATAAGACATAATTGTATTTTTTATTGGCGCATGATAAAAATGGGATTCTAATTCGCAGAAGTATAAAAAAAGTACTCCTAGTCTAAAGATTGTAAATAGATTAATATCATTATAGATAGAAAATAACTGGACCAAAGTTAAAGATGGCCAAGTAGTGAAATATGATATATTGATGTATTTATTTTTTGAGGATATAATGCACTTGGGTCTATTGTGGAGAGTAAGATACATGTGTTTCTTTTTCCTGAGAAACCTACACAAGTTTGTCAAATAGTGTGTCATCGCCATCTTGCTGTGCCACCTGTTCTGTGATTGGTCCCAAAATCCATGCCAGATTTTTGACCAGGGTTTCCATGCTGTTGTGGAGTTGGAAAGGACTTAAGCGCACACAGCTGCATGGGTATTCCCTGGTTGCAATTGTGGTTCACTTGGGGCAACAATGCTTTGTGGCTGTAAAACCACAAAGTAGTGATTGAAAATATTACTCAGTACCTTAGGTCGTCTTTTGAAACAGATCTGTGAAGAATTTATTCCCAAGTGAACCGGAACAGAAAGCGATAATTTGCCCGCAATCTTGACCTATTCTGTCTTTCTTGTAGTATTTTCTCTGTCCAATTGGTACAACCCACAGCCATGCTAAGTGTGCTAACTATGCTAACTAACTAACTAACGTCTCGGTGTCGTTTCAGCTGCAGCGGCAGAAGGAGCAGTCGCGCTGGGACAAAGACGACCTGTTCTCGCCCTCCTCCCACAGCGGGCGTCCCACTCTCACCAAAGTCCACTGCAAGATCCCGTACCGCACCTACGAGCGCCGCGCCATGTCCGCATGGAGCCGCCGCATCCAGGAAGCCGAGGACCGCAGCCATGACGACGATGAGGCCGACGACGATGACGAGGATTCGGACAGCCTGCCGCCTGTCCTCACCAAAGCTCACGTCATGCTTGCCACCAAAAGAAAGGTCAGTAATATGTTCCTTATCCCCGGCTTAACCCTAAACCCTCTTCACAGAACATGATCTGATGTCACCAAGTAATTAACAGTCATGGATCACTGTTACAAGTTGATCCTGGACTCATATCCCAAACCTTTAACCTGTTCTTCACCCTAAACCTAAGCCAGTCCTAACCCTAACCATAGTAATCCCTAACCCTAACCTTAAACCTAACCCAAACAAAGAACTCACAGACTGTTAATTACTCTGTGATATCAGACCATCCACTTCACTAGCTCTACTTTCTGTGCTGCTACTATTACTGCTGTTACAATCAACTGGGTTTCAGGGGGACATTAAAGGAGACATACCATGCATGCTAAAGTTTTCAAATGCGTATCAAAAACAGACCTGTTCTTTTTAGATCCATCCACGCTAATAACAAACATGTAAGCTGTAACTCAACCCCTTGTATCATGTAAAAAAAAGTACTTTTTAAAGTATTGCAGATGGCTTTTTTAAATTACCATTTTGTCCATTAGCAAAAACAAATCTGCTGGTATGTTGTTACTTATGTTTAATAGTATAAATTATTTTTAGATTAGAACTGAGATAAATAGTTGATCTATGTACAATATGTCTTTAAGATTTGTATTGATTGCCAGTAGTAGTGACAGTAGTAGTAGCAATAGATGTAGCAGCAGTGGTAGTATTAGTAGTAGTAGTAGTAGTAGTAGTAGTAGTAGTAGTAGTAGCAGTAGCAGTAGCAGTAGTTGTAGTCACAGTAGTAGTAGTAGTAGAAGAAGTTGCAGTAGTAATAGCAGTTGCAGCAGTAACAGTAGCAGTGGTAGTATTAGCAGCAATAGTAATAGTTGCAGCAGTAGTATTGGTGGGTATAGTTTGAATACGTGTCCTTTTTCTCAGGAGATAGCTGTTTACTCTTGCGTCGTGGTTGCCGCTTATGTTTGGTTTTCTCTTGGCACAAAGCACAGCTGAGTGTTTATCATTATTTGTTTCCCTTCATTAGCGGCTGTGTTGCGTTCGTGTGCGGTGGGAACTTTGATAAATATTCATGGATCGGATGGAAGCGGCGTTGAGCTCGCAGCTGTAGATAATAGATGTGTTTTTAGCTCCGCTGTCTAAACCCTGTTCCATTGTCAGCTTCACGGATAGTTTTACTGTGGCCATAATGCTATTTTACATGGGAAACTGCTGCCCCCGTGTGGACATTCCTACTACTACTACTAGTGCTCGTCCCTTGGGCTATTGATCACTCCTATACTGAACAAAGATGTTTAAAGCAGTATATAGTTTTTTGATGTAGTATTATTATGTTTTCCCTTAGAATGGGGAATGATCTAATCTGGTTCCAGATGTACCAGATTATCCCAGTTTCCGAGAACAATTTTGAGGAATAAATATATGAGCAAAAATACATTCTTCTACCTGAGATTTCTCTTACTGTTTTTGAAGGTTCTGTCTGAGCCAATCAGAACATGGAATAGATTTAAATCTGACGAATCACAGTCAACTGGAATATCCCATGCATGGTGGTTGTGCTTTTGCTATGCAGGCTGTGAAAACATCCCCCCTCAATATTTCAGAAGTAGCTTGAACGCCAATGGAATCACAATCTAAAATATGTGTTTTGGTTTTCAGCAGAGGTCTGTGGTGCTGAAGAAGCGCGGCCGAAAAAGAAAGCGAGTGAACAGCAGCGTCACCACGGAGACCATCTCGGAGACGACGGAAGTGTTGAACGAGCCGTTTGACCAGTCGGAGGACGAGAGGCCCATGCCCCACCTGAAGAGGACCTCCCACATCGGGGAGGAGGAGGACGACGAGGAGGACAGAGATATGGCCCCAAAGAAGAGGAGGAGAGGGAGGCCACGACTGGACAAAAACCTTCAGAAAGACAGGCGTGAACTCTGGGGCGGAGGTGAGGACGAGATTTCTGAATCAAACCAAATATTTGACTGTAAATAATGTATATTGTATACGTCCTATTGTAAATATGTGTATCGTATTTTAAACCTGAAGGGATACTCAATCCAAAATGTATTAGTTCAAGATATATAAATTAGATGAAATATGTATTGGAAATGTTAGTTAAAGCTGGAGTATGTAACTTTCTGATGAAACCCATCGAACTATTTCCTGGTCTATCTCTATACTTTTCAAATAAATTATATTTTTGCCCTCTGTCATATCAATAGATCAGGGGTTTTTTTCTGACAGAAAATGTAAAAAGACAGGATCATTCAGCTCTCAGACTAAAGTGTCAAATAGTGACTTTTAGTCACAAATAGAGACTTGAATTCTGCAAAACAATTGGGACAACGTGGATTATTTATTATGTTGGTGCTCCAGTTTTAATATTGTGTATAAGTGACAAGGTTCTGCAACATTTTCTATGGAGAAGTTTTTGTCTAGAATATTTCATAAATGTCCATACTCTCACTGCGCCAAGTTACTCCTCCAAAAACATATATATATTTTGGTTATACAAGCCTTGTAATCTGGATTAAAGGATAAATGCGTCTTTCTGAATGTAGTTTGCTTGTTCCCCTTATGTCTGTGTAGCATTTCCCACATGTAACATTTCTCCTTTCTCTCTTTCGCAGAGGCTGATTTCTTGTGCAAAAGGCCCATTTTGCGACCGCTGAAACGGAAGAAAGGCTGGCCCAAAGGCGTGAAGCGCGGCCCTCCCAAATGGAGAACCAAGAAGGAGAGGAAGATGGGCTTCAAGCTGAACCTGTACACGCCTCCTGAGACGCCCCTGGAGCACCGCATGCACACGGAGGAGGCGGAGCAGGGCTGTGCCAGCGCCAACGAGGGCAGCCAGGCAGGGCGAGGGCGCGACAGTCCTGATGTGACGCTGGAGGAGCTTCACTCACAGCCACACAGCCCAGAAGCAGAGTCCCATAAATCCAGCTCTGCTGAGGACTCCCCGGTCTGCTCCCCGGCTCCTTACTGCTCCCCTGAACCTCCCACCGAGCCACAGGACAGCGAGCCCGAGTCCCCCAAAGACTCTCCCAAAGACCTGGAGCAGGACGAGAGCCCAGCGGAGAGCAGAGAGGAGATCCGAGAGGAGAGCAGACCAGAGATTAGACCAGAGACCAGAGCAGAGACCAGAGCAGAGACCAGAGCAGAGACCAGAGCAGAGGCCAGAGCAGAGGCCCCAGAGAGAGAGGAGGAGGAGGAGGAGGAAGAGGCCAGAGAGGAGCAGGACGAAGAGGAGGAGCAGACGTCAGCGGAGCCCGAGCCCGCACAGGAAGAGCCCGAGCCGCATGTTCCCAACGCTCCTGAATGCACCACAGAGTTCCTTGATTCAAACCCATGTGAGGCGGGCCAGCAGGTTTCCATTGCGACAGATGAGGAGGACAGGATTGAGGCTGCGGCGGAGGAGGAGGCTTCAACAGAACCAGAGCAGCGCGCCATCCCAGAGTCAGCGGTGGATTCTGGACATGCCTCCGAGGAGGAGGTGGCCCCAAGCCCCTGTGAGGGCCACCCTCCCTCTGTGCCCCCACACAAACCCGCCAGCCCCGCCCCCCAGCAGGAGGAGCCCCTGTGCCCGGAGCTGGACTCTGAGACAGTGCAGGCGGTGCAGTCGCTCACGCAGGACGTGGTGTTCCAGGACTGTGCGGAGCCTCAGGAGCCCTGTGCCCCAGTGCAGCCATACGCCCCCGTGGCCCCTAGCCCCGCACCTGTGCCCGAGGACTGCCCCCAGTCCGACCACAGCAGCCCCCTGTCGTCCGTTACGTCCCACCCCAGCCAGTCCGTGCGCTCTGTGAACAGCCCTGCGGTGTCGCTGCTGGAGAGCAGCTACACGCAGATCAGCCCCGACCACGGCGCCATGGTGCTGCACGGGAACCTGGAGACCAGCCCCGTGATGGATGTGCCGTCGGTGTCGGACCACGGCCAGCAGATGGTGGACAGCGGCTTCAGCGACCTGGGCAGCATCGAGAGCACCACGGAACCGTACGAGAACCCCAGCAGCTATGACTCGTCTCTGGGCTACGGCAGCGCTCTGTCCCAGGGCAGCTGCGCCGTGGGGCCCGCCATGGTCGGTTGCACGTTGATGTCGCAGAACCTGAGCTCGCCGCAGCACTGCAACGTCAAGTCTCCACAGGGTTGCGTGGTGGAGCGCTCCCCCAGCAGTGGACGCCACGGGCAACACACACAGCACAATCAGATCAGCCACAACCAGCACCAACACGCGGCGCACACTCTGAACCAGCCGCACAATCAGCCGCACCCTCACAGCGCGCCACATCAGACACACTCTCACAACGTGCAGCACGCAACGCACTCCCACAGCGCGCCGCACCCACACATCCACACTGCACCGCACCCCCACAGTGCGCCTCACCCGCACACTGCCTCCCGCTCCTCACACTCCCACAACACCGCACACTCGCACTCCCACAACACGCCGCACGCCCACAACTTAGTGCATGCACACCCTCACGCGCAACATGATGCGCACAATCAGCCCTTGTCTCACAACCCCACTCCGCACCTGGCGTCGCACGGGCGCCACAGTTCTGTCCACGCGCAGCATAACTCCGCCCTCTCGCAGCATAACTCCGCACACACCCAGCCGCACCTTCACAGCTCCTCGCACTCCCAGCACAACACCGCACACACACACAACCCGATGAGCCACAATCACAGCCTGCACCACAATCAACTGCCGCAGCACAGTCTGCATGGGCAACAGCACGCCGTTCCCCAGTGCGCCTTGCCCGCCTCCTTCACCCCGGCCGTGCCGCTGTCTGACCTGCCTGAGTCCAGCCCCAACTTCCTCTACGAGCGCCTGAACCCGCAGGGCGAGTACGGCGCGCACTACAGCCAGCCGTCCGGTCTGAGCTTGGCCAAACTGCAGCAGTTCACCAACTCCTTCATGGAGCACCCCTTCAGCCACCCGCCCGCGCACCCCATCACATCCTACGCCAACACGCCCGCCCTGACGCAGGCGCCGCAGTCCACCATGACACCACCGCCTGCCTCGCATGTCATGCTGCAGCGGAACCTCCAGCAGCAGCAGCAGCGCGTGCAGTCACAGATGGTGGCGGCGGCAGCGTCCAAGAGCCACACGCCGTCCCGCTCCAAGACGCTCCACGCGCACCAGCAGCCCATGTACGCGCCGCGCACCGTGTCCCGTGTCAGCCTCATGCCCGGCGCCAACGCCTACAACTCCATAAACATGCCCCAGCTCAATGGCTACGCCATGAACAGCGGCTACCACGGCAACCACGGGTACATGAACCAGTCGCCCCAGTACTCTATGCAGATGGGCATGATGGGGACGCAGCCGTACGGACAGCAGCCCATGCAAGCGCCGCCGCACGGGAACATTGTGTACTCTCCCGCGGGACATCACACCTACGTGAACGCCGGGATGTCCAAGCCGCCGCTGAAGGGCCCCGGGTTCATGCGGCGGTAGCGTTAGGGCGCGGGGGTCTGACGCAGGCCTGTCACGGTAACAAGCAGCAGAAGCTACAGAGCGTGCGGTCGCTAATTCACTATAAACAAACTTAGCTCAAAGCACTTACGAGGGCTGTAACGAGTTCATCAATGAATCGCAGCTAATCTATTATTGCATTTCTGAATTTAGTAATTGATTCATCTGTTTTTTAACCTGAAGAAGTTTAATGGCTCAGATGCGTCTACAATGAAACAATAAAAAATTGTTTTAGTATTTTGAATGTGTAAGAAGTCTATGACGGCGCTCTCTAAGGCCATTACTTCAGCTTTGTTTTGGTCAAATTTTTTAAACGTAATTTCAGGATCTTAACAAATAATCGATTAATCAAAAAAATAGCTTTGCAATTTGGACTCTCCCGTCATATAGATTGAGTTTCAAAAGCATAAATCATCGATCGGTGGAGATGGTCAGTACCGTGACAGGCCTGGGTCCGAGGTGGCTTTATGAAATGCACTAATTTGGCCTTGTTTCTTTCTCTGTGTCTTTTTGTTACATAAAACCAGCAGCACTTGGAAAGATGCAAAAATGTTCATCAGAGTAAAAACTTTTGAGTCTATTATTGAAGATATTTTTGTTGCGCAGATGGGAAGCCTTACTTCAATATGACGAGAATCTATTTAAACAGCGTTAGTGTTTCTGGGGTATGTCCACACTAATGCCGTCGAGTCTACTCTACAATCCAATGTACAATTCTGACGGCGGATCTTTTAATGTCATCATTAAAGGAGATAAAGGAATGTAACCAATAGTGTTAGCGTTAGACCATAGCTTTATATTGTGACTGTTGCGGTTTTGTCTGAAGTGTTGTTTCTGCCTCAAGCTCCACCATCGGGCAGCCTCTGAAATCCAAGAATGAAGGAGATCATATCTTTGTGTTTCTTTTTTTCGAGATTGCCTTTTCACAAAACTGGTGTCGTGTTCGCCGACACCAAGCTCACGCAAATACCAAGAAGAAGGTTTTGAGATTGGCAAGTTTTCACATTTACAATCACCTCTCAAACACATCTATTGCCGGGTAATGCAACTACTACAACTACTACAAGCAAGATGGTGGCGTAGCAGGAGCTCTGGTCTGCTATTCCAATGTGGTTTTACTGCAAATGGCTAATAAACTGAATAGTCCGAAAAATTGTCAACATGTTTCGGAGCCAGCCCCAGGTGGAAATACGGTTCATTTTGCGCACAGGGATTCGGGAAAAACATTAACTCTTCCCGAATTTCGAAAGTATTTTACTTCCGGATTCTTGAGATGACCAAGTGGGCGGGACTTGACTTGTCAGTAGATGTTGTGGTTACGCTGCAAAAAATGATAAAATATTAGGTAATAATTGCTTGAATCTAGTGTTTTTTTTCTTTTAATCTTACTTTGAGTACAGTCTTAGAACAATATTTTCCAATGGGATTTCTTCTATCTTTTTAAAACAAGATAATTTTTCTTTTCCCATTGACACGTTTTGTTTTAAGTCAAATGTGTCAAAATGTGCTCAAATTAAGGTACATTTAGCATTTGTTTACATATTTTTCATCACTTTTTGCAGCGTATTTACAAGTTGCATGAAAAACCTGGTGTGTTTTTTTTTCAGTATACTCAAACACAACTCAACGTATTTCTATCGCACACGCACCTCGAAGTCAGCGTCAAGAACAGACGCCCACAAATCTCACGTATATTTCACGGCAGTCCTGGCCGTGGAGGCGTGGCGTAAAATCCAGTATTGATCATTTTCGTTTTGTTTTTTTTGGTCCCTCCTCTAGCGTTGGGTGGAAAATCGCTTGTCCTGTCGCTTTAGCAATCATTTGAATCTGCAATCACGTGATTAAAGTGCAATACGACGACCCCTGAATCTTTGAAATCAAAAAAAAAAAAGTTTAATAAAAGACAAAAAAAAAAAAAAACAAGTTTATTTTTGTATGTGACATTAGTGTGGACATAGCCATACAGGGGGTTCAGTAGCAGCCTGTGTCGAAGCCATGAATCGTGCCTGGTCCAGCGGCTGCGCGAATCGTCTCATTAGTTTGTATTATACCCATGCCTTTGTATATTTAAATTATTGTACCTATTTTGTAAAAGTGACGCGACTAGCATGCTTCGGTCTCTGTGACAGTGCATTGAGTAGTACTGTACTGTGTTGTGCTAATAGCAAGCCATTCTAAAGAGTATCCGGCCTTGTATTAGGTTATTACCCCTGTCACCGCGGGGGGGGGAGGGGAGGGGGCGAAAGATTCAACTATATTTTGTTAATTCTAATATTGTATAAATTGTAAACTTAGTCCTGTTTTGTTCGGTTTGAGAGGTTTTATCGCTATGTGTATAAAACTGAAGTCTTTTTGTAACAGAGGCAGCTTCCTGTTGAATAAATATGTCAAAAGCATATCGCAGTGTTTGTACTCTTAAAAAAAACTCACAGACAAGCGTGGCAGAATTTAAAAGTATATAATATAAATTTAGCCCAAAGCGGATATTTTACATAATGCCTTCAAAAGCTACGTTTTCATTCCATCTGTAGATTTGTTTTCTATCTTTATAAAATGTTTATATTTTACTGAAGAGTTAGAGGACTAGCGCCTGTGAATAGACCAAATTAAGCTAACGGATTTTTGCATGTAAAACGCGGCTTGTCCCTGTTTTTCTGTTTCTTTTGTAGCCTTTGTATTTGTACAGAGAGCGGAGGACAGGAGGCGGGAACAACCTGGGTTTGTGCACAGAATGATCTTGTATTTATGACTTTTCTCCTTTTGTCAGTCACATAAATGCTGTACATTTAGCATAAGAATAAATTATGATTGACCATGTACTGGATTTCTCTTCTTTGAGTCCAATGTTGACTATAAATAACGATTAAATGCGGTACAGAGATGGAAATGTTCAAACTGCAGTATCCAATTATCATCTTTATGTCTGATTATTATAACTACAACTTTACAATCAAAGTGAAACATTTCATGAAATATGGAGACAGGGTTCTCAAAAGTGGGGACTGGGACCAACAGGAGGAACAGGACAGTGAGCTTGGAGAGGGCTGGGATCATTAACAGCTAAAATCACTGTATTTCACCCAATATTTAACACAAAACACAATTATTTAAATGATATTATGGCATGAATGACTACATTGTTGTGCACAGTGGATAATACCACCACCAAAAAAATCTTATATTGTCTAAATATAGCACATTAAAATAACCCAAACAAACAACACAATAAGAAACTATATAATCGCGACAGACTCAACCAAAAGCAAAGTGAACCAATGGGAAAAAATCACTATTTTTATTTACAACTTTGCAGTAAATATGCACAGAACACGTGTGTAGTGCAGATAAGTCACAATATGATGGTGGTTTTGCTGTCACTGAAACGATTTGAGAGTCCTAAGTTAAATATGGATATGAATTTGGCTTAAATCCATATAAACCATCAATCAAATCCTCACTTATTCAACAATTTGTCTCTGTTTTTAACACTTTGAAATACAGTGTGGTTTGATTTGCTTCGACAGAGCGCCGCACAAGGTTGGGCTACCTACATTTTTGTTATAAAGTGGTAAAAACAAAATAAAGAAATTAGTTAAAGGGATGTAGGAGGATTTTCTACTTCTGGGTGGATCATCAAGACTATTGGTCCTCGCAATTGTCAATCATTCTGTTGATATGTGCTCGTCAAATAAGACCAGAGAGTTTTGTTCAAAAAATGGAGAGGGCAGTTCTCTCCTAGAATTTGGGAAAATCTTCCTTCAGAGTTTTGTATACTGTCTGTTTTTTTTTCGGCCAATCAGCTCTAAACGTAAACTATGTGGCAAAAAAAACATGTTTTTTTTCTAATAGGGTGAAGACAATTTATGATCTGATTGGTTCACAACATTTTACTCTTTCTGTTATGACAAACTACATGTGTTATTTCTGAAACCAAAAAGTGAGATTCCCCAGCTCTTCTCTTGCCCCTCTCTCTCAGCCTAGTCCTCACAGTGCTCTGCTCCGGCTGATCCTTCCTCCTGCAGTTTCATGTCCAGTTCTCGGAGCTGTTTGAGGAACCCCCAGTTGGGAATGATGCGTCTGCGACTTTTTACAGCTTCGATGGCGTCCACCAGCGTCATGCGTCTGCGGATCATGAGGAAGGCCAGGAACAGAGAGGCCGAGCGGCTCCTGCCCATCACACAGTGCACCAGCAGCTTGTCTGCACACAAGACACACACACAAGAGACACACACACAAGACACACACACAAGACACACATGAGGGCGAGCTGAAATCTTGGCATTTCATCCCGGGCAAAGAAAAACAGCCCTAAACTTAAAATATTGGCAAACAAGAAATTCGTAATCTTTATTTATATACAGCGCCTTTCACAGACTAAAGTACAGTAACATATAAATTTGTTGTTTTTTGGGGAATTTTGTCTCTCACTCCACACAGAGCAGGGAAGGGGGTCGCATTCTTCAAGTGGAGGGTACAAGTGCGTTTCTTGTAAATATTTGTGCCAGTAAACAGTGTGTTGCTATGGTAATTAGCACTTGCTCCAAACTGAAATTTCTCTGGCCCAGTTCAGGATCAAAGTAATTTTACACTAATAATAATTGACACTTCCAAAACGTAAGAGTTCCAGAGTTCTTTTTTTTGGGGGGTGGTTTAAAGTCAGGTAACCTAGCCTTAAGATAATTCAGTTATGGGCTTAAATTCTTTCAAAATATCAAATAATCAAAAATAATTTAAAATAATCAAAAATAATTTAAAATAATCAAAAATAATTTAAAATTATTTAAAATAATCTAACATTATTTAAAATAATCTAAAATAAAATGTAAAATAATCTAAATAATTTTAAATCATCTAAAATCCTCTACAATATTTTCAAATAATCTAAAATCATTTCTGACTTTTTACATCAGTTTGATCCAAGGTCTAATCCACCTTCATTTGTCATCTGCCAAAAGATTGAACTTTAAGATGAACATAGACATTAGTTTCTTACTTTGCGGCTCGCTCAGAGTTTTGTGGATGAACTCAGCCGCTGTGTAGAAGTACTGGCTCAGATCGAAGGTGGTGGTGTCCTCGGCAACCAGCCCATAATAAACAACGTCCAAGTCGCTATAGTAACCGGCTCCCGTGTCCACGCAGTTCCACGTCCCCTCGGCTGCGTTCAGGATATGAGTGATGCCGAGCTCCTTCAGCTTCAACTTGTCCCTGGCCGTCTCCCTGGAAACGTTTATTAATCAATTAGTAACAAAACTGATATAATGTCGATATGATATTTCTGTGTTTTTATCATGTTTATAGAATGTTCTGAAGGTGAGTTTTCTTCCTTTCTGTTTTGATACATTTAAAGATTTGGTCACATTTTAGTTTAGCCATCACTGATTGCTAATTAGTTTATAATGTATGTTTAAGTAGCTCTTAATTGCCATTTATTAAGCACTTTTTTTGAAACCTTAAAAGAGTTTTTTTAATCTTAACAAAAAAATCCTATAAAATACATTGAATTAATTTGCAGTGTTCCAGGCAAAATACGCCTTACCACACTTTTCTCAACTAATATTACCGTATATTCCTGCTTTGTCCCATCATTAACCCCGTAGAACTCGGACATAAAAACATTTGTTGAAAAAAATGATCTGTGCTATTTTTGGAAAGCAGAATTCAATTCAACCAAATTTGGCAATGTAGCATATTTGCTTCTTTGGGTTCGTTTAAGTATTAAACCAAAAAGTCATACATGTTGCATATTTGTTGTTGCAGAGGGGTTAAATAACAAAATCCAGGATATAACAGAATTCCAATCCAGGGTTTAATAAATACACACAGGGGAAACAACTGAACAGACAGGAAGGGAATATATAAATATATAAATCAACCAAAATCCCACTCCATGACACTTACAAAAAGCCCTTTCAAAGACTGCATAGATCTGCTCAGTACTGACTCGTCTCCGATGTAGACGTTGTCCCAGACTTGGTTGACGCGGGTGTAAACAACACAGCCGCGGTTCAGGATCTTCTCCAGCTCGTACCCTCCGGGCGTCACGTACTCCTCTGGGGGCTCCTCCACGTGACCCTTCACACCCGGCTGCCACTTCTTACAAGGCATTTTGATCTCCGCGGCAACGGTTAGTGTCCTGGAGAAGCAACGACAAATATCTCACGAGTCTGGGGAGACTTTTAAAGCTCGGGTGTGTAACTTAAAAAAAAAAAAATAGAACTAAAATATTTCATAACCAGCTCTTTTTCTTCGCCAAATAGTGACTCCCAGGGCTCTTAGATCAGATAACACGTTTTATAATGAGATGAATGAAGACTGCAGCATGTCGTGGTCTGATTAATACATTATTCTGTTAGGACAAACACATAATATTTGTTTAGAAAAATGACGTACCTCGGCTTTTTTTTATTATTTATATATTATTTATTATATTATTTGTATCTATTATAATATATGTATTCATTATATTATATTTATTTATTAACGTGTTATGTATTAATTATTATTCATTATTTATTATGTATTTAGTTATTACTATTATTATTATTATTTTGTGGTTATTAAACTCCTGAATAAAAATACATTTAAAACTATTGTCTTGATACAGAAAAGGGCGTTTAGAAATACGTTTCCTTTGTCGAGTGAGGTTTACAGGGTGACAAGCTCAATCACATGGGAGGAGCTTGGAGTAGAGACGCTGCTCTTCCACGTCTCTTAGCTGGACAGCCAATCCTGAATAGACAGCTGAGGCCCTGCCCAATGGTCTAACTATTCTCCTCCAGAAAAAAACTTACTGCAGATGCTTATTCCAACGAGACGCAGTGTTTACTTAACATAGATTATAATAGAAGGTCCAAATGATGTATTCTCCTCAAAGTGAAATAACATTGAAGTTGTAGACATCACCTTTAAGGGCCTTTCTTCCTCATTGGGACACTGACTTTAGACCACGTAATAGAAGTCCAGATGACTCTCTTTGGAATAGGAAAACAACTTATTTTGGCTACTTTATACCACAAATTATTAAAGTTTGTGTCACGTACTCACCCATAGAAGACTTGTGTGTAATCTCTGCCTGTGGTTTGTTGTTACAGCAGGTTTTCACATGTTTCCGGGACACGGACTTCAGCTGTGGTCGTGAACCGGGGCTCAAAATGTGACGGTTATTTTTAGGATACTTTTTCCCCCCTGTCTCCCCCTCAGTCCTGATCTGTCGTGTGTCTGCTGCGTTTAAAGCAGTGTTTTTCAACCTTTTTTGAGCCAAGGCACACTTTTTTCACTGAAAAAATCTTGCGGCACACCTCCAGGAGAAAATGTAAAAATGTATACAGTACTAATGTAAAAATATATACTGTACATACTCTGTGTGATATATAAAGTATATCTTATCTTATAATGTATACAGTATACTCTGTAGCCTATATTCACAATATACAGTTATTCTCATCAAAATGCTTAAGTCCAGGCCTTGATATTAAGCTTTATTTAATATTTCTCGATACAATTAACAAGAGTTTGGGAATAAAGTGCACTAACTGTGTGGAAAAAAACTAAGAAAATCCACTCTCTGCCCAAATAGTCAAATAATAACTCACACAAAGAACATGCATTGTTAGTGCATGGGAAAAATTTAGGTATCCGAGCTTTAAATTCAGGAGTTTTGGATGAGGGACACGGGAGGTCCTGAACGCGAGTCCATGGTTCTGTCCAGTCCGCATGTCTATGGTTCTGTCCGGTCCGCATGTCTATGGTTCTGTCCGGTCCGCATGTCTGTGGTTCTGTCCACTCGACTATGGTCTGCGCTCGGTACCCAGTTCAGAAGTGCGTTCGCGAGAGCTGTTGTACAAAAATTGTACATTTCATAGTTAAACCACTACAACGCGGCCACAGCTGCCCCGGGGCAGAGCGGAGGATGTTAATCCTGTTCAGAAACGGCATAATTAATTTTCAAAAACGTCTCTATCACTTTCACTTCTCACTCGCCACAAAGCTCTTGTCTCGCTCCCTCCCACATTTGTTGGTCGCATCCAATTTTACCTTTCTCGCCACAATGCTGACCTGTTACAGCCAGTGGTCGCATCCAATTTTTCAGTTTCACAGTACTTAGCTATCTGCTGCCATCTACTGATTTAAAAAAGTTTTACATGGTTACTCCACAGTTCAAAACAAGTCACCGCTCGTCAACAGCGAATGCAGTTATTTTTAGACAAAGTAGACGAATTTCTCACGGCACACCAGACAATATCATACGGCACACTAGTGTGCCGCGGCACAGTGGTTGAAAAACACTGGTTTAAAGAACAAAATACAATAAAATGCAGGTTGGAGACAGAGAAACAAATGCCTTGAATAAAAGTAAAATAAAAACTGATAATTTGGTAGGAAATGTGATTAAGAGATACTTTATTTGTCCCATAGTGGGGAAATGTCAGTCCTGTGTCAACAATAATACTACTTCTTTCTTAACAAAATGGGTAGAAGTATTTAAACCACAGTCCAGAACATGACCTCCTCATGACCACTTCAAGGTTCAAGGTTCAACTTCAAAGTCCCCTCAGAGAAATGTGGCTCACAGCTGATGGACACAAACATACAAGACACTCAACATCCAGAAAATCAACTCGTCTGCACAATTCAACACTTCTCCAGGCTCAAATTCATTTATCTTGTGTCACATTTCTGCAGCTTCACAGTTTTTCACACGTGTGCAGGTCTGAGGCCGAAGGTCTGAGGCCAAAGGTCTGAGTCTGAAGGTGTCTGTCTGTGAGTGTGTGTGTGTGTGTGTGTATGTGTATATGTGTATACTAGATGTAATTTATTGTTTTATCATGGTTAAAAAGCTCAAAAAGTCACTTCAACAGTATATGTATATATTTAAAAAGAGTTCTGGTCAGTCAGTGGTGCAGTGCAGTGTCCAGAGCCCGTAGCTGCTGGAGGAAACCTGCGTTGGGGAAGATGTGTCTGTGCGCACGGACCGTCTGCAGCGCCTCCATCAGAGAGAGGTCACGTCTGAGCATCAGGAACGACACAACCAGAGCCGCCGAGCGACTGATGCCACGAGCACAATGCACCAGGACCACACCTGACACACAACAACACAATGTGAGGAACTCTGTGAAAATGTGTTATGGACAAAGATGCAACAATTAGAAAGAATAAATGCAGAGTAATGATACAAATGTTATTACAATAATATGTGCAGTAGAAATATGTGTAAATGTGTGTGTGTGTGTGTGTGTGTGTGTGTGTGTGTGTGTGTGTGTGTGTGTGTGTGTGTGTGTGTGTGTGTGTGTGTGTGTGTGTGTGTGTGTGTGTGTGTGTGTGTGTGTGTAGGTGCTCGTTACCTTTTTGACTGAGTGCAGAGTGGATGAACTCCGCCGTCTCTGTGAAAAACACACTGATGTCGAAGTCTTTCCTGTCGTCCGCCTCCACGCCCAGGTACACCACACCTGTGTCGCCGTAGTAACCGGGCCCGGTGTCGACGCGCCCCGTGCCGTGCGCCGCGTTGACGATGTGAGTCACCCCCAGATCCTGCAGCAGGGCTTTGTCTTTGGCCACACGTCTGCGGAAAGAGAGGGAGGCTCATGGAAACACATACCATCGCAAACACGGGTAAGGTGGAATTCTTTTTTTAACTTATTTTTCTATGTTAATTTCACTCTGAACCAAAGCAGAGAAAATGGTCCGAACTGAGCAGACCCAACCAGGGTATGGGAAGCAGCTCGTCACAGGCTTCACCACATCTGCTGCTGTGACCTAAAGTGCTGTTATACTTTATTACTATTGTTAATCACTTTTAAAATGATGTATTTATTTGTTGGACACTTGAATTTCTCCTACGGACGATCAATAAAGTATCTGTCTATCTATGTAAGACACAAGCCTTAGAGTGGGTGAAAGCGACTGAAGGAGCGCCATCCGAGGAGCCGTCTGCACTGAGAGCCTCGCAAGAGATAATAGAAGCATCCACTTTCTCGCAGCCAGGTCAGAGAGGCAGTAGTCTTCCCCGCTCGCTATTCTTCTACCAAAATTCCAACGACATTTACATACAGCGGTTTAAAAGTAACTTCACACTTACATTTCAAAAACCGTTCAATTATCTTATTCTACAGTTTGTTTTTTATTAATCAATCGATGGTAACGCTGATGACAACTACCATGTTAACAACCCAATTCTGGTTTATACAAGAAAAATGGATTTGCTGTTGTCTGTTGGATGTTTATGGACGTTTATTAAAATGATCTGCTGTTGGTGGGAAAAAAAACACCCAGAAAACTGAGAGAAATACAAATAAATATGAAAGAAACGGAAAGAAAAATGAGAGAAACACAGAAATATGGAAGAACTGCTGTTGTGTCACAAAAAATACATTGAATTGAAATTAAATCAAGATAATGAATTGGAAGAAGTGTGTCTCACGCGTTGCTGAGGTAGAGTCCAGGCCAGACCTGGTTCACGGCTCCAGTGTCGTGTCGGTTCTTCAGCAAGACGTCCAGCAGAGCGCAGGTGGGCGGGGCTTCATACCCCCCCTCCTCTCCCCCCATATTGTCACCTGTCACACCTGTGCAGACGTCCAAATCCTGCTTTTGTCTAACAAGTTTCAAATATTCCCAGTTACCTATGCATTGTTCCAAACCAAAGCCAGGGAAGATAAGGTTAAGACAACGGTATTTAATCACCTACACAAAAACTGTGTTCTGCTGGTGTTGTTTGTGTTATGGTTAAAAGCAGGTGTCGGCCATGTTTGCCCCGTGGTGGAAACAGCTGAAGATGCTGAAGAGGATCATGTGATCGAGACAGTGACAGAAGCCAGGCTCTAGTCCCAGGCTAAAATTAGCGATTCACAATTGTCCAGAGACCTGCTTGTTTGGGAATGAACATGAAGGAAGAAACTCATATGTGCTGGTATAAATTACTTGTTCTTTCGGATTTGGTAAAAAATAGAAGAAAAAGAAAAAATTATATTTCCCCCACTGCAGGAAATTGAATCAAGTTGTTAAACATGCTAAATATTTATCTTGAGTTGAATGTTGTTCTTTTTCTCCTGTCTTTTGGTCATGACAACGGTTGCTATGGAGCTTATGCTGGCATTTGATGAAAGGAGAAGACACTTTCCCTTACTAGTTATTGCTGTCTAATGAATCCAAACTCTTTTAAATCTACAAAATTAAGTCCTTTGGGTAACCTTGGTCTGTGAAATGCTCTATATAGATAAAGATTACTGACCCACTTACTTACTGATTTTGGCCCAGGTAATGAATAAAGTGTAAGGAAATGGATGGTTGGATGATGTTTATTAAGTCAAACAAATTGAACCCACAGCTTTAAAGCCAATATTCAATTTTAATAGATATACAAAAAAAAGAAATGGTATGAAATTATTCACAATTTTTTCATGTTACTGACAGTTATCGTCTTCCATATAATAGTTATTTTCATTCAAGAAAACATTTCCACCTCCTAAAAATATACAAACATGAAACTACTACGATATTACTGGCCAAACAATGGTAGTTCACAATCACAACTTTGACAATAAGAATTAAGTTGTTTCAAAAAAATAAAAAATTCATACTTGAACTATTGTGTACAAAGTATATATTCTGAGTTTACGTATATAAAACGTATATTAGACTGGAATGGTGACACAAAGCTGAGTCTTGGCTGTTTCTCATTTCTCGTTCGGGACATGATGATAAACAAGGACACAGGAAGCAAAGGTAAAGAGCTGGATCTGAATCAAAGAATCCAGAGAAGCACTGTCACACTGTAGAAGGAGTCTTTTCAAAGCTCCTTCAGTGAGTAAGGCAAGCTGGTTTATTGTACTGTTCATCACGTGATAAGAAAAAAAATGGACGCCATTAAACTGGGTTTGTGTTAGCGACGTTATTAGCAAGTTTAACCAACTTTTTAAATGATTCCAACTCTTATTGCATTTGACTGGTTTTATGGTCTTCGGGGGAAATTAAATAAAATCAGGCATTTTATTATATGGTTTTACTCACTTTGAGCACTTTGGAAAGTCTTGTGTACAAAAGAATCTCTAATGTCAATTGCTATCAGTCTGGACTGTGGCTTCACTGGTACAGTAGCCTGCTATAAAGATGTTTTTTATTTTATTATTAATATTTCATTTTATTGTGACTTATTTTTCTTCTGGAACTTGTGTCTGTAATAAAGTTTAACAATAATAATATTAATAATAATGGTAGGTATTCTGATCCAGCCCTGATATTTTAGAAGGAACGGTGTGACAACATGAATACAAGATCACGCAGCAGGATAAGCTCTAGCAGCAGCTCTTGTGTCTGTGTCGGACTGAAGACCCGCAGTGCAGTCTGGAGTCCAGCGCCCTGAGCTGCTCCAGGAAGCCGTTGTTGGGGCAGACGTTTCTGTGTTCGCTCACGGCCTTCAGCGCCTGCTCCAGCGTCAGGCCCTCATGGATCATCAGGAACCCCAGAACCAGAGCACAGGAGCGGCTCAGGCCCATCGCACAGTGGACCAACACCTTACCTGGAAACACACCAACATACACACAGCAACACACACACACACACACAAACCAGCATGAAGAGGGGAGCACACCATTGACTGTAACTATTTGTGCTATTTAGGATGAGACAGTAAAATATAAGTCAATACAAACCTTAGACATTCCAATGAACTCTAATACTCCCCGAATTATAAAACTACTCGAACTTCAAGAGGCCTTTTTTTTTCCATTCAAACAAATGTAATTCTGAGTATCATGAAGCGTATAAGGTTTTATTTAATCTTTACTCACTTTAAATAAGTGCTAAAACTGGGGATTACGAGGTACAGTAAAATCAGTTGCCATAGAAAGTTGGTTACCAAGCAACCAAAAATGTCTACATTTGAATTTTACATTCAAATGAGTTTAAGGTAAAACTACTCACACTTCAAAAATAAAAGATATTTTCTTATCTCAGAAAAAGTACAGAAACAGCCGTAATGGTAAGAGCTTCACTCGTTACTCGGCTTGTTACTGTCCATAGTGTTGTTATTGTCCATGGTGTTGTTACTGTCCATGGTGTTGTTATTGTCCATGGTGTTGTTACTGTCCATGGTGTTGTTATTGTCCATGGTGTTGTATTGTCCATGGTGTTGTTACTGTCCATGGTGTTGTTACTGTCCATGGTGTTGTTACTGTCCATAGTGTTGTTATTGTCCATGGTGTTGTTACTGTCCATGGTGTTGTTATTGTCCATGGTGTTGTTATTGTCCATAGTGTTGTTACTGTCCATGGTGTTGTTATTGTCCATGGTGTTGTTACTGTCCATGGTGTTGTTATTGTCCATGGTGTTGTTATTGTCCATGGTGTTGTTACTGTCCATGGTGTTGTTATTGTCCATGGTGTTGTTATTGTCCATGGTGTTGTTATTGTCCATGGTGTTGTTATTGTGGTGTTGTTACTGTCCATGGTTGTTATTGTCCATGGTGTTGTTTATTGTCCATGGTGTTGTTATTGTCCATAGTGTTGTTACTGTCCATGGTGTTATTGTCCATGGTGTTGTTATTGTCCATAGGTGTTGTCCATGGTGTTATTGTCCATGGTTGTTATTTGTCCATGGTGTTGTTACCATGGTGTTGTTATTGTCCATGGTGTTGTTATTGTCCATGGTGTTGTATATGTCCATGGTGTTGTTATTGTCCATAGTGTTGTTACTGTCCATGGTGTTGTTATTGTCCATGGTGTTGTTATTGTCCATAGTGTTGTTACTGTCCATGGTGTTGTTATTGTCCATGGTGTTGTTTCCATGGTGTTGTTACTGTCCATGGTGTTGTTATTGTCCATGGTGTTGTTATTGTCCATTGTGTTGTTACTGTCCATGGTGTTGTTACTGTCCATGGTGTTGTTACTGTCCATGGTGTTGTTATTGTCCATGGTGTTGTTATTGTCCATGGTGTTGTTTATTGTCCATGGTGTTGTTATTGTCCATGGTGTTGTTATTGTCCATAGTGTTGTTACTGTCCATGGTGTTGTTATTGTCCATGGTGTTGTTATTGTCCATGGTGTTGTTATTGTCCATGGTGTTGTTACTGTCCATGGTGTTGTTACTGTCCATAGTGTTGTTATTGTCCATAGTGTTATTGTCCATGGTGTTGTTATTGTCCATGGTGGTGTCCATGGTGTTGTTATTGTCCATGGTGTTGTTACTGTCCATAGTGTTGTTACTGTCCATGGTGTTGTTATTGTCCATAGTGTTGTTATTGTCCATGGTGTTGTTACTGTCCATGGTGTTGTTACTGTCCATGGTGTTATTGTCCATGGTGTTGTTACTGTCCATAGTGTTGTTACTGTCCATGGTGTTGTTACTGTCCATAGTGTTGTTACTGTCCGTCGTGTGACTTGTGAGTAGTTTTCTAACCCTCTTCAGCTGAAACACATGTAGCGTTAAGCCACAGGAGAGAGAACAGTTTGATTTTATTGCCGTCTAAATCACTATATTTGGTCGGCGTCACACTGAACACACCACGGCAAAAAGACTAGGTCACAAGGCGGGTTAAACCAGTGCGTTTTCATTCACCAGCCTGTGTCCCTCAGTGTATAAGGAAAGTACAATTAGTCTTCAGATTACAGTATTCTCATGATGTAAATCTACCAGATCAAATCAATCGGACCTGCATGATCACAAATACTCAAACACACACATTTTTGGTGCAATTGGAGAGACTTATATTTAGCATATGGCACTCCCACTGAAAATATCTCATTTGTTGCTTGTTCGGGGATTAAACCCGGCCTGAGTCTGTGGCCACGAGTGTTTTGGGAGACGACTTGAGAATATTCCACACGGCGTAATCCTTGTTTTTTCCTTATCGTAGCATGGAGCTTTGGAGCAGGAGGCTGAATAATTGCCTGCACTTTTCTATGGGATTACCCCTCGCACTGTGGCACTGCTTTGCATAACAGCCTGTCAAATATATCAGGCTAATTCCCATGTCCAATGAAAGTGTTGCTTACAAATTGCCAAGACAATCCATTTAAACCCGATTTCCCGGCTCGGATTCACAGAGCAGGAGGCTGTTTGCAAAAAGGGGGGGAATAAATATTAGCTTTAATTTGATGCCCATTGATTACTTAGCATGCCCTGATGATATAATTAGATTTGGAGGATGCCGCGTAGTATTTTGTGCGTGTTTCTTGAGCGATAATATGATGTGAGAGAATATGCAAAAAGCTAACGACAGAATAACAAATGTGCGGAATAGAAAATGTAACAGATGTTTGATGATGATTAAAACCCATCCAACTCGTCCCTGGCTCTCAAAGCAGATTGGTTCTGTCACTAGTTTCTCTTGCATTTGTTTGTGTATTTCTGGGCCTGTCGCATCTTTTCAAAACAAAAAAGCAGGAAAAAAAAATTGCTCTCTCGCAGTCAAATAGTGACTCACAGGTACATGCTTACTTATTTTTAATTAGTAGGAGGCTGATTGATGTATTATTTATGAGGAACTAAAGTTAGGTACCCCAGCTTTAAAAGGGCAGTAATATGTAATATCCAAGTTGTTACAATTTCAATCCAAGTTTTCCTGCCTGTGACCTGATTAACTGATTAGGTCAGTTAATAAGTTAACTGATTAACTGACCTAATTAACTGATTACTCATGCAATCCACCTGCTGGGGTTTAGCTAGAAACTGTGTATATTACGTACAACTTCTTATTGTGTCTGCATTCATTTAGACGAAAGCCTCATGCTGTTTTTTGTTTGTGAATTTAGCCAAAACTAGCTACATTTCACCTAACAAAGTGGCATCCCGCAAATGCAAATGAAAGCCTCATTCTGCTCACTGATTGGACAAACTGCTTGAAAATTTTAAACGTTAATATGAAGAACGATGTATTTTTTATGAAGATTTCCACACGAAAAAGTCAACCATGACGCGTACATGTGACCCGTTATCATACTGCCCCTTTAAGTCAGTCTCAGATTTTTGGACCTTCTCACAGCTCCAAAGTAAAAGGATAATAAAAAAGACTTTTTTTATTTTGATGATTATGGCTTTTTCTAATTATCTGTGATGTTGTATATGGGGATTTTACAGCTGTGAGCCTTAATTATCTACAAATAGTCTTGTTATATATCTCACGGTCATGTAAGTCATAGATTTGTTTCACATTATACCTTTCACCTGTGTGTTGATTTTTGTTTGTGCAAATGTCTGACCTAATGAGTTTCAGTAAATGCCAATATTACATTTCTCCTGCAGTAAAATTTAAATCCAACCCGTGTGTGTGTGTGAATTTCAATCCATGTAAATCTGTATTATAACAGTACAAAGTAATTGAAATCCTACCACATAACAGGAGTTTATAGCTGCATACAAATCAATAGTAAGTAAGTAATGTTTATTTATATAGAAATCTTTTACAGACCGAGGTCACCCATTTTTCAATTATCTCCTCATGGTGATGATGAAAGCGGGACGCCAAACGCACTGGCGCATCCATCAACACCATCCATTCACTCACTCTTTACATTCAGACCTATTGGAAACCGGAGCACCCGGAGGAAACCTACACGGACAACATGAAACCTCCAGAAAGGCCTGGAGGTGGAATCTAAACCAGAACCTTCTTGCCGTGAAATACAAGCTCTAACCTCTTCTCCACCGTGCCACCCTGATAAATAAATGACAAAAAACGGACTCGATAAACGTAAACTTTGAGAAGCGTCCCAGAGACCGTGGCCGCTACGTGGGAGTGACCAAGTCTTTCTGCGTGTGGTAAAGCGTGAAACATTCATAGAGGTGCAGCGGAACGAGGCAGGACGAACAGTAGTAGATCGTTTCCCTTCGGATCCCGCGCAACGAGCACACCCGGCATTTGCGAGTCGGGTACTTCTTCTTGTCCGTGGCCTCGTACTTCACCATCACATGGCCGCCGATCCCGCCGTTCAACCTGCTCGGAGGGTCTTTGCACGGGCCCCTCTGTACTTTCTCCCCAGTTTTGGACTCTATCACGTGTCCGGAGTTCTCCATGGTCCGGGCGCGTTTGAGTCTCGTCAGTGACCTCACGGCGCTCAGGGAAAACGAGAGAAACTTCCGATCCTTTCCGTGCGGGTTTTGAGCTTTGTAGAGAATGAACGAATTGTAAAGGCATATCTGGAACAAGTACAACACCAATTTATTTGTCCATTTTGCGGAGTTACTAACGCATGGGTAATAAGCAATGTTCTTATCGAGTCTACCCACTCCATTCATTGACCGGTTGTACGCTATGACACATGGCGGCTTGTGGTCGCTGGTGATCATTTTTACGATATTACCGTCCCGCCATGCTAACACCATGAGCGTATTGTTGTGGAGTGCGATGACTTCTCCCGGTTCAAGATCAGAGTCTGAGATGTTGCCGATTTTCTCTGGCTCCCCTCTGTTGTCTCTCAGTGTTCCGCACATGTGGGTGTCTATCTGTAAGAGCCGGTTAGCTAGCGCAACCGAGTTGTAGAAATTATCTATGTACAACTTGTATCCGTGCCCAGCTAGTCTGCCCATTAGGCTAACAACAGTGTCCTCCAGCTCCCCCGGTTCTCCACAATATGGCTTCATCCCAAAACAGTACCCAGTTTCCGAGTCGCATAATACGTACGCTTTTAATCCGCGTTCTTTTGCGTTTTGGGGGTTGTGGACTCGGAAAGTGAGGCGTTCGCTCCAGGCTATCGTGCCCTCGTCGATACATATGTTGGCATGAGGTTGGTAGAGCTTGTCAAACTTTGATAGTACATAGTCTAATACGGGGCGGACTTTATACAGCCTGTCGCTTCCAGTGTCCGCCTGGTTGTCGTTAAAATGCAAAAACCTCCAAATTAGTTTAAATCTATATTGCGCCATTGTTTTGCTGAAGTGGGGAGTGAGGGCCACTTCCTCCGTTGACCAGTAACTGTCAAAGGAAGGTTTTTTCACGATGCCAGTGAGAAAGAGGAGGCCGAAAAACTGCCTGAGCTCAGTCACGGTCACCTTTTTCCAATATTTCTCTCTCCTCCCCTGAAAGTAAGCCCTGGTCTCTGCTGCGATGGTTTGTTGAGCGTAGAGGTTGGTTTGAGCAGCGATTGTCTTCAGTAATTCGTCTGTAATAACCAGATCGAGATAATCAATGGGCTGGTCGGAGGTGAGCCACAGGGCTGCACCTCGAGGTCCTGGAAAGGCGGTGAAGGGGATGTGCCGCGGCTGCCAGTCCTCTGCTCGCCATTCTTCATGGACGCCACAACCTTTGAATTGTAAACAAAGTATTAAGTTTTCATGAAAATACAACTATTGCTGTTTGTCGCTCTATGTGTGCGTATGGGACGTCTCTCTCTGTGTGTCTCTGTCTAAGTGTGTGTGTGTGACTGTTTCTCTCTATGCCTGTGTGTCTGTGTGTGTGTCTCTATGTGTATGTGGGTGTCTCTCTGTACATGTGTGTTTCTCTCTTTGCGTGCGTGTGTCTCTTTGCGTGTGTGTCACTCTGTGCGTGTGTGTGTCTCTCTGAGCGTGTGTGTGTCTCTCTGAGCGTGTGTGTGTGTCTGTGCATGTGCGTGTAGTCAACTCACCCTCCAGTTTGAAAGGTGCCTCTGGTTCTATTATTTCCATCTCTGGTTCTTCTATTTTCCATTCCTCGTCCATTTCTAGAATAGATCACATCAGATTTAAAACATTGTCCTTCTGCCTCACATTCAAGCTATTTCTACTCCAGATTTACATAATATGTAAATGGAAAAACATAGTAACATAATATGTAAATCTGGAGATTTAGATAATATGTAAATCTATAATAAGTATATTATACTTATATAACCATATACTTGTACATTTCTCCATTGTAAGATCACTGAAGTCTATCTTATCCAGTAAACACATAGTCTACACAGGAGTATTGCACAGTAATGGTAATGAAAAACAAACATTGTATATAATGTTATACTATACATTTGTTTGATGTAAATTCTTGCTCATTATATTGTTCACACAATGATGAATGACGTTTACAGCCACGAAAAACAATTTGAACATTGATATCGTTCTCACCAAAGTCAGAAGGAGTGACAGATCTAAAACTGTTCTCTTCGTCCTCTTCCTCAGTCTCTTCTTCAGTCTCTTCTTCAGTCTCGTCTTCAGTCTCTTCTTCAGTCTCTTCTTCAGTCTCTTCTTCAGTCTCTTCTTCAGTCTCTTCTTCAGTCTCTTCTTCAGTCTCTTCCCCGCAGTCGGACTCTCGGGCTGACACTTTGATCACAAACACAAGGTGAGGCACAACACGATCAGCAGTGAGACAAACCACGTGGAAACAGTAACCTGTTGATGAAGATTGACTCGGGCTCCATACTTTCTTCTTCTTCTCCTCCTCCTCCTCCTCTTCTAGGTCAGTAAAGTCTGTGTTGCTGTCCCAGACATAGTCCTCACTGTGGCAGCGTGCTTTCTTGGTGCGGGTCGGCCTGACTCCCACTCGGGGCGGTCCGCCCTCAGCCTGAGGGTCCTTCCCTCTCCGTACCCGTCCGGACCTGGCGGGGGGTCTCCCCTGTCCACTGCCTGGTCTTGGTCTAGAGCTGGACTTCTGCGATGTCTGCACTGTCTCTGTCTTCAACTTTTTCTTCTTCCCCATCAGCACCATGGCGCTGTTGTCAACAGTTCAGAAGTGATACCAAGGAAGCGTCCTGGAAGTTTCCGGGAACTTGGGAAGTGACGTCGCGAGACTGCCCCCTCGTGGTAAAGTCACGATGATGACCTGACGTCACGTGATACGTCAGCCAGAGCGGCAGCGTCAAAAAGTAAACATCTCACGTTCGCTTCATAGTTCAGATTTATTCACAGAGTTGTGTTCGCGCGTCTATTTTCATAATTATTAGGCAAAAAACGTAATAATACGTTTTTCACACCAATATTTAGTAAAGTAGTAGGAGTAAAGTTAGTTACTATTCCCAGAAATTGAAATCGAACAAATGGTTAGACTTTGAAGGAGATTTGGATCCAAGACAATTTTTTTTAGAAATGGAACTGCTCCTCTTTGCAGAGGTCTGCCAAATCCTAACTTTTGACATTTTATTTTCAAACGTATTTCTGCCAGTGTGCCCCAGGGCAGCTGTGGCTACAGTAATAGTTTATCACCACTGTGTATGGAGTGAATGAATAATGACATGTGAAGCATTGCATTATTAAAGAAGCTATACCCAATTTTTTTCTAATGAGTTCATAAAAATGCTCATTACTACATACAAGTTGTATTATAATCTGTAATTTAATTGAAAACTTGAGCTCATTGATCCAGCTTGAGTATGAATTCAGGCCGTAAAAAGTGCTGAGTAGAGATTTTAGCGTGACGCCCGCTCTCCTCCAATCACAGAACCAGGCTGCGTCCTCTAGCCTCTACAGCGCTGCTAAACACAGTAGCATGTTAGCAGAATTGGCTATAACTCCTCTTGCTGTAACTGCAGACACAGCAAAACAGCCCAAACAACACAACAGTGAGGAAGAGAAGCGGGAACTAAAGCAAAAAAATAATCAAAGAAGAAATCAAGCCCAGGTGAACATAGCTAGCTTACATCGTATCCTCTGGAGAGACTTGTCTATGGGAGAGACCTGCGGGAGCAGGACTGCCTCGGACTATCTATGCTCGGACTACATTCGGACGCGAAACTAGCGGTAAATCTTTCAGTAATATGTTTTGTTAGCAGTGCGTTGCTTTTGTACCATTTCATCAGTGGTTGTTGTACAGTTTACAAGAAGTTGCGCCCATGCTAATGTTTGCATATGTATCAGATCGCAAATAAAACTAGATGGCTCCGTGGGAGGAGAGCGTAGGTGAAATGAGAAACCTGTGAGCGAGTTGGGGGCAGTGCTAAACATTCAAACCTTACAGAAACGGGTATAGCTCCTTCAAGTGTTCAAAAAGCGCTGTATAAAATGTATGCATTATGATTTTAATTACTCCAGAATAAACTCTAAATTAATGTCTAAAAGCAAGAAAACAAACCGGTGGGTGAGCTGAGAGCGTTCTTGATGAAGTTGGCGGCGGGGTAGAAGAAGGGGCTGATGTCGAAGGTGGCCATGTCGAAAGCCTCCACTCCGAAGTAGGTGATGTGTGCGCCTCTATAGAAACTGGCCCCTGTGTTCACGTTCAGTTTACCGTCTGCTGCGTTTAGGACGTGTGTGATGAAGCGAGCGTGGAGAGACTTCTTGTCCTTCGCTGCGTACCTAGAAACAAACAAAAGAGTCAAAAAACATCTCTGTCACATCTTTAGAATCAGTTTTTCTTCAGACAGAAAAGTGAAACACAGAGGATCACCCTCACTCAGCCAATCAGCTCTCAACCCCCAAGAATCAAAGAGTGACTCGAAAAGCTCTTATGTGAAAAAAACAGTAAATAACCATAATAAGCATGTAGCACAATAACTTATTATCATCTTGACGTTTGGCACTTTTCATAGTCACATGATCAAAATCCAGCGCTGGATAGTTTCAACATAGTTCTTAATATTACAATTTTTTCAAAAAAGCCATTCCATTTTCTTCCGCTTTATCTGCGGCCGGGTCACAGGGAGCTGCAGTCTAAGCAGAGACGCTGAGATATTATAACACATCAGGGAAATCCTGAGGCGTTCCAAGGCATGTCCTGGGTCTTCCACCTCAACTGGCTCCTCTGGACCTGGAGAAGCGGCGGCTCTACTCCGAGCTCTTTCAATGTGACTGAGCTCCCCTCTTCATGTCTGAGGGAGAACTCAGTCACTCTGTGGAAAACACTTTCATCCACTATATGTTCCTTTTGGTCTTTACAAAAAGCTCATGTGAAGAACAAAGCAGATGGGAGAGCTACAATGACTAATAAGTACTTATATCGTCGTTCATATTGCTTATGTTTCAATTATATTTGTTCATACAAAACAATTTGAATATACAAAATTCCCATTTCTTTGAACAGAACCGTTGATCTCACATGTCTCCGATGTATATCCTAGGGTACACTTCATCCAGGTGGTTGTTGCTGCCGCCCTTTTTGGTCCACATGAGCCTCTGTAGTTCTGAGACAGAAGGGCTCTGGTACCGCCCATCACCGGACGTCCCACTGCTCAGACCAAGAGGCATCCTGTCCATCTAATGATCAATCTGTGACATCAGGAAAAACAAAGGAAATCAATGGTTAATCGACTAAAACCAAGCATAGAATCCTCTTGAAACAGCTACAGTTTCATAATAACATGTTACGACTCCAGACAGACTGTATAAAGCTTACGTTAGCCGCAGAGCTGTCCTGTCTCACTGAGCTCCTGAAGATCCACTACACACTTTAGCTTTTTTTAACTTTTGAATCTGAGCCTCTGTGACATCATGTCTGAGTTTATCACAGGTCAAAAGTGACACAGCAGCTGGTACACCGCCTGCTCCAGTGCTGTGCCTTTAAAGCTACAGTTGGGACATTTATTTCATTTATTTCCACCAGCAGAGGGCAGAAGAGAGACCTCTCTCTTCAGTCAAACTAGAGCATTGGTGTAAAAGTCAAGGCCCGGGGGCCAGATCCGGCCCGAAAATGAACTGTCTTGGGCCCTAGGATGCAGGGCCAGCAGCAGTCAGTCCAATTATAAATCTACATATGAACTGTAAAGCAGTAAGAAGCCAAAACATGCTGCTCTTGTCCCTTTAAAGCAGTGGTTCTCAACTGGTGGGTCAGGGCCCAAAAGTGGGTCACAGGTTGTTTTGTAATCTATCTTCTTCACTACAGAAAAGTTACATTGTCTTTGGGAATAAAAACGCCCATGATTTAAGAAAATATCTTTAAAAAACCAAGACTCCAAATCGATCTAAATTAGATTAGATCGGAATTGGCAAATTTCTTGAAGCTAGTTACTCAAACACAGTGGCTTGAGCTTGTGCTTCACACCAAGGCCATCTTGTTTGGAGTTTGCTTGTTCTCCCCATGTCTATGCAGGTTTCCTCCAGGTGCTCCGGTTTCCCCTGCCGCTAAAAACATGTAATAGGTGTTCATGCAACTGAGTGGATGAACAGATGGTGTTGATTGGCGGCATTGATTTTGGAGTCTCGCTTCCGTCATCGCAGTCTGTGAAGGGAAGAATAACCACACACACCCACATCTATACACATACACATTAATCCATACCTTCATCTGAAATATACCTGTGCTCTCCCCATCAATAAACATCTCAATAATGTACCTGGATTTTGCCTGTTCCTTCTGACCGAGGAAGACTCAGTTGACGGCCGTATCCGTTATCAGCGCATCCAGACGCTCACAGTACTTCACAATCTGAACTCCAGAAACATTCGCTTTGGATGACCTTGGTCCTTAAAATGCGCTACATAAATAAAGATTGCTTACTTACTACTTAAATATTTTGTCACGTCTCCTTTGCTTTGACCCTTTGGAAAAATTCAGTTTGAGCCACTCTGCTGATTGAAAGAAAGAACGCACCATTTTACTGAATAATTGGTTTAAAAAACAAAAACAAAAACACGGTCACTGCTTCAGGAGTTTACTTGGCAACACATTTACAGTACATAAAAGACAAGTGGACAACATATGTTTTTAGATTGAAATAAATAAAGAGGTTTATTTGGTCCATTGAGTGAGGTGAAAAGTTAAATATAAAAAAATAACTCATTCAAACAGTCATAATTCTGTAAAGGTGCTTTTATCTCCAACGTTGATCATCAAAGGGAAGGCTGTTGTTTTTCAAGTCTCTTCATTCTACATGTAAGTATACTATAAATGACAAAGTCCACATGAAAACAAGCACCATCGTTCCCTAAACTGGTCCTCAGTGGAGTGAGAGGTGTTTCCTTTGGGCATGTGTCCTTTGAATATGGATAAATTAAGCAAAACAAGTTCAGATGATCTGAGACAGAGGTGGAGAATTTGAACGCATCCATCGGTCGCATCCCATTTCTGTGCATCCTTGGCTCCTCATTTCCTTTTCTTAATGGGTTGTAGAACCTGTCAAGTCATAAAAGTTGGCATCAAAAGCAGAGTTCTAGAAAGAAGAACAACATCTGCTTCACCTCAATAATGGGCAAGAACATCTTTCCGCAGTTAGGGCTGAGGTACCTAACCTTCTTTGCCTGAATAATCCATTGTATTTGTCCCAACAGAAAGAGTTAAAAGGATGATCATATCTCTGCTTATTAGGAAATATTTGATCTCATACTTGTATGAAAGAGACACTATTTGACGCTTTGGGCTGAAAGCTGATCGGCTGATTTTGAATGTTTCTGTCTGAAAAATGTGACCTAAAGACGTAGAGACCAAAAATACAAAAATGTAAAAGATAGTGTGGCAAGCTCTTGCACTCTCCACAATTTAAAACAATATTTTAAAAATGTGTTGCTTGAAGTAAGATTTATATCTTTTGTTGGCGAATCGACCACTTTGTGAAGTCCTCAGAGGCGACTGTTGTTCTGATTTAGGGCTATACAAAAATGCATTCAATTGAATAGAATCTACTCAAATCAAGAATTTACATATTTTTTCTCAGCCAAAATGAATCTTAAACTGTCTATGAGGAGTTTGGATCTCTTGCTCAGTTGCCCCATTGGGTCGATAATCGCCTCCCAAGGGCACAAGGAGTCAAGGAGGCGTGTGAAGCAGAGAGCAGAAATGGGATGCAGCCAGAGTTCCATCCTGGTCCGTCAGAGGATCGCACACATCCTCCTCTTCTTCCTCCTCTTCATCAGCTGCAGGTCCAGGTCCAGGAGCAGAGCCAGGAAGTTCCTGTTGGGGTAGATCGCCCTCTTCTGGACGACACAGTGCAGGGCCTGCTTCAGCGACATGTGCTCGTAGAACATGAGGTAGGCCAGGACCAGCGAGGACGAGCGGCTCATACCCATAATGCAGTGCACCAACACCTTGCCTGAAAGTAAAAGGATAACACACAGTTCCTACAACTTTCAAGTTACCCACACGTGAATGCAAACCGTACGGCTATATTCGGACTTTCCATAAAATAGCTCTGATGTAAGCACTGTATAATGACCTGTTCTGGATCTACAGCCTCAGTCCTGGATCTGCAGCCTCAGTCCTGGATCTACAGCCTCAGTCCTGGATCTACTGCCTCAGTCCTGGATCTACTGCCTCAGTCCTGGATCTACTGCCTCAGTCCTGGATCAACAGCCTCAGTACTAGTTCTGCAGCCTCAGTCTTGGATCTACAGCTTCAGTCCTGGATCTACAGCCAAAACACAAGCAGAGGTCTAATTCATTGCAACAATCAAAACGAGTGCGTCGCCTATTTGCATCCAAATATATGTATAGAATTATATATAGTGTAGCTTTTTTCCTGTGCTCTTAAATGCATCTGTTGGCATTGTCTCAGTAGGACCTGGTTTGCGTGGATATACGCCTGTGGCTCAATCCAGTTACGTCAAAAGGACTATGTTTTTTTACATTGATCACAGATTCTTGACACTTCAAGATTTATATATACTAAGCATCTATGACAACTTGCGTAATTAATTATTTCTTGTGTCTTTTAACCAAACCGCATTCTGCCGTCTCCTTTTCACAGATGTTCCACTCAGCACTCATTAAAACTGTTATTTTCTCTATAAAATAAAAATAGTCCATCCATTTCATCACTGGCTTACAAACGCCTCTATTCCCACAAAGCAATTCTCCAGGACCATCTCTGCAGAGGATTAGACTTTTTAATATCATACTTGACTGACTCTGGGCTGAGAATAGTTCCCACAATTCACAATTGCTTCTTGGTGTTTGCACTCTACTCTGTTACACACTGTACAGGAAGAAACTATATCGATTGTACGGCAAGACATGGAGGTTAAGTCCTGCTTTAGTCCTGCTTTAGTCCTGCTTTAGTCCTGCTGTAGTCCTGCTTTAGTCCTGCTTTAGTCCTGCTGTAGTCCTGCTGTAGTCCTGCTGTAGTCCTGCTTCAGTCCTCCTTTAGTCCTGCTTTAGTCTTCCTTTAGTCTTCCTTTAGTCCTCCTTTAGTCCTGCTTTAGCCCTGCTTTATTCCTGCTTTAGTCCTTCTTCAGTCCTCCTTTAGTTCCGCTTTAGTCCTGCTTTAGTCCTACTTTAGTCCGGCTTCAGTCCTCCTTTAGTCCTGCTTCAGTCCTGCTTTAGTCCTGCTTTAGTCCTCCTTTAGTCCGGCTTCAGTCCTCCTTTAGTCCTCCTTTAGTCCTGCTTCAGTCCTGCTTTAGTCCTGCTTCAGTCCTCCTTTAGTTCCGCTTTAGTCCTACTTTAGTCCTGGTTAATCTCACCGTCTGGAGACTTGACAGCGTTGCGGATGAAGTCTGCTGCCAGCCTGAAGTACTGGTCCAGGTCAAAGTAGGTGGAGTCCTCAGCCGGGATCCCGAGGTAAACAAAGTCGTTGCCGTAGAAATGCTGGTTCCCGATGCTTCCCTGTTTGGAGTGAGCGGCGTTCAGGACGTGTGTGATTCCCAACCGCACCAGAGCCGTCTTGTTTTGGGCCACTGCACTGGCAAAACAACATCGGCCACAGTATCATTAGAACAACAGACAAAAACATAAAGAGCAGTAAAACCACATTGGAATACTCGTGCAAAGGTATCCCAGTCTGGTGCACATTGGGTCACTCTCCCTGTGTCTATACCTTTGTCTCTCTGTACCTGTGTCTATATGTACGTATGTCTCTGTGTGTCTATATGTACCCGTGTCCCTCTGTGTCTATATGTACCTGTGTCTCTCTGTGTCTGTATGTAACCGTGTCCCTCTGTGTCTATATGTACCTGTGTTTCTCTGTGTCTATATGTACCTATGTCTCTCTGTGTCTATATGTACCTGTGTTTCTCTGTCTATATGTACCCGTGTCCCTCTGTGTCTATATGTACCTGTGTTTCTCTGTCTATATGTACCCGTGTCCCTCTGTGTCTATATGTACCTGTGTTTCTCTGTCTATATGTACCCGTGTCCCTCTGTGTCTATATGTACCTGTGTTTCTCTGTGTCTATATGTACCTGTGTTTCTCTGTGTCTATATGTACCTGTGTCCCTCTGTGTCTATATGTACCTGTGTCTCTTTGTGTCTATATGTACCTGTGTCCCTCTGTGCCTATATGTACCTGTGTTTCTCTGTGTCTATATGTACCTGTGTCCCTCTGTGTCTATATGTACCTGTGTCTCTCTGTGTCTATATGTACCTGTGTCTCTGTGCCTATATGTACCTGTGTCTCCCTGTGTCTATATGTACCTGTGTCTCTCTGTGTCTGTATGTAACCGTGTCTCTCTGTGTCTATATGTACCTGTGTTTCTCTGTGTCTATATGTACCTATGTCTCTCTGTGTCTATATGTACCCGTGTCCCTCTGTGTCTATATGTACCTGTGTTTCTCTGTCTATATGTACCCGTGTCCCTCTGTGTCTATATGTACCTGTGTCTCTCTGTGTCTATATGTACCTGTGTCCCTCTGTGTCTATATGTACCTGTCTTTCTCTGTGTCTATATGTACCTGTGTCCCTCTGTGTCTATATGTACCTGTGTTTCTCTGTGTCTCATATGTACTGTTGTGGAAATTCTGCAGTGACCAAGAGCAAAGATAATGTAAACAACCAAGAGCTATATAACAATAAAAGTGTGAGTTTATTCATTTGTAAATGTGCACACTTACAATGAATAACAGAACCGATACCGATACCACCGGGCAGCCGTCTAAGATCGTCTGCCACGATTGAGGAAATGACTGGACATTAAATTTCCTCAAATGACTGGACATTAAATTTCCCCCCCCTGGACTGCCACCTTAACGTGGTGGGGGAGTTTGAGTACTCGGATGATCCTGGGAGCTATGCTGTCTGGGGCTTCATGCCCCTGGTAGGGCCTCCCATGGCAGACAGGTCTCAGGTGACGAGTCAGACAAAGCGCAGTCCAGAAGACACCATGGACAGCACTCATACAAAAACAGTGACGTCGCCCGGCATGGCGCAGCCGGGGCCCCACCCTGGAGCCAGGCCTGGGGTCGGGGCTCGTAGGCGAGCGCCTGGTGGCCGGGCCTTAGCCCACGGGGCCCGGCCGGGCTCAGCCCGAATGGACGACGTGGGCAGTCCCTCCTGTGGGCCCACCACCTGCAGAGGGGTCCGTGGTGGCATGGTGCAGAGAGGACTGGGGCAGCAGTCGAAGGCGGAGACCTCGACGACCCAGTCCGCACACACAACAGCTGGCTCTTGGGACGTGGAACGTCACCTCACTGGGGGGGAAGGAGCCCGAGCTTGTGGGGGAGGTTGAGCGATACCGACTAGAGATAGTCGGCCTCACCTCCACACACAGCTTGGGCTCTGGAACCCAACTCCTTGAGAGGGGTTGGACGCTCCACTTTTCTGGTGTTTCCCGCGGGGAGAGGCGGCGAGCTGGGGTGGCCATTCTTATTGCCCCCCATCTCAGCCGCCACGTGTTGGAGTTCTCCCCGGTGAATGAGAGGGTCGCGTCCCTCCGCCTCCGGGTGGGGGACAAGTCTCTCACTGTTGTGACGGCCTACGGGCCTAACGGCAGTGCAGAGTACCCGGCCTTCTTGGAGTCCTTGGGAGGGGTACTGGACGGTGCACCGCCCGGGGACTCCGTTATTCTCCTGGGGGACTTCAACGCCCATGTGGGAAACGCCAGTGACACTTGGAGAGGGGTGATCGGGAAGAACGGCCCCCCTGATCTGAACCCGAGCGGTGCTCAGTTGTTGGACTTCTGTGCCAGTCACGGTTTGTCCATCACGAACACCATGTTCGAGCACAAGGGTGTCCACCAGTGCACGTGGCACCAGGACACCCTAGGCCGGAGGTCGAGGATCGACTTTGTTGTCGTATCATCTGACCTTCGACCGCGTGTCTCGGACACTCGGGTAAAGAGAGGGGCGGAGCTGTCAACCGATCATCACCTGGTCGTGAGTTGGATCCGCTGGCAGGGGAAGAAGCCGGTCAGACCTGGCAGACCCAAGCGTATAGTGAGGGTCAGCTGGGAACGTCTCGCTGAGCCCCCTGTCAGACGGACTTTCAACTCACACCTCCGGGAGAGTTTCTCCCAGGTCCCGGTGGAGGAGGGGGACATGGAGTCCGAGTGGACCATGTTCTCTGCCTCAATCGCCGATGCGGCGGCTCGTAGCTGTGGTCGCAAGGTCTCTGGTGCTGGTCCCGGCGGCAACCCCCGAACCCGGTGGTGGACACCGGCAGTAAGGGATGCTGTCAGGCTGAAGAAGGAGTCCTATCGAGCCATGATGGTTCGGGGGACTCCTGAGGCAGCTGTCCAGTACCGGCAGGCCAAGCGTGCCGCGGCCCGGGCTGTTTGCAGAGGCAAAAACCCGGGACTGGGAGGAGTTCGGAGAGTCCATGGAGCATGACTATCGGTCGGCCTCAAAGAAATTCTGGCAAACCGTCCGGCGCCTCAGGAGGGGGAAGCAGTTCTTTGCCAACACCATGTACGGTGCGGGTGGAGAGCTGCTGACCTCGACAGGGGATATTGTCGGACGGTGGAAGGAATACTTTGAGGTTCTCCTCAATCCCCCCGTCACGTCCTCTGTTACAGAGGCAGAGGCTGAGGATGTTGGGGCGGATACATCCATCTCCCTGGCTGAGGTCACCAAGGTGGTTGGTAGCCTCCATGGTGGCAAGGCTCCGGGTGTGGATGAGATCCGCCCTGATTATCTAAAGTCTCTGGATGTTGTAGGACTGTCTTGGTTGACACGTCTCTGCAACATCGCGTGGCGATCGGGGGCGGTGCCAATGGAGTGGCAGACCGGGGTGGTGGTCCCTCTCTACAAGAAGGGGGACCGGAGGGTGTGTTCCAATTATCGTGGGATCACACTCCTCAGCCTCCCCGGTAAGGTCTACTCCAAGGTACTGGAGAGGAGGCTACGGCCGATGGTCGAATCTCGGATCCAGGAGGAGCAGTGTGGTTTTCGTCCCGGTCGCGGAACACTGGACCAGCTCTATACTCTCCATCGGATACTCGAGGGTTCATGGGAGTTCGCCCAACCTGTCCACATGTGCTTTGTGGATTTGGAGAAGGCGTTCAACTGTGTTCCCCGGGGTGTCCTTTGGGGGGTTCTCCGGGAGTACGGGGTCGGGGGTCCTCTGCTGAGGGCCATCCGGTCCCTGTATGACCAGAGCCAGAGCTGTGTTCGCTGTGTTCGCACCGGGGGTAAGTCAGACCTGTTCCCGGTAAATGTTGGCCTCCGACAGGGCTGCCCTTTGTCACCGGTTCTGTTCACTGTATTTATGGACAGAATATCTAGGCGCAGCCAGGGGTCGGAGGGGGTCCGGTTCGGGGACCACAGGATCTCATCTCTGCTGTTTGCGGACGATGTTGTCCTGTTGGCTCCAACGAACCAGGACCTGCAGCATGCACTGGGACGGTTTGCAGCCGAGTGTGAAGCGGCTGGGATGAGAATCAGCACCTCCAAATTTGAGGCCATGGTGCTCGACCGGAAAAAGGTGCCCTGCCCTCTTCAGGTGGGTGGAGAGGTCCTTCCTCAAGTGGAGGAGTTCAAGTATCTCGGGGTCTTGTTCACGAGTGAGGGAAGAATGGAGCGTGAGATTGACAGGCGGATCGGTGCAGCGTGCGCAGTGATGCGGTCGCTGTATCGGACCGTTGTGGTAAAGAGGGAGCTGAGCCGAAAGGCAAAGCTCTCGATTTACCGGTCAATCTTCGTTCCCTCCCTCACCTATGGTCATGAGCTTTGGGTAATGACCGAAAGAACGAGATCGCGGATACAAGCGGTCGAAATGAGCTTCCTCCGCAGAGTGGCTGGGCGCTCCCTTAGAGATAGGGTGAGGAGCTCAGTCACACGGGAGGAGCTCGGAGTAGAGCCGCTGCTTCTCCACGTCGAGAGGAACCAGTTGAGGTGGCTCGGGCATCTGTTCCGGATGCCTCCCTGGACGCCTCCCTGGGGAGGTGTTCCGGGCACGTCCCACCGGGAGGAGGCCCCGCGGAAGACCTAGGACACGCTGGAGGGACTATGTCTCGCAGCTGGCCTGGGAACGCCTTGGGGTCCCCCCGGACGAGCTGGAGGAAGTGTGTGTGGATAGGGAAGTCTGGGCGTCTCTGCTTAGACTGCTGCCCCCGCGACCCGGCAACGGATAAAGCGGAAGAAAATGGATGGATGGATGGAGTAAACAAAGACATATCTACTCTAGATATTACATAAATGAAGTCAACATTGATATGTGTCGCTCAAGGCTTCTCTCTACGCTTTCTTACGCTGATTTAACAGTGATACTTGTAATAATCTGATTTGGCCTGAACATATTGTCCTATGACCCAGATGAAGTCGTAGACATGATGCAGCACGTCTCCAGAATCAGAATCAGAATCAGAATCAGAATCATTTTTATTGCCAACGTAAGTAACGGGAGGTCACAGACTTGGAAATTGCTTTGGCTCAGTGCAACAGTCAAAAAGAGATAATAAAAATAAGAATAAAAAACACTTCTAAAGAATAAATTTAAATTTAAAATAGAGTTACAGTTACTATTTACAATATACAAGTGCACATGGTGCACACAATGTAAGGTGACAGCAGTACAGTGAAGTAAAGTGACCATCTATCAGCTGACCTGGATACAACTGAATCCAGAGTCGACTATTAGTTAATAACTTACACTCATAACTATTTGGTGTTCATTCAGATTGTTTTACTAAAAGATTTCTACAACAGTACCCGTGTCTCTCTCTGTCTCATATGTACTTGTGTATCTCTGTGTCTATGTGTACCTGTGTCTATATGTACCTTTGTCTCTTTGTGTCTATATGTACCTGTGTCTCTCTGTGTCTATATGTACCTGTGTCTATACAGTATGTACCTGTATCTCATATGTACCTGTGTCTCTCTGTGTCTATGTGTACCTGTGTCTCCCTGTGTCTATATGTACCTGTGTCTAAATGTACCTGTGTATCTCTGTGTCTATGTGTACCTGTGTCTCCCTGTGTCTATATGTACCTGTGTCTCCCCGTCTCATATGTACCTGTGTCTCCCTGTGTCTATATGTACCTGTGTCTCCCTGTGTCTATATGTACCTGTGTCTCCCTGTGTCTATATGTACCTGTGGCTCTCTGTGTCTATATGTACCTGTGTCTCCCTGTGTCTACATGTACCTGTGTCTCCTTGTGTCTGTATGTACCTGTGCTCCTCTCCCCTTGTTGCTGGTCCATTGTCTTTGTTTGCCTGTTTAACTGGTTTGCATGTTTCATTTGGATCTCTGAGTGTTGTTTTTACCATGGACTTTTATTTCTATGAATGGAATGAATGAATGAATGAACGAATGGATTCAATCACTATAATTTGCAATATTGGGTCCTTGATCACTTCACCATGGATGGATGGATAGATGGTTTCGGATGCAGCTTCTTTTTGGTCCTCCTTTTTTGAACTATGCAATTTTTGATCTCAGTTTTGTAAAATGGATTGAATAGCTGAATAGAAAACTGGCCTGGACTGGTTTAGCTGTCATGAATTGGGCAATCTTTATGTAATCAAATCTAAACCTGGATGTCTTGTGTGAATTGGGTCAAATATAAGTCAATCATGGGGGGAATCCTTCTAATTGGTGATTAGAAAAAGTGGCCGTTTTTCATAAAAATGTCTAACTACCTGGAACTATTTTAGGAAAAATACTGTCAAGAAGAAGCAGAAGAAATAGACTACAAAATACTGTATGTTTATTTAGCATTTCACATTTCAAACGCCCTGCAGGAGGGTCTAAGGACATTTACTAATATGCGTTATATGGACATTGGTAATCCTGCCCCTTACCGACCAATGGCTTCTATGTGTTTGTTAAATTTGCATTTCCTGTGTTTGAACTGTTGAAAACTTGCAAACTTGACTTGGCCAATTGACCAATTGGCCAATTGACTAAACTTGCAAAGTCCTCCTAGACATTCAGGGCTATACAAAAATACATTAGATTGGATTGAAAAATAATAGTAAAACGCTGGGACTAACCAGGCCATTTTTCATCAGTTGTCCCCTGGAAATATTTAGGGTAAAAAACAGACTTCAAGATAAATTTACTTTGCATTTCACATTTAAAATTTCCAAAAATAGACTGAATACCGCACAGTTCCTTGGTAAACATTAGTACTTACATATTTCCGATAAAGATATTGGGCCACACTTCATCGATTTGTCCCAGATGTAACTTGCAGGTGTCGAGCATTTTCTGCAGGTCCTTCACTGTGAGGTACTCTTTCCTCTTTCGGCGGTGGGACATTTCCAAATCCCGCTTTAATCTGCGTTTTGGACACAGTTCAGGTCCAAATGGTTCGGAGCTGCAACTGTCTGCAGAGAGCCGACGTCTGCAAACAGGTGCCCCCTCTGACACCGAGGCCCAGGCCCAGATTTAGACCGGGACGTTGAGGCTATAGTCTTACAACAACTCAGAGCTGGTCCAGTTAAAAAAATGAAAGAAAAACGATGGCTATTTTAGCGACACACTAGGATTTGTCTCATTCTCTTGTTATGTACTGTACGTGTTAATGATGAATAGGCCGGTATACAAGTCACTATAACCATAAGAATGATAAAATAGTGACAAAACGATGCACTCCAGACAATGCCGCTGCGCAAGGTGATGATGGACCAGAGGATGCCAGACATAGTGACAAGGCAAGGCAAGTTTATTCTCAAAGTGCGGAACAAAACCAGATGGAAACAATCCCACAAGGCATTAACATCCTAAATCATCACAGTGCATTAAGAGTATACTTTAAATTGTGGAACTTCAAACTCCAGTTGCCAAGTCCATGAGTGTGTGTGATTTGTTTAGTTTAGTTCTTTCTAGTTTCTCGATCTTTCAAGTTTATCGTATGTTTTGTCTGCAGTTGACATCACCCACTCAGACAGCAACGCATGGAGAAGACTTGGAAAACAAAGATAAAAAATGACCAGAATATTTACTGTATATAGAACACAATGGAAATACCCAGCCAAGCCAAAAACTCTGGAACTGAAATCTACATCACTTGGTTTTAGGCACTTTTACCATCAAACTGCATCTCATATATTTACCGTCAAAATTGGTCTCTATAAATTGAAAAAATAGGGGTAAAAAATAAATAAGTAAAAACCAATATTTGTTTTATTAGTGCTCCTAAGTGAATGCTAAAGGGTTATTCTGTGACTGTTTATTGTATGCGTTTTTGAGTATTAGAAAAAGATCTATAAATAAGTACAATGTTGTAGAATTATTATCATTATTATTAATTTTATGCCAACAATAAAATATTCAATTAGTGGGCTATTTACACAGTTTAATGGTGAGATGGATCGCTTCTCAGTTTGATGTCCAGAGCTCGGAGCTGCTTCAGGAATCCTGTGTTTGGGAAAATCCACCGGTGCTGCTTCACGGTGAGGACGGCCTCCAGCAGCGAGAGACTGTGATGCAGCATGAGGTAGGACAGGAGCAGGGAGGCCGACCTGCTCACCCCCACTGCACAGTGCACCAGGACACGGCCTGAGAGAGGAGGGAGAGGGTAGACCTGGTTTAGATCTGGTTTAGTCCTGGTTTAGATCTGGTTTAGTCCTGGTTTAGATCTGGTTTAGTCTTGGTTTAGATCTGGTTTAGACCCGGTTTTGTCCTGGATTAGACTTGGTTTAAGTCTGGTATCCTGGTTTAGACTGGGTTTAGTTCTGGTTTGGATCTCATTTAGTCCTGGTTTAGGTTTAGACCTGGTTTAGACCTGGTTTGGACATGGTTTGGACATGGTTTGGACCTGATTTAGAGCTGGCTTAATCCTGGTTTAGACCTGCAAACCCTGGTTAAGACCTGGTTTATTACTGGTTTCCTGGTTTAGACTAATTAGTGTTCTGCTGATTTTTGGTCCTTTAGTGTGCCTTGTTTGAGACCCAGGTAAGTTAATTTGTCACAGATCATGTCCTATATTGTGTTGTCCTGGTGTTGGTTTTGTGTAAGTCAATGGTTTTCATGTAAACAAGACAACTGAAGAACTGGACAGAGAAGAAAAGAAGTTATTTCAGAGCATATGAAAACTTTGGCGAGATCAGAGCAACCTCAGTCATGGTTGGCTGTTTGCTTTGCTACACGACAACTATCCAAATAAGAGGTTTCATCCAGACTTTTTGCTAGACATAGTTTAACTCTCATACCTTCTTCCACTTCCAGTGCATTGTGAATGAACTTGGCTGAAGAAGTGAAGTATTTGGAGAGGTCAAAGCTCGGAGAGTCGTCAGCGGGGACCCCACAGTATTCCACCGAGGGCCCGTAGAAGTCTGGACTCCCCTCACTATGGGGCCGCCCGTGTGCTGCGTTCAAAACATGGGTGATTCTCAGCTTCCAGATGCTGTAGCGATCATTGGCAACTGTCCTGTGAAGAAATGGCCTTTGTATGAATCAACAGACCAAGTTTAGACCCCAGTGGTTCACAATGCATCATATAACACCTAGAAACTGTGGAATCCGGCTTTCACAAAATGGGCATGGGACAAACGCAAGACATAATATTCAAGTGATCAGGTCTTTAAGGTCACGGTGACTTCAGTTATGTCCTTGTTGTTAGGACAAGCTAACACCTGTGGATTTCTGTTTTTTGCTCTGACACAAATTTTCTTAAAACATTCTTGCCCTGTTTTCATTCTGTATGAAAAGACCTCTGAAAAAATTCTGAGAAAACTGAGAAAAACTGAAACAACTGGAATAAAGGCCCACGGGCATTTCAGCTTGATATCCTGCCTAAGCCATTTTTCTAAAAAACCCAGGAACACAACCTTAAGATGTATTATTATTGTTGTTTACTGTAACATGAATGATGTTACATTACTATGTTTAGACCAAGTACTAGAGAATGAACTGAAGAGTACAAACTGAAACTGTGAGGATATTTGAATGGGTAAAATGTCAAGAAATTGGTTTGGGATTGTACAAAGGGTCACAGTTTTACATGTGACCATCCTGGGAGATCCTTTTACAAAGCACTCACAAACCTTAGAATTTAGTGTATGTGTGACTTGTTAAAGTTGTGTAAATAAAGATAATTGAATTGAATTGAATAGACAGCTGGGGGTTACTGTATTTAACATTTATTGAAAACTGCATCTAGTTGTGCAATGTGTTACAAAACAATCATACAAATTGACAACAATCGACATTGTGTATTTTTTTTTTTTTAAATTAATCAGAATCAGAATTGTTTTTTTGTTTTTTGCCATTGTAAGTAACAGGTAGTCACACACTAGGAATTAGCTTTGGCTCGTGTTGCAAAAAAGATATACAGTATAAGGCACGCATATAAAAACTTCATTTGAATATTTCCTTAAAACTTCTACTATATACAAGTGCACACTAAGTACACACAATAGACAAAAATAAGTTACTATGTTACAAATATCACTGCACTCACATGTCAGCGAGGAACAGATTCGGCCAGACTTCGTCCACATGGTTTCCGAAACGTTTGCCGCCGTACAGAATCTTAAGCAGCTCTTTAACAGAAGGAGGCTCTGTGTTTGCTTTGGTATTTTCCATGTGCCAACTGTAAGTGAAAACAAGCTGTGTTCTGGGTGAGCACTTACTACCTACATGGTGGTACTGTAAGGGATCCTGTTGCTCTAATGTTACCAAGTGCCCTCAGAATAATGTAGATAATGTTACTTACATTTATACCTATACAATATACTTACACGGTTTAATGTATGTGAAATGAAGATATTAGCTTTGTTATTTAAATTAAGCGATCCTTTATCTGTCCCACAATGGGGAAATAGCTAAATTATTTAAGTTATCTAATTTTAACATAATAAAGAAGCAAGAATAAAATACTTTGTATTCTATTGCAAGAAATATATAGTTATAATGTCAATAAAGATTTATTATTAAAATGAAAACAGTGTCAGTATTGAAATAGTCCGTATTTGTTACGATTATTATTAAATCAATAGACAATGCATGTATTTTTTTAGACTTTCATTCAATAGAAATCCTACAACTTTGGAAATGATAAATAATATGTGTACCAAACTTTCAAACTACTACGGAGCCCTGCAAGGGCCAGGGGTAAAAAAATAAATAAACTGTGCGCACAGATTATTAAACTGTGCGCACAGATTATTAAACTGTGCGCACAGATTGTTAAACTGTGCGCACAGATTACTAAACTGTGCGCACAGATTACTAAACTGTTTAGTAATCTGTGCGCACAGATTACTAAACTGTGCGCACAGATTGTTAAACTGTGCGCACAGATTGTTAAACTGTGCGCACAGATTGTTAAACTGTGCGCACAGATTGTTAAACTGTGCGCACAGATTGTTAAACTGTGCGCACAGTTTAATAAACTGTTTAATAATCTGTGCGCACAGTTTAGTAATCTGTGCGCACAGTTTATTTTTTTTTACCCCTGGCCCTTGCAGGGCTCCGTAAACTACACAACAAATGCAACTATGTAAAAAAAATCCATCTAAATCGAAAACCTTTTTGGTTCTATCCCTAGTCTCCATCATAGGTCTATGATAATCTCTACCTCTATCATATTTTTGGATCATCTTGTTCAGACAAAAAAGGTGTTGTAGTACTACTTTCTACCAACAGAGTTCGCTGTTTCTGCACTGCTCATTTTCTAGCGCGTCTTTTCTCCAGACATTACAGCTCTGGTTTGACAACAGTGAGATGCTATCATGCTAATGCTAACTAGCCTGCTGCAACCAGTGCGAAATGACACCACACCAGCCCCTGTTTTTACCACTAACGCCATCTCTACAGACTGCCCCGTCATGTCACGAAGCTAGCTAACTCACACCCAATTCCCCCACCTCTACGTGCTACATTTCAACACAGGTACGTAATTTGTTATTTTAGCTCACACTTGTTGGTTAGAGAGCTAGCTGGTGGCTAATGCTAACAGTGGGTGAAGCATTGGCAAAAAGAGCAGCAATTTTGCAGACGATTGCAGCTTTTGTATTAATGCTTTTGTAATAGTTTGCTATCATTTATTTGATTTATATGTATAATATTATAATTTACTAATGGGGTAGTTATTGCTGTAATTTTGTTGTCGTAAATTAGCCTTGTGTCTAAATCACTGAGGGGTAAGTACAATGCCTTATGTTATTCCTCATTAATTAACTTTATTGAAATAATTTACAATTTTCGTAATATTTAAAAGATCTGCACTCCAAGGAAGTTTAGTTTTATTTGATGTACAATAGCCTACTTCAATAAAATGCTTTATAGTGTGGGGTGTAAAAGAAAAAAAAACATTGCAACATACGTTTTAATAAATTACGTACATTTATTGCAGCGCAGTGGTTTCAGACGTGGGGGTGAAGAATCTTCGGGAGAAATCTATTTTGTTTTGCAATAGAGGCGTTTTTTGTGTTTGCTGATATGATGAAAGTTCCAGTGTCCACTTCTCTCAAGTTAAACACAGGCAGATTGAATATTAAATCATCCTAACGAAAGACACTAAACAAGGTAACTTTGATTTCCTCTGTTCTTTTCAGTTATTGCAAATATTAAGTAACACATAACATTTCATATTATTTATTTATAGTGTTAGTAATAGGAGTGCATTACTTGTTCACATAAGCTATAGTGCAGTACAGTGCCCTTGGATTTGGGCGTGCCGTCTGCCAAAACGGTACCAGAGGTTGTTATTTCAAAAACAGAAACTGATATGGAACCCAAATGCACAATGCTTACAATAAACTGCTGTAATCCTCAATAATTGTGGCTCACGGAAAGTCTGGTCTCGTTCTCAGGGGCCCATCTTGTCTCTTGGGTCGTGTTTTGTCTTGCTGTTATGCAAATTAGCTTGTGATGGTAATATTATTCCTTAAATATACTTAAATGGTAATGGAAAGATGGTACTAGTAGAAGTTGTTTTTCTTTGTGAACCGCCATTATCCTTCCTTGATAAACTGCCTCACTGTGTATCCTTCTCTTCTTTGTGCACTGCAAAACATTATAACATATAAGGTAATAAATGCTTGAATCAAGTGTTTTTATCTTAATTTGAGTACATGAAACAATATTTTCCAATGGCGACAGTAGCTGTTTAGTCTTATTTCAAGTGCTGTTGCAAATTATTTCTTAATTTTCTTTTCAAAAACAAGAAGGGATATAGGGGTACAACATTTTTTATTTTTTCTCCATAACTGAGAAGCCCTTAATACTTAAACAGTATGTATGTATGAATTCTATTTTCAGTAACATTTCAGACACAAGGTCAACATGTAAAAATCATATTTAGCCTTTTCTCAATCAAAATGTTATGGCAGATTTATTACAAATTCAATAATTGGGAAATTGATAGAAATAATAATGTAATTGTATTTTTGTACGATTTTGCAGTTGCACCATATTACACTTCCCCTAAGAGGACTGGGCAATAAATAAAAAGTATTCGATAATTTTTTACATTAAGTGAAAAATGTCAAAATTGTGACATTTTCAAAGGCATCATTATCCATGCTTTTATCTCATTTTATAGATGTTCTCTATAACTTTGTGCAGCATCAACAAACCCTAACAGAACAGAAAGAAGGAAAAAACCTCTTCCTGTCCCTCGTTTTGGTGGTTTTTAAAACATTTAAAACATTTTCACCCACCCCCAAAGTTACCCATTGTTGGTCGAGCATCCAATTTTGTTTTTTTGGTCTCAATCAGCGGTCTTCTGTCATAATCGTCCAAAAGAGAACCAAATATTGATATAGATTGTACTTCTATGCCTTGTCGCCCAGCCCTCATCCCTCTTTGAATACACACGTTCGTTATGTTTCCAGGTGTGTTGCCATGACGCAGCTGAGTGTGCGGCGCTGGACCACCAAACACGTGGCCAAATGGCTAAAGGAGGAGGGCTTCTGTGACTATGTGGACCTGCTCTGTAACCGTCACCGGCTGGACGGCACCAGCCTCTTGGCCCTGAGCGAATACGACTTGCGCTCGCCGCCCCTGGAGCTCAAAGTGCTGGGAGACATCAAACGCCTCATGGTCTCCATCCGAAAACTACAGAAGCAAAACCTGGACGTGCTGGAAGAGCTGGGGCTGCCCTTCGACGGACACTCGCCCACAGGTGAAGCACAGTTGGAGACGTCGGTTTGACCTGTAGTTAGAATCTATGACAACTTTACTTTGGGTGTTGGTTAGATATGAGTCAATAATCGTTACGAGTTTAATTTGTTCCAAAATGGAGAATCCCTTGATACCAGTATCATGGATTTATGGCAAAACGCAAATGAGGAACAATGGAAGCAATAGATTTGTGAGCGTAAATTTCTGCTTTGTTCTTGGTTTGATAATCAAGTCCAAAACCTCCTAATGACAAATATTTGATTGCCCTCTTCTGAGAAATATTATATGACACAAATATAATTGTGCGGCACGGTGGCAGAGTGGATAGCACTCTCGCCTCTCAGCAAGAAGGTCCTGGGTTCGAATCCCGGTCGGATCAGGGCCTTTCTGAGTGGAGTTTGCATGTTCTCCCCGTGTCTGCATAGGTTTCCTCCGGGTACTCCGGTTTCCCCTACCACTAAAAATATGTCCAATAGTTCTGGCATGTGCCTCCTGTACTGGCGACACCACTCCAATCTCTGTGTGGAGTGAGAGATTAATGCCCAAAATTAACAATTGTAAACCGCTTTGAGACTCAGATCTGCAGTGAAAAGGCGGTATATAAATAAAAACGTACTTACTTACTTACAAAATACCTCATACCCAGTGGTAGTGAAGCCCCTCGCTCGCCCACAGGAGCTGGTCTGGAGTGGCTGTGTAACGGCGACGGCGCGCGGGACTGCGACAGCACGGACACGGCGCCGGTCGGGGAAGAGTACCACACGGGGCAGTACACCAACGGCAAGTACAAGAGCACCCCCCGCAGGCTGGACCCCGAGTACTGGAAGACTGCCCTGAGCTCGGTCTACGTGGTGTTTGTGTTCGGCTTCACATCCTTCGTCATGGTGATTGTGCACGAGAGGGTCCCGGACATGCGCACCTACCCCCCGCTGCCCGACATCTTCCTCGACAGGTGAGTCCTCCAAGACGACTGCTGTTGTGATTTAGGGCTGTACAAAAACAAATTGAACTGAGCGGCCATGACTACATGTTCTCAGTCTGGCCCAGGGCAGCTGTGCCTAATACAGAAATAGCTTGAATTGTGAAAGACTGACATTTAATTCACAATTAATACATGTTTGTCTCAACAGAAAGAATTTAGTAAAGATGTGAACAGACCACATCTTTGACATACTTGTAAAGAGCCTTGTGACTATTTGACGCTTTGGGCAATGAGCTCCCCTTGAATGTTATATATATTTTTTTAAGCACAGTGTATTTTTCCCTTACTAAGAAGAATGCATTTAAAAAAACTGAAAATAAGAAATGTTTTGTCACTTGATATAGTAAATGATATAATTTACTGCTAATCTAAGTTATGCCTTAGTAATAGTATACAGTCAAAATCTGCGCAGATCAATAAGAATAGGACCACTTTCTATGCCAACAAAATGTCTGCGTAAAAATACAAGATTTGTTGTCAAAAAGTACAAAAATCTGTCTTTCTGATTGAACTGGCTATTTATTTAACATAAATCCCAATTCTAGTGAGTAATGTTGTGCCAAAGTGGTGCAGCCACAGTGGAGTGAATGAAAGACATTGTAACGTTGAACTGACTGTTGGTCTGTCTGCAGTGTGCCTCGTATCCCATGGGCCTTTGCGATGGCCGAAGCCTGTGGGGTCATTCTGTGTAATATCTGGCTGATGGTTCTGCTGCTTCACAAACACAGGTAAAGACTGACCAAGCCAACGGTGATCCAAGATGGCGGTGATCCAATCAATGGCTTGTGCTCAGTATTGATGGGACATACATGGGACAGAAAGATTAGCAGAACTCGTCCATATTTGGGCATTGGAGCATGGGCGGGTTTAACTAGTGCTTGTCTTCAAAAAGTTACTCTTTCTCTTTGCAATTTGATAAGTGACTGACATCCACTTTAATTGTTTGATTCTGCAATTGGCACAGTCTTGTAAAGTCCTTTTAGAGGCGACAGCTGCTGTGCTATTTTGGGCGGTATAAAATGATGATGAAATGAAAAAGAACTGATTACTGTTTTTTTTAATTTTTTTTAATTTTTTTATTTCAGCCACTCACCAGACATGTACACACAGGACACACAACACAACATAACGCAATGACAAATCCCACCCACCAAGCAACCTTAAAAACAAAATACACAAGCCCGCCGACAGATACATAACTAACAGGCAAGACAAAAAATAATATATATATATATATCTAAATAAACAACAACAACAAAATAAGAAGAACAAACCAAAATAAAAACATAGAGACCAAACACACACAAGTCCCCAAGGCCTTCATCCATCCATTCTCTCATTTCCCAGTTTCTATGCGACATCAGTCCCATTTCAACATCTTCCATTTTTTTTCGTGCACAATTATCCTTTTGTGTTTGAAGCTATTATTTTTTCCATTTCATATTGTTGTTTCAGTTTATTTTTAAAGTTATTCAAACAGAGTTCTGTATTGGTTTTACATTTAAAGATAACAATTTTACCCATCAGGATGATTACATTCTCTACATTCGTTGAGTTGCTGTCCAAGATTCCCAACATTATATTCATGGGATTGATGTCAATCTCGATCCCTAATCCACACAACCATCTTTGGACCATCGTCCAGAATAATGAAACATATGGGCAAAAATAAAATAGATGCATTAGGTCTTCCTCCTCCTCTTCACAGAATCTACACATGGGGCTTTTAATGATCTTACATAAATTCAGGTGTTTTCTTGTTGCTGTAATTTTATAGAATAGCTTTATTTGGAAAACCCTAGAGTAAGAATCTATGGCAGTTTTGTATATATTTTGGAAAAAATGTTTCCATAAAACCGGACAATTGAATTCATCTTCCAATGCAGTGCAGATTCTGTGAGGGTAGAAGGCTGTTCCAGACATACAAACATTATACCTGTACATATGTTTGTTTATCTTGTCCATTAAGAATTTGTTGCATCTCACTCGTGGCAAACATACTAATAATTTGTCCTTGTCTTTCAGTGTTCTTTTCCATTTCAATGGGATTGCTGACAGCAGCTGATTGTACTTATATGGGTCCAAGCAATATCCATAGTTTGTACAAAACTTAGAATGAGGCAAAAAGTTTCCCGATGTGTCCATTAGATCATTGATAAACATAACTCCATTATTCAAACATGATTCCCATAGAAAAGGTCGCCCTTCGATTAGAACATTAGAATTCATCCAAAGCAATTGATTTTGAATCTCCTGAAAACCGTCTGGAGGATGATATTGACTGATTACTGTTATTGGGTTCAGGTCCATTCTGCTACGGCGCTTGTGCAGTCTGATGGGGACCGTGTTCATGCTTCGCTGCATCACTATGTTTGTGACCTCGCTCTCCGTCCCGGGACAACACCTGCAGTGTTCCAGCAAGGTAATCACAGTCTTCACAAAGCTGCAATTGTCTCACTCCCTCGCTCACTCCCTCAGCCAGTGGCCAGTGCCAAAGATGAGCCAGTAGTTTTAATATAGTAGATGCATTTCATTTCATTTTTTATCTTTTGTTTGTTTTGCTTATGTTTCTGTGTATTTGTCTCGACTGACTTTGTCCACAAACAAATAATAAATATAGATATATATTTTTTGAAGTATAAGCTGAACTGTGTTTTTTGAGTTCATTCATAACAAGTGCCCAGGTTTGCATGAATAGGAGGGTCAAAAGACAGTGATGATCCGCAACATATATGGATATTTATGAACTTCTACCTATTGATCAATGCTTCTTATGTGTTTATTATTGCATTACTGGTGTTCAAACTGTTCTCTGAACGCTCCGACTGAGGGATTTTAATGTATTCACCCAGTGATCCAAGATTATTTTAGACCAAAAAAATATTTGTTTGCCATTGCGATAAGAATGAAATATGAATGAGGGTGGTATGAGGAATGTATCCATGCATTTTTATTAGAATTAACTTTCAAATATCTAAATTTTAAAGTAACTATTTCAATTCAAATAATTCAAGGCATGGCTAGGTTTTTGCAGTGCCTTTTCTGTTTGGAGTTTGCGTGTTCTCCATTTATCTGTGTCCTCTGGTTGATCTGGAGGGTCGGTTGAATGATTGTGTGTTTGTGTGACTACAGATCGACATAAGCTGCAAAGCCGGTATCTGGTGTTTTTACAGTAACTGATCATTAATGCCCACTGTCCCATCCAACAGTGACAATAGATAAAACTCTACATTTGTTTGGATGCATTGTGATATAAGTCCTCCTCATGAGACGTGTTCCCCTGTGACAGATGTACGGCGACATGTGGGCCAAGCTGCAGCGAGCCGTGTCCATCTGGAGTGGCTTCGGGATGACGCTGACCGGGGTCCACACCTGCGGAGACTATATGTTCAGCGGACACACTGTGGTCATCACCATTCTCAACTTCTTTGTCACAGAGTGTAAGTCCATCCGTTTATAAAGCACTCAACAGACCATTACAGCAGGCAAGATACATTTAAACCAGGGCTGTCAAAGTTAACACAGTCATTCTTGTCAATTATCAAGAAAATTAGAATCTAGAATTTCGCACACTTGCACACTGTCGGGGACTACAACCTGGTACAATACATCTCTCCTTTTGGTTAATGTTGATTTGCACTGTCCCTGTAAAAATCATACCATGTCATACCATACTTAATCCTAAATTAATGAAGCAGTCTGTTTTCTCCCGATATTTGCAGTAGCACTAATATCATATAGATCCAGTGATTTTTCAGCTCATCGTGTGTTTGTCAGCATGCGGCAGTGAAGTTCTGACAAAAAACATGAGGAAACCGCAGCTTACGTCTGCAACCAGAGGCTCATCCACAGTGAATGATCCATGAAACCTCAAGGTTACTTAACATAACCCTGGTTCTTTGATAACAGGAGTTTGCTTATCTTGGTTTTCCAACAACATTCTATTGTCACTGGCTGTGCAGTGTGAAACGGAGTGCCAGTTTTCTGTTCCCATTTTTGCTTGACGCATATTGAATTATCCACAGTTCCGGGTTTTGCAAGCACATACTCTTTGGCCCACTAGATTCTTTGACGGCACTGATAGAAACACAAGATTCACCCGTTCCTTTCCTTTCCTCTCCTCTTTTCGCAGACACCCCTCGGAACTGGCACTTCCTCCACACTCTGTCGTGGGTTCTGAACCTCTTCGGGATCTTCTTTATCCTGGCGGCGCACGAACACTACTCCATTGACGTGTTCATCGCCTTCTACATCACCACCAGACTCTTCCTCTACTACCACACACTCGCCAACACGCGGGCCTACCAGCAGAGCCGCCGCGCCCGCATCTGGTTCCCCATGTTCTCCTTCTTCGAGTCTAACGTCGGAGGCCCGGTCCCAAACGAGTACTGCTGGCCCTTCTCCACTCCGGCCATCTTGCGCCGGCTGATAGGGTAAAAAAAAACAATACAACGATGTGGTTTTTTTTACGATAGGCGCTTAATGTGATGGACTGCAAAGCCTTGAAGTAACCCAACATACGCAGTGGTGATAAAAGTACCCTTAAAGCTGTGTCACTTCTCTGGTACGGGGTTTTGTTACGTGCTTACCTTTTTGTCTTAGGATCCGTCGTAGCTTTGCCTTGAAAAGTTCCACGATATGACATTAAACTTGGCTACTTCATATTTATTATCCACTACTTCATACAAAACGTATTTATTTTGAGTGGCTACAAGATGGATAAGTTTAACCCTTATGTCAAATTGACCCAACACAGTGATAAAATTACCCTAAATATTGTTTTTTTGAGCTAAATGTTGATTAAATGTTGACTGATTTAGCATATTTTTCTTCTACTTTTAATCACTGTGATGGGTAATTTTTACCTGAGGGTAGCGCAAGGATTAAAACAGGCTCTGCGCTGACAGGAAAATCATTATTTATACTGAGTGTGTTTGGACCGACCTAAATAGGGCTAGTGTATGGAACTAGTCATTTTTGTCTTACTTCGGGCTTAGTTGTATTTTTCCAAGCGTTTTTAACGTCAGACTTATCACAATTGAATACAAGTATTTAGTCAGGGAACCATCCATTCATTTTTTATGTATGAAGTGTGGTTTACGATTGTCCATAGTCGGTAATTGGGTGCTACTACTGTCTAGCATTGTCAAACTCGTAGCCAATTGTATAAATGTTTCCTGATAACGTATGTCGAGAAGCGAACGATTACTGCCGTTTGTGCACATTAAACATGAGGGAAGAGAGCTTTGCGCTCGCTGCCACCTGCTGGATCTGTGGACAAACTACAAGCCTCCGTCCGTCCAATGGTGTGTCATCATTGTTGCCCTCCTTGTTCTGTGATTGGTCCCAAATCCATGCGAATGGTTTGGCCCGAGTTTCCAGGCTGTTTTGGAGTAGATGATGATTAAGAAACCACAGCAGCAAAGGGATACCTAGGCAATTTATTTCCTCTGTTCAAGCAATTTATTTAGGTGGACCAAGACATTCTTGTTCTATCTGCAAATCTGATTTAATACAAATTACTTCGTCCATCCTTTTTCTTTTACTTTACCCTATTGCCGGGTCATAGAGACACAGTCACCAGCTCAACAAGAAATTTAGTTTGTGGTTAAAAATTATCTATTCTGATCCTTGTAAATCCCAATATATTTCTTATCTAATTTAACACAACTCTCGTATGAAACCGCCTCTTTGTTTTCTCTGCTTTACTGAAGTCTGTGGACGGTGAAGTGTATTCATTTTTTTGTGCCAAAATAGTTTTGCTGCTGAGTCTGGAGAAATGGCGTCCTGAACACTTGAATCATGCACAACGTTGGGTGGACACATGAAAAAAGGGAAGACCGTTATGACGCAGTGAAAAGCACTGAGGAGTAATGTCTGTGGAACATTTCAAGTAAAGCCAAAAATCAGGTTTTATTCCATCGGAAAAGTGGCAGTGGGCACAGGTACATGGCTTAAAACGTACCTTAAAGACATTTTCGGTCACTTTCTAATGTTATTAAACTATTTAAACAAATTGGGGTCGTCAAAATGGACGCAAACCTAGAATAAAACACTTAATTATGGCACTTTTTTCATTTTGATTCCCTCTGTGTATTAGGAATATATAAGAGGTTTAAATTGTTTGTTTGATAAGAATTTGTCAATCTTCAGTGATCTATGTTATTTGTGTATTTTATTTAAATTATTAAGGGAAAAATACCATTCAAATCACATTATTTCAATTTTTGCATTTATTTTGAAAAACCACTACCTTTTTTGTGTGATATTGCGTATTTTTCAAACTTGCCAATTCATTCAGCACAGTTTAAACCTCAAATATGTGACTTGTCATATTCTCTCCTTGACCATTTTTCTCTCAAGTTGCCATTGGGACTTTAAAGCAATGCCCTGAAACCTAGAGCCATAACATTTACTCACTGCTCACTATTATTAACATATTTAGTGTGCATTAAAGCTAACAGCTGGACTTATCACAGGCCACTTAAACATTTTTGGAGATCAATAATTCAGTAGACCAGCGCTCAGGCAATAGACCATTCATATTAATAATAGCAGCCACGCAATTTCTCCTCGTGGTAGAGTCGCTGCTTCTTGGAGGCTTTTTGTAGAGAAATGATTACTAAATGTTTGGACTAATAATATAATCGATATAGTCAAAGTACTATTATTGTTTTAGGGCCTGCAGTGGCCTTACAGAGACATGTTCTTCAGTGTAAAAAAGTAAAGTTAAAGTCATGTATAAATGTTGAAGGGGTAGTACTATGTAATGTCTATGGTTGGCTTCCTTGTTTCTATGGAGATGTTATTGCTTTGTCTGGGGTTGTCTTATCATGATATTAATACAATTTCAATACCACTGTGATTTTAAAACTGCTCTTTTGATGGACAATAAGATTCATAAGCTGTAAATTTGTAAATGTTTCCTAATCTGTCCAAATATAAGACTGAAATCTGCCATCATTCCCCTTTGTTCGGTCAATCATATGAAAGGCAGAACATTGCAGTAGTAATAATTAATTTTTTCTTAGTATTTTTTCCTCCCTGAGAGGCAAGACTGGTCCAGTAATGTCTTTCTAAAATATCATAGAAAACAACAGCGAGGTGATTGCGTGATTTGATAATCAATGCAGCGATCACAGACAAGATGCGTGGACATATGGACGATGCATGAACAAAAAGTACAACAATAACGATAATCGCAGTCAACAAAAAAGACAGCCACCCAAACAGACCTCTCTCCTGTCCAGCGCCCCAGGTGTGTGCCCATTCTTAGCCTTGTGCACACACACACACACACACACGCGCCCTGCACTGCCTCCCGTCTTCCACCAGCCAAGCATACATTCATTCATACTTTGTAAAAACCTAACAAATGTCTTACTTTTAATCAATCTGTAGAAAAAAGAAAAGAAAAGTGAGTTTCTCAGAATTCCATTGGTTTGAATGGGAGCAGTCAAAATGAGGGCTCTGGGAGGTCTAGTAGTTTCATAATGTTAATGATATATAATGTGGACCAATCCAAGCAAAGCAATAACTTCTCTCAAAGTGACATAGTACACTACTACGGCCTATTATCTTGTTTTAATTTATATAATTCAAACTATTGTATAAATATTACCCACAGCACATTTATCTCTTTTCGTCCAATACCTGTAATTACTGATCAGCCATAACATTACGACCACTGTTACAAGTAAGACACAGATGATTTAAATCTAGGTTACTTTTCCTCTGCAGCGTTTTGCTTTGCTGCAGGACCAGGTGAAAAATTGAATGATGTGTTATGAAGCAGGCGGCCTTCATGTTATGTTTGGTATTTCCGAAAAGAAAAGCAAATTTTCCGGTTTCTAAACAGTGAAATGTCGTTATTGTTTTTCGACTTCAAGAGTGAAACTTCTGTGTGTTTGTCAAACCATGTCAATATTTTGTCTCAGAAGAAAATAATTGCCAATCATTTTGAGTGTTATAATTGCTTTGTTTGTGTCTCCAGAATTTCATGTTTTTGGTAGCCGTATAGTGTTTTCTATGCTATGATGCCGTGTACATAGTGAATTATGTATTGGCCATTTTTTGATGTATGTTTGTATTAATTTATTCCTTTTTTTCTAAACGTTAATACATATTTTTATATATTACCAAGTCGAAGCAACATGCACAAAAAACATGTTTACAGTTGCTCTGGTGATGATTTCTTTTTCTGTTCTTTTTTTTCCTCCTAATGTAATATTCATTTACATTTTCAAAAAGTGAAAATATTAAGATTTATTTTTGGTAACATTTCGGCTGTCTTCGTGCAGTGCCGTAGTGGTCATTTCATGTAATTTTCCCCCATTTTGAATATTAATAAAAAATAAAACGTATCGCTTGTGTTTGTCCATTGCTTCACTCTCTGCTTTTGTGAGTGTGTGGCTGCATTCCTTTGACTATCAGAAGTGTAGAGATAGTGCTCTACTATCTCTACACATGCAAAGTGTGCAACTGAAAATGTACCAAAAAGGTTGTAAGAAAGCATCAGAAGTTGTATTGGACTGAATATGTCAAGACCTAATTTTCCTTCAAATTAATTTTTGCGAGCTCAGCTTTATTGATAAACGTACAAGAGTATGTTACAATGCTAATCATGCATATGCCAAGGCGGAAAAAAAAAATCCCTTTAATCACAGCAAAACATGTTTGTGTTTTTTTTTTTTTTTTTTTTTTTATCAATTTAATTCACCAGGTTTTTTTTGCTATCAGAGTAAATCATCTTTATTTATATGGGGGAACTAAGTTTTCCCCCAACTTTCCATATATTCTATATTAATTAATGACAACACTGTTCTGAATGTACTGTATCCCTGTGTACTGTACTCTCCAGCATTTGCCTGGCCTGCCAGACACTCCTCCTTTCTGTTCAAAAGAAGAAAAAGCATATCGTTTGGCAGGCCAGGCAACTCCAGCATGAGAAAGAATAATGGGCATCTATCGGAGTAATATGCAGCATTTATCTATATATTAGCTAGCGTTACATAAACCGTGAGCAAATCGCTTCACCAACTTGCTTGGCGGACGTTGCTAACATAGTAACGGTTGCTAGGGCATGTGATTGATGAGTCAACATTTTGAGGCGGGGCTCATCTTTATATTATTTTTCCTCCCGCAGCCATTTTGGACAGGCGCGCGTGGGACAGCTATTTGTGGGGTCCTGCAGTGCCGAGGTCAGCTCTCCTTCACCGTCCTTACACCGGCTTCTCAATTTACGTCTTTCCCGTTAACTCCAGCACTTTTAAACACATTTAACACAATACTCGGTAAGTAATCTGTCCCATTTGGCTCCGTATATACACAGTTTATGTTTTTGTGTCTTAGCTTTTTGAAGGTGAACTGCTAAAGGCGAAGCTAGCTCCTGTGTCTGACATACGCCCCCCACTACAGACAGGTTACTAGTTATGTAAATGTGCTTTTTTACGCTGTGTCGCAATGTATAGTAATTTAAAGTTTAACCGCGCGATTTGAATTTGTGCTAGGTTATCTGAGTGCAGGAAAAATACAAGATTAACCCACGTTTTATATTCTAGTGGAGCAAACACGCACGGTTTAGTTGCGGCTTGACACAACTGGTACCTAGTCATGGTGACACCTTGAAATGAAGTGGTCCCCATCGAAATTGTTGTTCAAAACAGAAGTCTTCCGAAATGTCCACACCTTTTCTTCAATCTATTACTTGTATACTGTTTATTTCAGTGTTTTATATGACATAGTACATTTTGTTTTTTCTTCACACATTTTCTATCAAAGCATTTTTTGGTTTTGAGGGTAAATACATGCTTGGATTCTACTATTATGTAACAACAGTTGTGTTTTGCTGATCTAAAAATATTAAAGTGACAGTGAGAGACTTTTCTGTAGGTATGGCATACCATAACTTAGCAGCGTAATGTCTGTTGTTTATTACCATACTGCGTGTCCCTGGCCAAAACAACAACTTCAAAAGCAGTCTTGGAGCGCAAACCTCCACCAATAGGCATTGTTCCTGGATCCAGACAGTGATCCTAATTTGATTTCTGAGCTTACTGGACTGGTGCACCCTGCACCAAAACATAAAAAAAAAACAGTATTTCATTGATTTTGAACCTTTTCTCAGGAACTTGTGAAACTAACTCATTATTGACAGTTGTATTACCAGATATCTGTGATTTTATTAGCTAATCTACAATCAATCTTATTATTTTGATCCACAGGCGTCATGGCAATCCCTCCCGCCTTCGCAGATCTGGGAAAATCCGCTAAAGACATTTTCAGCAAGGGATATGGTAAAGCTGATCTTTTAACAGTCCCTCATGATGATATTAACTATAAACACTTGGTCCTTGTATTCAAAACAGTATTGATCATGTAAGGGCGTGCTGTTTTCTCTTCCATCTCTGTGTTAGGGTTATGTGAACTCAGTCCCTTTGCCTCATTTGTTATTCATCGTCTGCCAGCGGTTATTTTGTTGTTAAGGTTTGTTTGGAATTAGTTTTGAGAATGATTTTGTGTCTGCAGGATTTGGTCTGATCAAACTCGATGTGAAAACGAAATCTTCTAATGGTGTGGTGAGTTACGTCAACAAGAAATACAGGTTTATTTTAGGGATGGTTAAAAGTAATGAGAACCTCTGCTTTTATCCACTCTAGACCTGGTTTCACTTAGTGCTGGTTCAAACCGGTTTTATCCTTATATTTGTTCTAGTTGTGGGTGTTAAGTCATACCTGTAGATAAGTTTCTCTTATGGTGCTTTCAGACCGCCAACGCTGAAGCGCACGTTCTCTAGTTTACAGACGCAGGAGTCTTCAGACCAGAGGTCCTGGCGCGTGCCGGAAGTAGCCGGCGGGCTCTGATGCTAACAGAGTTTAGCTAGCGACTTCTTGTGTACAGATCCTCTCCAATAATGCAGCTTTGCAGGGTGTCTGTGTTCAGAGACCTTCCAGAGACTTTATATAACAGTAGTATGTGTTCACGGAGGTGCGCAATAAGTGTATTTTATTATTAAACGGTGCTCCCGCATCGGCGAACACGCTCGAAGCAGTTGCATAAAGTCACGGGAGCATGAAAACTCACATGTTAACAAGCACTATGTCCCCCATTGTCAACCCTGGTTTAGTCCTGGTGTAGCTCCTGTTTTGGCTGTTCATGAGCATGTTCAGTCTGCTCGCTCAGACCGTTACTGTCCCCGTGACTACTTTGCGGCTCTCTGATTGGTTGCTGCATGAACGTCCCTAGGAAAGGTTGGGCAAAATTAATCTCCTGCGTTCCTCCCCTTCGACTTCCCAGCGTGTGCATTCCACGCGTCACCATTGACTTTGCATTGGAAGCCGACGCAACGCATGATCCGCTCTGAACGCGGCATTAGACTTTAATGTTAAGGTTCAGGGCAAAAGCATAGGATTCTTTTGAACTTAATATATCAAAATAATGCATTTCTTTAGACAAACCTATATTGTATTTGTCCCACAGTGGAGAATTATAGTTTTGCAATGTCAATGCAGGAACCGTATGAATATTGGAGGTGTTTGCAAAATGGGAAATATAAATTATGTGGTTTATTTGTAAGATAAAACAAAGTGCTTAACAAAACAAGATGGACACAATCACACAACATTCAAATCAATAAATAATCACAGTACATTAAAACGAGTGAAGATAGTTATTCACTTGTATGCACAGCTAAACGGAACTAATTTGATTTGTCAGAGTAGAAGCCAGGCTCACATTTTCAGGAAGACTGTTCCAGATAAAAAAATAACACAAATCAAACTACAATATTAATCTGAGAAACTGGATATTCCTCCATCATCCTCTTGCATGTTGTATTAATAACTTGCTTCTTTCCTGTTTTTCCAAATACATAAAATATATATCTTTCTTTTCCATTTGTAGGAATTCAAAACTTCCGGATCGTCCAACACCGACACCAGCAAAGTGACCGGAGCTTTGGAGACAAAGTACAAATGGTCTGAATATGGTTTGACCTTTACGGAGAAGTGGACCACGGAGAACACACTGGGCACCGAAGTCTGCATCGAGGATAAGGTGAAAAAAACAGCATCGTATTATAATGTTGTGTAATAATTGTGTGTGCGTTTGGTTAATGCAAGATTAGACTAAAACCAAAGAAGGGACTGAAGTGAAATTTTACCATTATTTACTTTTCAATTCTTGAACCTGAACAAAGACATACAATATTGAGAACATATTTTTTATCAATAATATTTTTACAAACATATTTTCGAAAATAAATCCCACTCCAATAAAATTTTTTTAAAAAATCAGCTCCCCGTTTATAGGCACCAGTTTGAGGACTGGATACAATATTCCATTAGATTTATTATTGTATAGCCCTTAAACAATGGGGCATAAAATAATATTTGTTTTTTGGGGGTAAATGCTCCGACTTGTACGATACTGCACTATCTTAGTACCATAAGATACTTTAGTGTCTTACAAGGACCATATCAGAATCCGTTTATATTAATTATTACCATTGGTGTGTGAGGAGATGAACAGCAGCCACAGCTCTTGCATTCCGCCTCATTCCACACCTGTGACCTCTTGCACGTGATTTAAAAACCTGACTTTTCTGCGGGTTCTCGTTGCAGATCACGAAAGGCCTGAAACTCAACTTTGAAACCACCTTCTGTCCAAACACTGGGTATGTCTTCTGTCTTTTATAAACAAAAACCTGTAGATTAGTTTTGGCAATTTGTTCTGTAAAACTGCATGCATGGGAGGAAGACCACTAGAGGGAGGCCTTTTAGTTGTACAGACCATTTCTTTATCCCTTACATGTGTTTTTAGTGTCTGTAGTAAGATTTGTGATTTCATTTTTGATCCTACATAACACATAATTTCATATAAATAATTATGACAGACAAAAAAAAGTAGGTGGTTCATAAAGTTTCAACCAGCATTTGTAACTTGCACACATGTTCTGTCTGTATGTTTTAAAATGGACCTAGAGTCTGTAATAAAGTTGAATTGTATTGTAAATCCCCAGTAAGAAAAACGGGAAGGTGCGCGGAGCATACAAGCGCGAGTATGTGAACGTGGGAGTGGACGTGGACCTGGACTTCGCGGGGCCCACCATCCACGGGGCGGGCGTGGCCGGCTACGAGGGCTGGCTGGCCGGCTACCAGATGACCATCGACTCGGCCAAATCCAAACTGACGCACAGCAATATCTCTGTGGGATACAGGACCGGAGACTTCCAGCTTCATACCAACGTGTGAGTTTTAACATTGTGCAGTTTGAAAAGGGCGGCGACAAATGATCCATCATAAAACAATTACAACTGATGGTACGGTCGTTACTATTTACTTTAAAACAACATAAAAAAAAAATAAAAAAATTGGGATACAATGGTGTATTTTCTTGCTTAGACCTTGACCCGTTTCAAGGTCATAAGGTCTTTATGCAAACATTTTCTGATTAGACAAGTTTTATTCTTCTATAATCTGCTTTTAAAGACCAGATAAACGTTCCTATAAACTTATAAATTCTCTTTAAAACTGATTCCCAACCCTCTTTAAACGTAGTAGTTCTCAATGGCATTTTTTTGTTATCAGCGCTTTTCACAACTTTAGGTTTGCCGAGTTGACACAATACCAGCACATTTCCTGTTTCTAACACTAGAAATCACAGAAACAAGTACAATATGTAACCTCTAGAGCTACTTCTACATCATTCTATGGAAAATCACAGCCAGAAGCTGTCTTTAAATCCGGTTTCTTTGAATTTTTCAGTAAAGATGGCAGCGAGTTCGGAGGCTCAATCTACCAGAAGGTGAACGATAAGTTGGAGACGGCCGTGGACTTGGCCTGGAGCGCCGGCAGCAACGGAACCTGCTTCGGAATTGCGGCGAAATACCAGCTGGACTCCGACACCGCCGTTTCTGTGAGAGAAGCCCCTTTATCTGTCTCTAAACTGTGGGACTGTGGGGTTAGGGTTACTATACTTTCACCAGTCCAGGCCAGTATAATCTGATATATTTCAAACTGAAAATTGTGCTAAAATGTGGCTCTAAAACGATAGAGTGAAATGATCCACAAGATTATAGAAGTTTTGATTAAAAACTACTTGTTTTTAATCTTTAATCAAAAATGCTCATGGAGGTGAAATTTTTAATTGAATAATTCTTATTGACTTTTCTACTAAATCAAAAGCATTGTTTAAAAGTTCAGATGGTGTCATTAATCATTAATCTCCTTTTAGTTATTTTGGTTTTAGAAATTTAATCATTTTGATTTTATTATTTCGTTTTTCATGTAGCGGGAAAAAAAATAGGTCACTGTGGGTCTTCATACTTGACGACTAGAGATATATTTATGCATTGATGACTTTGTATGTAGTAATCTAATTATTTATTTTCTTCTTTAGGCCAAAGTGAACAATGCAAGTTTGGTAGGAGTCGGCTACAGCCAGAGTCTGAGGCCCGGTAAGTGCAGAGCTCTGACGCAGGACCAGACCGCATATTAGGAGTGGAATGAGGAAGAAGCCAATTTGAACTAAAGCTAGCTGGAGCCAATTTCCTCATGAGCATTTGTTCAGACAGGGTTAGCTTCCCAGACGTGTTGCTAACCTGGTTTTTGATGGTTAGCTGGAGTTTCCCCTGCGAAGGAAAGCATCTGATTGGTCAATGCTTATATGCTCATATCTGGATGTACAAAGACGATATCAAAATATAAACACCAGGTTCATAAAAAGTGATAAACCAGATTTTCTCAAAGCCCAAAATGGTGAGTGTGACCCAGTTACTGAGCTAGAGGAGCTTACTTTTACATAGGAGCCAGAGCGAGTGGAAGTTCCCTGTTGGGCTTCATTGAGAGAGGATTAGCATTGTCCATCTTCATACAGTCCTGTACAGTCTGTGCATGACGCTGTATTATGATGTTGTGTCTGTGTTGTTGACCTATGAAGTAGTCTTTCAATAACTCAATTTAGTAAAACCGTTGGGGTACCTACCTTTGTAACTGCCCTCTGCTGATTTGCACACAGGCGGTGTACTCTTGCATAAGTATTCCAATGAGGTTGTACTGTAAACGGCGAACAAACTGAATCTGATCTAAGTTTCAAACCACACAACGATGGAGCCAGTTCACTAGTTCCTCGCTTTCAAAACAGTTTGCTTCAATCACTAGATTCCACATACAGAAATGGATCTGTAAGCTTTAACGGTTTCTCATTTGTCCCGTGAAGACGACAGACTTTGACGCTTGCGTGTTTTTCTCCTGCAGGGATGAAGCTGGTGCTGTCCGCTCTGGTCGATGGGAAAAACATAAACGCCGGCGGACACAAACTGGGCCTGGGTCTGGAGCTGGAGGCGTGATGGATTCAAAGCTTAAGAATTCTCCACAGCTTCGGGAAACGGCCAGAGATCACTGCAATTTATCAACCTCTTCACAGCATCAAACCACTATATATAGATATATATATATACTATAGATATTTCAAAGTTTTTAGAAAATTTTGTCAATATTAAATAGTTTAAAAAAAAATCATTCAATTTGGGAGATTGCGGCCTTAAAATTTGGGCCTTTTTAATCCAATGGAAATAATGGCCATTGACCCGATCACAAAGTTTGTCTAAATTACTTCAAATTGATGGTAAGACCTTTTTGGGGCAACTTCAGAGCTAGCATCAAAAGTGAATACAATATTTCAAGGTTCCTGCAATCATGGAAAACTTGAAAAACTCATGAATTATTATCAACTCTCCAGGCCGAAACTTTTAAAATTCCCAAACTACATTTCCGACAGTAGCATTTTGTTCGTCTTAAAAAAAGTCTGAAATTTGAAACCCTAGAGTGGATCTATGTTAACATCTTGGTATAAAACCAGTCAAATCATGAAAATATTCTGAAATAATAATTAAAAAACACACAATTCCATCTGTTATTTCATCCATCGTTACAAACTCTAGCTGCGTTAGTGGAATATCAGATCGTCAAGAAGTACAATTGTAGTTTTCTCTCTCGTTCCCGCTGCTGTAAACCTGTCGACTTAAACATATTTAAAGATATTTTGAAACCACAATGCCCAGTTCTCAAGCACTTTGCACCGACTCAAGCCGGAGCGAGTCGGTGCAATCTCGGATCTATATATCTCTCTTTTCTTAAACCCAGGCTTGTTAAAATCCAGCGTTACTTGAGTTTCGCAGACTTAGAATGTAACCCACGTTTTGCACATTTTAGAATTCTTTCGTTTGCACATTTAACCCCAAGCTAGTTAAACAAAAAAGTGAAAACAAAAAAAGGTAAAAAATATTCTCACGAAGAGGCTGTTTTATGGTGAAAGCGGAAAGCTCATTGAAACCACATGTCAGAGATGGAGACAAAAGTAAAATATTTCTTGATTCTCAGCCCAGTCTTGAAAATGATTTAAACTACACTACAGTAAATATGGCTCCTCTCTGATGTGTCTCGGTTTAGATGAGATTGTATTTAATGTGTGTGGCTTATTCCTGCTGTTTGAACCTAAAATATAGGCATTTGTTTTCTTTCCTTTTTGTGCTCTATTTTAGAACCATCACGTACAATTATGAGGACTGTGAAACCGAGGAAATGTATCTGTGTGCTAACCTTTGCAATAAACTTAAATTTCACCACAAATTCTTAGTCGACTTTTCACTGAACGTTTTAAGTTATATTTAAAGCGGTTCATACTAGTTTTGATCCTTTTTTTTTCTTTGCCATTTCTCTACCCCAGAAAAAACTGTTAAATATGCAGTTATTTTTGCTCCCCCAGAGAAATATACACCATCTTTTTAAAATCTCCTTTTATGAGATGGAGGCAGATCAATGTTTTAGCAAGTGAAATTTAAGTATGTAAGTAGAAGTTACTAAATATATATATTAAACTTACTGAAAATTCCTGAATATAAACAGATATAGAACAAAAAAACGGGTTGTCGACGTGTGCAAAAGGGCTTGGAATTGTTTAATGGCACTGGAATGTATCTCAAGTCATATAACACAAGAGTAAATCACTGCCTAACAGAAGATAAAGGCTATTTCTCCAATCTTTAAAGCAGCATCTACAATAAAGACCCAAATAATTAAAGGGGATTCAAGCTAATGCTATGAGTAGTAGTTGTAATGGTAGTTTTTTATTTTTAGTTCATTACCAAGTGTCAGTGCAAAACAGTGACTAAAAAAACACCCGGAAATCACATTTTGAAATCATTTCAATTATCTCAGTGTATAGTTTAAAGGAACTATAAGAAAGGTGAGTGCTGCAGAGGGTACGAGTAGTAGAAGGCATAACTAACAGGTGCTCTTCAAAGACGGGGCAATCAAAGCAGGTTTAGAATGTCAAAAAGAAAAGAAGTCTTAGTGTATTTTTGACTCAAACTTGACTCAGACTTTACATAATGACTTTCTAATGTGAGGAGAAAGAGCGAAAAAACTAATTCAACATTTTCTTTCCCTTATTTGTGAATTTTGTAAATGGTCTTACAATGTAAATATGTCATAATTAGTCGTCCCTAATGGGGTACACTGGAATTCTGAGTAAAATACTCCCAACCCAACAATAGAATTTTGCTTTTGCTTCATTAAAGTTTAAATACACATTCTTCTTAGTTTTTGTTCCACTTGCATTCAATAGTCTTCCCAAATCCCAATAATATGTTAGTTTTAACTGGCCTGCACTGCAAAAAATGATAAAATATGAGGTAATAATTGCTTGAATCGAGAGGTTTTTATCTTGATTTGTATTGAAACAAGATTTGCCAATGGGACAAAACCGATTAGTCTGTTTCTTTATTTTCTCATCTAAGAGAGAAAATACTTATTTTATAAAACGAGATAACTTTGCTCATGGTCTCATTGGCAAATCTTGTTTAAGGGCAGGCAGAAACATTTAGCCAAATTTTAGCAATTTTTGACTTATTTTTCATCACTTTTTGCAGCCTTTCTATAGTATATTTCTTGTAATTCTCAACATATTGCAACTTTTCTCCACTAAGTCCTTCCTGATTGGTGCAAAATAATCATATTTACAAAAAGGTATGAGCTCCCCAAACACATCCAAACACAAAGGGTCATAGAGAGCTGTCTTTTGGCTGTTCTGACAGTGACACAGCTGAGGTATTGAAGGCTCGTGTTGTCGTAGTGTGAGGATTACGTGCAGGACAAGCACAAGACACTACGCAGACTCTGATTGTGTATCCATGTTATGACAATGATGTGCTCTGAGTGTCTCTGATTTGACACGTACCGTCTTTCGATGTACAATGACTATAAAACCATGTATTGACTTGTTTGTCTGAGAGAAAGAAAGAAAACAACAGAAACCACTGGAACTTGAGAGAAACCTAATAAACTTTGGCGCACCACGATCCGTCTCTGTCTGGTTCATTCCTGACAGTGGTTACAGTTTGATTGCGAGCGTGAGTCCGTCTCCCACCGGCAGCATGCTCAGACTGACCCTGACGTCTCGCACGATTTTCTTGTTGAGTTTGTCGATGGCCACGGAGTCTTCGTCTCTGGGATCCAGGACTCTGCCCCCCCACAGCACCTGCCACACAAACAGCAGAGGGAATGAGGGATTAGTCTCTTTCTGGTCTCTCTCTGGTCCCTCGGGTCCTTCTCTGGTCTCTCTCTGGTCTCTCTCTGGTCCCTCTCTTCCCTCTCCAATTTCTTTCTGGTCCCTCTCTGGTCCCTCTCTGGTCTCTCTCTGGTCCCTCTCTGGTCTCTCTCTGGTCCCTCTCTGGTCCCTCTCTGGTCCCTCTCTGGTCCCTCTCTGGTCCCTCTCTGGTCCCTCTCTGGTCCCTCTCTGGTCCCTCTCTGGTCCCTCTCTGGTATCTCTCTGGTCCCTCTCTGGTCTCTCTCTCTCTGGTCCCTCTCTGGTCTCTCTCTGGTCCCTCTCTGGTCCCTCTCTGGTCCCTCTCTGGTCCCTCTCTGGTCCCTCTCTGGTCCCTCTCTGGTCTCTCTCTGGTCTCTCTCTGGTCTCTCTCTGGTCTTTCTCCCAGTCTCAGCAGTATTACACATGATTGCACTATTAACTATTAACAGATGAGATACTGTAATTATGAAAATATATTATTCATTTAAAATCTCACAACTTTCCCTTGAGGTCAACAAAACAGTCACATCAAAATCCCTGCAGGCTCCGCTCAGACCGCAGATTAAGATGGTGGAAACAATGGTGCTGTAGCTTTAGGAGAATATAGAACAATCTCAAGCTTGTTTAACGGTGGCAAAAAAAACAAAACTCATCTCCTCATGACAATTTTCTTAAACAAATTATCTTTTTAGCTTTGGGCCCAGATGGGAGTTTGTACAGTTATGACATATGTAAATTTGCATGTTCTCTCTGTCCTTTATGCTCACGTTGTCGATAGCGATGACTCCTCCTTTTCGCAGCAGCTTCAGAGAGCGTTCGTAGTAGTTGTCGTAGTTTGTTTTGTCTGCGTCAATGAAAATGAAGTCAAACGTGTCCGATTCTCCAGCGGCGATAAGACCGTCTGAAAAATACATGTATTTATTTATTAGACTTTACAAAAAACATTACATTAAAGCTGGAGTTCCTAACTTTGAAACCACAAACATGAGACTATGTAATATAATCCATGTAATAATAATATGGTCTCTCACTGGTGTCTCACTCACCCTAACCCTCTCTCTAGTCTCTCTGGGGTCTCTGGTCTTTCTGGGCTCTCTCTGGTCTCTCTCTAGTCTCTCTGGCCTTTCTGGTCTCTCTCTCTGGTCTCTTTCTGGTCTCTCTCTCTGGTCTCTTTCTCTGTTGTCTTTCTCTGGTTTGTCTGGTCTTTCTCTGGTCTCTTTCTGGTCTCTCTCTGATCTCTTTCTCTAGTTTCGTCCCCTTTGCAGTTGGACTCATTAACTATAATTTTGTACAGAACAGAACATGTTTTAATACATGTAAACAAGGAAACAATACCTAAAGTGGTCACAGCTGGTTGTAAACGCAGGTCAATCTTTTTCTCAACTCCAGCCTGCAAAAAATAGGAAAAAAACATGAAATTCAAACAGGGCAAAAGGTTTATTTCTGTTTTTTTTTTTGCAATTTGCCAACCCCTGTATCCCCTTAATTAATTCTACTTCCTGCCTCGTTAGTCTTGTGTAAATAAACCCTGTGTCTTCCTTCACTCCTGGTTCTGTGATTGTCATTTCCACGTCTCTTGGTTTTTGTCTTCACCCCCAGTTTGGTTACGAATTACATTTTTCACTCTGGATTTTGCCTTGTTTTTACGTTTATTAAATCAGGTTTAAAACTGGGACCATATCTGACCTCATCATTGGTCCAAACTAGATCTCAACTGAGCAAAAACTGGACTAAACCAGCCGTAAAATCCTCAAATCAAATAATAATAATAATAATGCGTTAGTTTTGTAAGTAAGTAATCTTTATTTATATACCGCCTTTTCACTGCACATCGGAGTCTCAAAGCGGTTTACATTTGTTATTTTTGGGAGTGGGGGTGCCAGTACAGGAGGCACATGCCAGACCTATTGTACATATTTTTAGTGGTAGGGGAAACCGGAGCACCCGGAGGAAACCTACGCAGACAAGGGGAGAACATGCAAACTCCACTCAGAAAGGCCCTGGTCCAACCGGGATTCGAACCCAGGACCTTCTTGCTGAGAGGCGAGAGTGCTATCCACTCAGCCACCGTGCCGCCCTTGTATAGCGCTTTTTAGGGCACTCTCATGACATTGACACCACCGTGTATGGAGTGAATGTAGGCACAGCTGCCCCGGGGCACACTGACAGAAATAAATGGATATTATGGTGCACCTCTTTCCAGAAAGGCTTTCCGATGCTGGTGTACTCTTCGCTGATGTCACAGGCCACGATGACTCCGTCCTCTGGTAGAGACAGCGCCATGTTGAGAGTGTTGTATCCGGTGTAAACTCCTAAAGAGACAGAACCAGAAGACTGCGTTCATAAACAAATGGTGTAGCGGCCCCTTTTCTCAGACCCATATATATATTGCCTGCTCTCACCGATCTCTGCCACCTTTTTGGCTCGGATGAGTTTTGCCAGATTCACCATGAACTGGGACTGCTCACAGGCCACCATCATGATGTTCCAGCGATCCTCCATCGTCCTCTGAAACATACATTACACATTGCCACTTTTGAAACACAAACAGAGTGCATTATTTGAAGAGTTTTTTCCAAATGTGTCAGACTGGGACAAGGTCAGAAAGAACTTACGAAATACAATATTTGTTATTGCCTGCACCCAGGGAATAGCATTAAACGGACAAAGGCAAGTTTCTAGTCTTATAATTCAGTGTTTTTTGTAAAGCCCTAAGTCACAACAGTAATTATCTCAGAGGACTTTACAAAGCTGTCATTTCACTAACACAGAGAATCAAACCGTTCAAACACAATAAATGCAATGATTAAAAACACATTGAGCCATTGGTTCAAAAAAGGCAGATGACCAATGTCCAAAAATGTTATAGATGTTCAGTTGGACAAATATAAAAACAATCCAACATAAGGACATCTTTATAAAGGAAAAAGCAGCCTGTGGAAAAACCCAAATTCTTACGCTGTTATTATGCAAATTGTGTGTAGTTTTATAACCTTCTTCACCTGACCCACATGTAAGCAACAGGCTATAAAACGTTTTTTTTATTGTTTCTATATTTGGTCATAGTGATCGCACTGAACACACCACGGCAAAAAGAGGAGGTCGAAAGGCGGGTTACAGTAAATGCCGAGTCGTTCTGACGCCCCAACCCGTGTCTCTCAGTGTGTAAAGAAAGGACTTTCCTGGGGTTTTTGGTCGAAATTCTTGTGTTTTTGCGCCGGCGTTTAACATGATCCTCACAATATTGACTGTTTTAGAATATATGGATACACATGTATAATGAAACAAGAGATGCCACAGTACTGTCATCTGGTGGTAGACATGGGAAATGACATTATTCTTGTATGATCAAACAATATTTACAGTCTATGAATGTCAGGTTTTTTAATTTTATATGAATTGCTTTTATTTCAACCATCTTAATGTTCTATCTATTCTATTTTGTATGTAAATGTAGAGCTGGCAGACCTGTAACTTTAAATGTGTTACTTTTATGCAGCATTTTGGAAACTTGTTTTATAAAATGTGTGCAATTTAGATATAGTAGATTGGTTTGAATTTGTGTCATCTAAAATAAACTAAGCAGGTTTTCAACAAGTCTGAAAACAGAGCAGATGGACAGAAGGGCGGAGGGACATGTTTGTGATCCTGATAAGAACATGGATAGAGCTCAAAAACAACTATTTTTGTGTCTTTTGTGGCTTCTACACACAACGTTATCTGGTTTCTCTAACACACACACACACACACACACACACTTTACAGTCAGTCCATTGCTTCCGATACAGGCGCGCAGTGAACTTAATTAGGTTTATCTCATTTGTGTAAACTACTAAAACAAATGCATTTATGTGACTCTTGGAGCTGGCGTCACCGCAGCATGTTCTCAGAGATGTGCTTTTAGTTCTACTCCTGCTTTAGCTCTGGATGTCGCTCAAATATGTGTTTATACATATATGTTTTACAATTTAATCTTTCTACAATCTAGTACTATCAACATTAACATATACTACACTCATTTTAGATCTCTAAAGTTCTGCATACTTTCTGCTGATCGTGTTACTATTCAAAACATTTGTGTCTAAATGTGATTATTGGCTTCTGTTCAATGTTCAATAAATGACATATTTTTGAAAGTGCAGTTTTTTTCTATATTGCAACAAACATAAAGTCAAACAAATCATACAAGTTTGTTGGCTTGTTTTGAAAGACACATTAATCAAAATGTTGTTTGCTTATTTATTTGTTTCCACTAGAAGTCTCCAGCCACCCTCAACTATTACTCTAGCAGCTGTATTTAATATTTGTTAAAGGTGCAGTAAGCGATTTTGTTAGCTTAGCCCGAACTCGAAACCACTCCCCCCTCCCCTCGCCTCTCCACCAAACCCAACATCCAGCATTTTCTTTTCTTTGTCACAACAGGGAGAGTGGGCGGCAAACTTGAAATTGGCCTTTTCTGTTCAGCCCTTTTGGGTTTTAGAAAATCCAATAACTCAGGTGTGCGCACTCGCGAGAAACAGGAAGAGGGTGAAGGAGGTAAACACATCCCATTGGTTTATTTTTATTGGCCTGCTCCAAAATATTTTTTATAAATTATTAGAGACTACAGGCATCTGGTCAATTCCATTACTATTTAAAAACACATGATAATTAACTACTTTTAGGGTTTAATATTTAAAAAAATGCGTCTGGAAAAAATCACTGACTGCATCTTTAAGTTGGTTTTTGGTTCGTTTGTCAAATACTGATCTTGGACACAGAGCAGGGTAAGGTCCGGTTAGGACTTGGATGGCAGATTTCTGGGACTACAAAGTGACACAGTGGGACCAGGCTGAGAAAGGCTAAGCTGTTGTTGTGTCTTAAGGCAAGACACAACAACAATATATAGTAGCCACCCACATTGACTTCTGTACATGAATATAAACACAAACATCTGGTCTGGTGAAATACCCATAATTATTCTGTTTATTATACTGTCTTGTTCTGTGCTTTAGTCTCAGATCTCAGGTCTCACTCACCTCTCGTAGTTTCTTGAGCACTGGGTGTTCTCTGAGCGAGTGGGTGAGTAGATACTGCATCAGAGGGTCTTTCTGGCTTCCGCAGTGGCTTTTGGAGATCAAACTCATGGTTGACTTTCTTCTGCCTAAAAACAGAGGAAAAAAACACTGAAAAACACTGAAAAACAGTGCAATAACAGAGAATACAGTAATTGTTCCAGTTAGAGATGATTAAACTGTTTTAGATTTCTATCAATTTGTTGTTAGCAATTAATCAACATAATCCAAAAAGCAACAAACTGATCTTTATTATTATTTTAATAAACGGAAAGCAAAGGCAAGTTTATTTGTATAACACAGTTCATACAGAATGCAACTCAAAGTGGTTAACAAAACAAGATAGAAACAATAGCATTCAAATAAATAATCACAGTACAATAAAAAGAGTGAAAATACCATCTCTCTGATATATGCACAGCTACAGAACTGTTTTAACCTGGATTCAAACAATGTCAGAGAAGAAATAGGTCTCTTGTTTCAAAAGATGTTTACCGTATTTTCATGTAAGCACATAAATATCGTAAATGATAATCTAATTAAATAAATAAGGGGGAGAAAATCACATACCCTCTATTTGGTGCTCACTGATAAGAACAGGAAATGTTTGATTAGTTCAAAGTCAAAGGTAAACTTAGACTTTGAACTAATGCAATAAGTGACGCAGGAGTGAACAGCGAAGCCTTTTTAATTTCTCCTCCAGACCATTCTCAAGTACACCTCCATTCCGTCCAGTGTTCAAGCAAGTTTTAGCAAATTGTTAGTTGAATATAATAAGCGCATAGAAAAAAAACATTATGATGTTGGTATATGTATGACTATCTGTAGGGCATATGATTTTGACAATATACATCAACAGAAGACCTGTTTTACAAACAGAAAGAGAAAGTGAATACTTTTTAAAATAGGGCTGTGAATAACAATTATTTTTGACAGTTGATTTGATAGTTGTTTAGATCCAGAAAGCTCAGTGAATATAGTATTAGTATATATGCGTTAGGTTAGACCAAAACAAAGCTCAAGTGATGCCCTGGAGAACATCACATAGAGATAACTTGTAAATATTGGGTTGTTTCTCATCTCATTCATTATAGAATTATCTGAGTTATTCAATCTCTTCTCAGCGTGTTTAAAGTGATTGTCTGGAGTTTGTCAGAAAGAGAGACAGAGAGGTACTTGATTTGAAAAAACGACGCAAGCTCCCTCCCCCTTCCTTTCTGATTGGTCTACACCTACGTTTCCGTAACACTTTGAAATGTTAATCAGAGAACACATTATACAAATACATTATTACACATGCACGGAGGTTTTCAGATTAATGAAAAAAATAATGTTTTTATGCACACAAAAAAAGCGATCGCGGCAAACCCGGAAGTGCTATTATCATGAATTGCACATTACAGGACACATCTGCAGAGGATCTGATTATGGATATAGGGTCAGTATATACATAAGTACCTCAGCGCGGATGTTCAGAATTCTTTGTTTAGTTTTCATGTAGTTCCAGAGCCTAATAGAGGCTTGATTCTGAGGCTCCGTGAAAACAAACAACTGCGCATGCGTGCAGCTGCGAGCATCAGCGCTGATGATTGACAGCCTTTGGCATGACTCGATTGGTTAACCTCGACGGCACCGTGGATTCTGAGCTATACATAGTTCCCACATGACGTCACTACATACGGGGATTTGCCGACCCCGCGCCATTTGTCTTGGCATTCTGTGGGCAAAACAATAGAAAAAGAAGCTGAAACGTGTTAATGTCGTGATAAAGTTGAAAATGGTCATCTCCTGCTGGGTCAATGGATGTTCAAATCGTGCCGGAGGTTCCGTTAAACTTGGATTTTACAGTATACCCATCATTAGACTTCATGAATGTGAGAAGACTAAGCTTTTGTCAGAACAACCACGGAGGTTATGGCTTGCGAAGATAAACAGGCAAGAAACTCCCTCAAAACACGCAAGAATAAGCTCGGAGCACTTTGTGTCAGGTGCGTATCGTATCTTATAATGTGTTGACAGACGTAATTTACTCAGTACTAACTTGTGTATGCCGATAGCTGGTAACTTGAGAGTTTCATTATTTAGCGTTAGATTACTTTATTATGAGGAGGATCGGTGTCGCGTCCGAGGCTCTCGAGGGCAACGTAAATGTATTAAATAGATAATAATAGTTCTATGGTGGGCTAAAACAATGTTCACAAACAGCATTGCTTCTGTAAAAAGATCTGTGTCATAAAATAAACTGCTCTTTACGCCTGGAAAAATCAGTTGCCCACCATTCACCAAAACGTACGGTCAAAAACGCGGAAATAAACAATAACAGCAATCCAGAGTGTCCGTGTGGCATTAGCATTAATTAAATTAATTGTTAATATAATTAAAATAATTAAATGGAGCTCCAACTGGTATTAAATCTAAAGTTTTTGAGAAATGTTTGCATTGCTTGTTAATTTTTGCTGCATAATTTGATCAAATATGTAAAACATGTCCGTAGCACGTTAAACTGTGGTGCCATTGTATTAATATACAATTATTTGCTCAAAAGTTGCCCTTTTTTCCAATTTGCGTTTGAATATCTACATTTATTCTCATTCTTCTGTTTAATGGAATGCACAAACACAGCAGCGTGCCATCAAAGATGGCGTCTCCGAGGAGGTCATGTGACATTCATTGGTCTGTGGGAACTATGTATAGCTAAGAGAAGTGAAGGCGGGACTTACCTGTAATATTAGAAATAATAAAATGACTTATTTTATGTCAACATTTAAGGCCAGGAGGTCAATTTAACACATTTCCTAACGTTTGTAATTCATTTAGAGTTACAGACTATCACTTTAAGTCTATGTAAGTTTCGAAAAATTATTCATTACTAAATTAGTTGATATCTATTGAAATAATAGAATTGTTGCGATCAATCAAATTTGATATATATATCTAACTTTCTCCTATCGATCAAAAACCCCTAAGAACATAAGGAATACTACTGCAGGTGTTTTTGAGTGTGTGTGTGCGCGCGTGTATGCGTGTGTGTTTATGTGCGTGCGTGCGCGTGTGTGTATAAATGCATATATTAGAATATTACTTTTCACTGGTAACTGGTCTGTGCCATATATCAAACATAGACTGTATATATTATATATATCAAAGCAATTCCTAGTTTGTGCCTTTCTGTTACTTACAATGGCAATACAAATCATTCAGATTCTGATCTAAAAAAGATATACTTTTAAATTTAAATACTTATTACTAATAATAAAGTTAACAGGTCCTATTTTTCCCCATTACAAATATTATTCCTTCTTTAGCCAATAAAGAAATCATGCATTAAATTTGACACTAAACGATAACTATCTTGTTGTTTTGTTCTTACTTACTTTTTATCTAACATGTTTAAATGCCACAGCTGTATTCTGCTGTCCAACATGAGAACATGAAGTCCCCTCGGCGTAAGCGGCTTTGTACATCACGCGACTTCTGACGTAAAGCGCGCCCTACTGTCCACCACGCACTACATTACTGTACATTGTCATTTTAACATCACATATCTGAACTTACCCAAGTAATACCCGGCCAACAACACGGCTCCGAGCGAGATGCAACCCGCGACCGCTTCTCTGGAAACAACCTGTAGCGACATTGATCAAATTAAAGTGTATCTCTATCAACGAGAAAATACATCAGCAGCACGCGCTATTAGCCTTTTTTACACTGTTGCGCTTCCGTAGTTTTACCGTAACACTCAGACTAGCGGTGCATCGCCTTCCCATCAGTGTAATAACTGGTTAATAAGTGCATAGCTGTGATAGTGTGATAGAGGTAAGTGTGCGCATTTACCCCGGTAAGTGTCATAAAAAAAACAAGTGGATATTTACCCGTCAGAGAATCAAGATGTGAATTATGAGGACGTTTGAAGAGACTGGATGAGGAGGAGAAGAAACAGCAGGTTTTACTGATGGTCATGTGACGCTCGCATCTCTGAGAATGAGGAGTCACGTGATAATTTGGGCGGGGTCTAATCCGGTCGGCCATGTTGATAGGATCCTCTATCGGTTGCCAGGGGCAACGCCACTAACGCTCAATATATACAGTCTATGCTAACGCTCCAGAGGTCTTTAACTTGAGCGCGTTTATTATTTCGGCAGTAGATACATCTACGATTACAACACTAGCAAGACAGTTAATGGAGAAAGTGAAGGCGAAAGGAAATGGACCGTACAGGGAAAAGCAAAACAGCGTTATTTGGAGAAGCTCTCAGACATACAACAGGTAGACCCATACGAGCTTCCTGCAGCGGAGTGGCAAAAATACCTTGACTTTTTGCCTCCGTGCACGTACATGGATATAGTGAATTACCTTGTTTTCAGTGTTAGTTATTATACAATGCAGGAGTTTAGAAGTCACAAGTCACTGGAGAGTTACGAGGCTTTCTGCTGTGGTTGGGTGCAGGACTTGGCCATCTACAAGCCTCCAGGCGGTGAAAACACTGTTGTACTTGCACTATCAGCAGTATTACTATTTTATTATGTTGTCCATCTTTTCATGCTGAAATATTTATACGTTGACAGCACGCGTTCTTTTCTTAAGCCGAATAGTGCCACTATTCGGCTTAAGAAAAGAACGTGTGCATTCAAAGTATAAATATTTCCAGCATGTAAACATAAACAACATAATAATGAAATACTATGTTTAGTGCAAAAGAACAAAAAACATACAAAAAAAACCCCCATTTTTTTATTGTTTGGATGTTGTTTGTTCTTTTGCACTAATAACAGTATTATTATTACTTATGTTGTTTATGTTTACATGCTGGAAATATTTATACTTTTAATGCACACGTTCTTTTCCTGAGCCAAATAGTGTTTTTTTGTTGGTATGTTTGGTTCTTTTGCACTATCAGCAGTGTTACTATTTTATTATGTTGTCCGTCTTTTCATGCTGAAATATTTATACGTTGACTGCACACGTTCTTTTGCACTGTTAACTTTTCCAAGAGATTACACCCCCCTCCAAAAAAATTTTAATTTCTCAATAAATATTGCTTTGCCACATGAAGTTGTTTCAAACATTTATTTCAAAGAAATTAAAAAGGCAAGGCAAGTTTATTTGTACAGCACAATTAATGTTACAAAACAATTCAAAGTACTTTAAATTAAAAATTAAGAAGCATTACAGCTGGGTGCAGAAGCATTAAAAAGTAACAGAATAAAAAGCATGATTTAAAATTAAAAACAAAAATTCATAAGAAAAAGATAACAGACAAGTAATTCCAGCTTAAAAGAAGCCGTGCAGATTTGTACATTAGAATAAAAAATATTCAAAAGCAGCTGAGAACAGGTGGGTCTTTAACCTGGATGTAAACAAACTGAGTGTTTCAGCTGATCTGAGGCTTTCTGGGAGTTTGTTCCAGACATGTGGAGCATAGAAGCTGAATGCAGCTTCTCCGTGTCTGGTTCTGACTCTGGACTCGGATCCAGATGACATGAGGGGTTCTGGTTGGTTCATAAGTTATGAACAAGGCACTCAAACAACACTTTTGCACATGTTCGTTAAGGCACAGCAAACAGTGACAATCTTATCTAAAGGCATTAGGTTTTCACCCTCACATTTGAGAAGCATATGCACAGGTACAGTTGAATGTAAGAATTTGAATTTGTTGCGCACAACACCAATCACCCTCTCAACGTGAATTCTGAGATGGAAGGTCTAATCTGAGGCGCATTACAGTCAATAGAACAAGCTGGAAGGGTGAGAGCTTCCTCATCCTTTCTTGAGGCAGCTGCTGGGCCGGCGATGGAGGCTGCTGGGCTTGGGCTGGCGATGGGGGCTGCTGGGCTTGGGCTGGGAGTGATGACTGCTCCAGATGCTGGGTCCTGCGCTTTACTTGCCGCTGATATCGCGCTCCATCTGTTTGTGGCCTAACCGCAAGGATGGTGTCCAGTCAGGGTGATTCTCCAACATCTCATATGATGGTTTACCTAGAACAGAATAATCTATGTAGTCAATGCTTTAAACTGGCAACAAGGTAGCATAATGTCATGAACAGAATCTCAACTATTTTTAGCAATCTCATAAAATGGTTTACTTAAATCAGATTAATAAGATTATTTAACAATCTGGAATCTAAAGAAATATTAAACAAGAAGGTAACGCTATTCATGGTTTCATAAAAGGGCTCAGGGGGTAGTGGCAACACAAGACAAAAAAAAAGTTTGGGCACCACTGGTTTAGAGAACATAAGAGACAGAGACAAACGCACTTTGAGTGCCCATATTCCACCAACAAGGTAGGATAATGAGCAGAAACTTAAATATTCTTAGTTAACATTAATGGTTGGCCATTAAGCATTTTCATAGAGGCAACAGTTTGTTAGATAGTTAGCTGTTAGCTAGGCAGCTAACTTAAGATGCACTTCAGTGTTTGCAACATTAACAGCTAGGTAACCTACACTTCTTAACTTTAAAAAAACAACATAAATACATTTTAGGACGTACCCGAGTGAATATGCAGAGAACACACTCTCATCGACTGGGGGGTGAGATCGAAAGTAAGGTCATTTCTTCTTATTGCAGCCAACCAAGCCATTTGCCTGGCCTGCCAAACGATATGCTTTTTCAAAGACATATAGTCTGGGAACGAGCTTGATCTCAGCGAATTCCCGGTGGGCGTGGTTGACAGACTGCATCAACCAATTAGATGCACACAGGATATGACGCAGCAACCAGCGGCACCCAAGCCGTTTCAGTAAACACAAAACAAGGGATGGCGGCATGTCAGCTAGTGCAAATGTAAACGACTGCTGTCGATTTTGTAACAAAAACTTAAAGATACGAGGAGTTATTAGCAACTCAAAGGTGAAAGGAAGTCCCGCCTCTCGGTGCGTGATTGGACCGATGTGGGTAAAATCGTGAAATGATAGGCTAGGAAGAGGTGTCCAGACGGTTCTTCTTTTGAACAGAAAGGAGGAGTGTCTGGCAGGCCAGGCAACCAAGCCATCGGGCATCTCTTCGTCAGGTCAGACACTTCCTGATGTTGTATCCATTTTGGTGGCCTAAACAATTGTAAACCGTTGTTCCTACGTTTTCCTTTCTTATTGTGTGAGGTACTGGAGCAGTTTTTCACACAGCAATGAGCTCCAGGCATGGTAAAACAGAAATAGCGATGACCTCCTTTGCTACCGAGTTAACAACAACTGTTTGCCGCTGGGTTCCTACCAACATGGCGGAGACGGGGAGGGGCTCTGTGCTATGACGACAACTCCTCACTCTCAATAGGTCCATTACATAAACAGTAAGAACAAAATGAATGTTTATGAAAAGGACTCGTTGTTTCCCACTGACCAGAGCAATGTGCGTGCTGTTGACGGATAAGTTACGAAATATTCATTTAAAATATGAATGTAAATGAATTCATACGACCACATGTGGTTATCACTTAAGCCCCGTTTCCACCAGCCCTACTATACTCGACTCTCCTCGGTTTAACTCCACTCTACTGTACTGTACTCTAATCTACTCTACTCTTCTTGGCTCTTTCCATGAGAAGTGTCTTTGAGGATTCCAAAAAGGCGCTATATATTACGGTTGCATTATCATTACTCGGCTCTACTCTACTCTACTCTAGTCTACTTGGCTCTATACTCGCCTCTATTCTACTCTACTCTACTTGGCTCTAATCTACTCTAGCCTACTTGGCTCTATACTCGCCTCTACTCTACCTGGTTGCATTTCTATCACGCTATCTGGTACCGCATCCTTGCATCCTATCCACAACAAACCATGGTAACCATGGACACAGCAGCATTCTGGCCAGCTCGGCCTGGATAGAACCAGCTCGGCCTGGTAGAACTAGGACCAAGCAGGTACTAAATATTCTATTCTTGGATATAGAATGGTGGAATAACCTAATTTGATGGATTTTGATTTGACGACCCTTTGCACGATTAAAAAGCCCATCTTCATTCTGAAATATGTGTTTGTATGTAGATTAAAATAGCAAATCCTCCCAAAATATTTGTGATTGAAATCATGATTTCTTTAAGTGTTGTTTCTGAAGTCTGAATATATGGATATATTGCATTAAAGATGCCCTTTAATGTAATATCTTGTTTTAAAAGTATAACATATACATTAGTAGTAGTAGTTGTAGTAGTATGACATTAATCAACTTGGAAAATCTAACAAAGGAGAAATGGATCACATTTCTTGAAGCACTGTTGGCAAATCCCCAAGCCAACTTTAAGGAGTCCCAGCGACTTTTGGTTAGGAAGAGTAATCATAGTACTATTTGTATTGAACAATTAAAAACAATCCCAACTTAAACCAATTGCAACATAATCAAATATCAGATATATAATAATTAGGATATAAACTCGTTCTTTCTCAGTTCCAAAGCCACAATGCTGCGTCATGTCGTCATTCCCTGCATCACCACTAGAGCGCAGTGTTACTCTGTTTCCAGCCCTTGGGGAGGATTAAGATCATTTCTGCGCACTCTACAAATGAAAACCACTGCTTTTGTGGATTTTGAAACCGTACGAGCCGTGTCTGGTTGTTATTTTTGTGTCCAGGCTTCAGATGTCGCGCACGAGCAGTGGCCATATCTTTTACACACAGATGCTGATGCTGCATCTCCCATAGCGGTGAAGGGGATGGGATGACAAGGCATTTTCTCAATTATAATGGCTGAAAACTCTTAAAGGGAAACGTGTGGAGGAGCTGGCAGGAGCAATGAGAGAGAGGGATAAGAGGTTTAATTACAGATTTTAAGCCTATTAATACTTATTGTATATATACTGTACAAGCCTGTGTGGTTCAGATATTGATGAGTGAAAAGGTTTTTTGTGTGTGTGAGTTTTTCCTTGCAGATACAGAAGGGTATAAGGACAGTGGTGATGATCCAGGATATTTATGGACATCTATAGCATTAACATTTATGGACATTGGTCATCCGCCCTTTATGGACCAATTGCTCCTATGTGTTTGCTATTGTTGTATTTCCTGTGTTTGAACTGTTTGATTCTCTGATCTGTGTTGCCAAATCAACAACTTTGTAAAGTCCTCTGAGAACACTTCTGCTGTGATTTTATGTGTGCCTATACAATAATATTGAATCAAGACCAGAACTATATATTCTGAACTGGCTGTTTAGAGTTGAGAAGTGTAGTTATAGGTTATAGGTGTTTTTTTAAGTTTGGCATGGTGGTACCAAAAATCTAGGCATATCTGCTTTTGGGAATTGAAATTTCATAGTGTAGTAATGTGCACAAAGCCAACAAAGCTGGGATACTTAACCTACAGACTACACGAACTGGAACTATGTCATGAAATCAATCCTAGTCCCTTGCTCTCATATCACTCTCAAAAATCTATCTATCACCAGTTTTTACACGCATGTTTGGCTTCTGTCGCACCTTTGGATCAGCTTTTGCAAAGAGAAAAGTTAAATTAAGAGAGCACCACTGAGCCCAAAGCGTCTAAGAGCGAATCACAAGGATCTTTAGGTATCCCAGCTTCAAAGCAGAAACAGATCAGTTCATAATTGCAGGAAATCACTCAATGTCTATCTTAAGACTTTGATGTGGAATTGTCTTGTGTGTGTGTGTGTGTGTGTGTGTGTGTGTGTGTGTGTGTGTACTACTGTCCCTGGTTTTAACCTCTTTCCCCTTTTACTCTAGAGCTAAGTAGTACGTTGTGTTGATAAATCTCTTCATTCATTCGCCCTCTCGTTGTATATCCAGATTTCTGTGTGTGTGCGAGGGATTAGAGAGACCGCAGAATCTCTTCAAATCTCATAAAGTGACGAGATTATTACGTAACGACATGGGAGCAGCAGGAAGACCTCATGACGTGGTCCAAACTCTGAAATAAGATTCAGAACATGTCTAAAGCCAACATAAATGTGTATAATTCTGGGATTAAGGACATTGGTCATCCCATCCCCTATGGACCAATGGCTCCTATGAGTTCGAACAGTTTGATTCTCTGGTCCGGGTTGGCGTAAAATGTCTGCCGCGACGACTGCTGTTGTGATTTAGAGCTATACAAAAAAATACATTGAATTGAAATTGAATTGGGATGATTCAGGTCTATTCTGGGACTCAGAGGAGATCTATATATAGATCAGTGCAATATCAAGTCATGAAGTATTTATTGAGCAATACAAGTGAATAGGTGGTATATAAACAGGAAAAACTATAGAAATCTAAAAAAAATGAATTAAAACTGTAAATTCTGGACTGTTTTTTTGTACCTGATAATTTGGACTGTTTTGCACTGTTTTTGGCGCTTTCCTCCGAGGCGACTGCTGTTGTGATTTAGGGCTGTACAAAATTTGAAATTGAATAGATGTTTGAAGCTGGCTTATATCAAGTATATTAATGCATAGAGCAGGACATGAATGAGCTTTCAGTGGGAACATTTTGCTCAAGTCTTATATTAGTACTATTACCTCGGATGAAAGACACATGTACAGAGTCAGCAGTGTTCATTGTACAGTCTGACAGTCTAGTTGTGCAGAAGGAACCATCGGCAGAGACGGGGATCCTGCAGGACTGACATTCATGGTCCACGTTCCTCTTTTTAGACATGTTTTTAGGGATGTCCATCGTTTGGGGCATGTTTCATATTCATCCCTAAACCAGGACTACACCACAATTCCACCAGGACTATACAATGTCTGAACCAGGTCTAAATTTGGATGAAAAACAGGTCCAAACCAGCTCTAAATCAGGACTAAAACAGCTCTAAATCAGGACTAAAACAGCTCTAAATCAGGACTGAAACAGCTCTAAATCAGGACTAAAACAGCTCTAAATCAGGACTAAAACAGCTCTAAATCAGGACCGAAACAGCTCTAAATCAGGACTAAAACAGGTATAAATTTGGATTAAAAATAGGTCCAAACCAGCTCTAAACCAGCTCTAAATCAGGACTAAAACAGGTCTAAATTTGGATTAAAAACAAGTCTAAATCAGGACTAAAACAGCTCTAAATCAGGACTGAAACAGCTCTAAATCAGGACTAAAACAGCTCTAAATCAGGACTAAAACAGCTCTAAATCAGGACTGAAACAGCTCTAAATCAGGACTAAAACAGGTATAAATTTGGATTAAAAATAGGTCCAAACCAGCTCTAAATCAGGACTAAAACAGGTCTAAATTTGGATTAAAAACAAGTCTAAATCAGGACTAAAACAGGTCTAAATTTGGATTAAAAACAGCTCTAAATCAGGACTAAAACAGGTCTAAATTTGGATTAAAAACAGGTCTAAATCAGGACTAAAACAGGTCTAAACCAAATCAAAATCAGGACTAAACCAGGACTATTAACCAGGTCTAATTCATTACTAAACCAGGACAGACCCAGGTCTTAACCAGGTCTCATTCAGGACTAAACCAGGTCTACACCAGGTCTAAACCAGGACCAAACGAGGTCTAAACCAGGGCTCACAGAAGGAGGAGGTGGAGGATGCAGCAGTATGACTCGCAAAAGTGCTGCAGCGTTCGTCCCTCCCCCCTCGCCTCCCGCTCTCTCCCCCCTCCTCCCCGTTTCCAACTCACTGGACGCCACATTCACATCCGAGCATCCGGACGCAAAACCTGCCTATAAAAGCCCCACCAAAAAATTAACAATTTCTACACCCAATTTTTTCTTTTCTTTCTCTCTGCCACAATGGACGTCTTCATGAAGGGGTTTTCTATGGCCAAGGAAGGAGTGGTAGCCGCAGCGGAGAAGACCAAAGCGGGAATGGAAGAGGCTGCAGCTAAAACCAAAGAGGGGGTCATGTACGTAGGTAGGTCTCACAAATCCAGCACAATTTGTCTCCTGCAAAAATGGAGCAATGCACACACACGGTAATCCTCCATAACAGAATACATCAAAAGGAAGAAGTCGCCCTGTTTAAGGTGACATTGCATTTTTGCATACAACACATTGCATTCAATTCTGGGTTCAGGGCTGTAACAGAGAATGATGCAGCAAAATGTTGAGAATTTTAAGGAGATTATTTGTAAATTATAGGGAAAAAAGCAATCATTTTGTTAGTAAATGTAGGGATATTGTACTGAGGCATTTCATTCAATGCAAATTTGGTGCCAGTCTCTTCACCTATTGCCTAAAGCCTTACAAATAGTTTTAAAATAGTATATAGTAATATGTGTCAAGATGTATTTTTTTTATTTCAAATGTGGGTGTATCCTAGGGGGGAAGGATGTAGTAAGATATAGAAGAAAAAATGTTGATTGATTGATTTATGATCGTATGTGACATGATTTTTTATATTTTTAGTCAAATCAAAATGAATTTGCCTTTGCTCCATTTTGAGCCATGCACTGGAAGCTTATCACATCAGAATCTGTGGGTCCCTCCTTTTTTACCAATCGCACCACGAATACTGATCTAAAATTGATTTATGTTAAGTAGAATTTCAGAATCAGAAGTCGCTGTTTCGGTTCGAGACAAGGTTACTCACGTATGTTTGATGCGTCCTGGTTTGGGACAAAAGGATTTAGATAAGATTCGGTTATGACTAAACATTTGATGATTGCCACATTTTTGACACAGACATACAACAGAAAACGCGACTAAAAGAAAGATTTTTATTGGATTTGAGGTTGTGCGGTGGTGCAAAGCTGCTGCAGGCTGCTACCTCGAACCATTTCCACGTTTCAGAATGATTTATTATTGAAAAGCAAAATCTGTTAAGGGAGAAAAGTGCTGCTGTCCTATTCAGGGATGAGAGGGTTGCTATGGATTTGGGTGTATCCTTGTTCGGGACAGTTACAGGCGACGGAGCGTGACTGGTGCAGGCTCCTGCTGCATTTCCACACATTCGTCACAGCATCGGAAGGATTTACTTTTAACATTTGTGCGGTGTGTAAAAAAAAAAGTGTTTAGTTTAGACTTTATCTGAATGGGACAGTATAGGTGTATGTGTCTGCACCGGGTTCTGGCGACAGAGAGGTTTCTATCTGCAGTCCACGGTTACATGAGAAAATATACTATAACATGTGACCAAATTACAGCCACACACACACACACACACACACACACACACACACACACACGCACACACGCACACACCTATATAACACAACCACACCTCACAGTTGCCAGAATGAAAAATAAATACTAAAATCTATCATAAGCGCAACATTCAATTTATTAGTTAATGATTTGATCTTCTGGGATTGGATTGTGTATCGGTGTCCATGTTGGTATTGGAACCAATATTTAGACGATTACTTGTATAACATATAAAATCTACTTTAATATATCTTGAATATTAAAGTTGTAATATTTTACTTTATTGGGACATGAATTAAATAGTAGTAGTTTTAAACCAATTAAAGATAAAATGTTGAATTTTCCAGGAAGTAGCAGCAAACTCAATTAATACTTGATTATTAATAATAATTTATCACTTTGGTCTCTCTCTCTCTCTCTCTCTCTCTCTCTTTCTCTTTCTCTTTCTCTCTCTCCATCTCTCTCTGGTCTGTGGTTTAGCTCATGTAAAATAATTTCTTAAACATAAACTATCTGGCAAAACAAGTACCAATGATAAGAAATGATATATACATGTAACTCCCTATTCCACCACTAGAGGGAGGAGTTGAGAATTTGTTCGTTTTTTGTTTTACCTGAGAATTTGACAAAACTGATGTTTGTAGAAAACTGCTCTGAGTGTGATTATCCTGTTGTGCCAGAAGTTCCTGATATTAATGAGTGTGGATGGAGCAAAAAAAACTAATCTAGGTCATTTCTTAGGAGGAAATGGGTTAAATGATCAAAATATATGATTTAATACGGCTTATTTTAATTAACCCGATTAATCCAAAATTGGAGTAATGTTGCTAGAAGTGGACACGCCACTTTAGCAATGTAAATAGTGATCATACTGTAAAGAAAAACATGTCTTTATCGTTTAATTTTGTGTTTTGAGACCAGTGTTTGCAATTGTTTGTTAATGTCCGGTTCATACGGATATATCAGCTCATTCCAAGTTTGTAAATGTTTTTTTATTGTTCCTCTCATTAAAAAAATATCTAAAAATGAAATAAAAAATTATCACAAAAAAAAAATGATTTTCACTTCAAAAAGTGCCAAAAGAAAGTTATAATTGCAGAAATTTGGCCAAATCTTCTTGTTACAACTGCACTTGAAATAACACCAAACGGCGTGTCTATCCATCCATTTTCCACAGCTCATCTGGGGGAATCCCGGGGTGTTCCCAGGCCAGCTGAGAGAAACAGTCCCTCCAACGTGTCCTGAGTCTTCCACGGGGCAAAACCGTCAAAATTTACCCCTATCAAGCATTTATCACCTAATATTGTGTTATGTTTTTCAGTGTGAACACAAAGATCATTGTGGGAGTTTCCTGGTTTAGGACGGCTGGAGGATGACGGTGCAGTTGGGAGTGGTGGATGATGGACATGATGCTTTGTATTGCACTTAATTGCAGAATAATTGACCAAGTAGCGACGGCGGTTCCATTTTACATTTGAAGAGCTTCCTTTTATTGGTGCTTATGGATAGTTTATGGTTATGTTGTTGGAATATGACGCCCATTTTGCTAATTATCTATCGCCCTGTTTCCACCAGCCTTACTTGGCCCAGCTTTTTATGTATCTATATCCATGTGTATCTATCTATTTATCTATTCATCTATCGCCTTGTTTCCACCTTGGCTCTACTCTATCTGGTTGCGTTGCCGTTAAGCTAAATGCTAGTATCTGGCACCGCATCCTAGCAACATAACCACAATAAACCAGTATCCTTGTAAATCTATCTATCTAGCCATAGTCCAGTATTGTGCAGTTTCCCGGGGTCCTGGGTGCACTGCTCTGTGACCTCAGAAATGCTAAAAGTCAGGAGTTTATTTGACAAAAAAGGGGAAAAGCTGACACAGATCTAAAATACTCGCCAAACTTTCCCAATGTGTTAGTTTTTAATGGCTAAAGAGAATCTAATGAACAAAACTAAACTAAACTAAAGTGTGTGAGATCGGAGCTCGTTGGAAGTGTCGAGATGAAAGTCACAAAAAAATCAAAACCCATTTAAGTTTAGTAAAAAATGTCTACCAAGTATTATTGATACTTATATAACATAGTATTGTCCTGCTCCAGTTACTCAAATTCTCTTCATTTTCAAAGATTTTTGTTAAACAGGCTTGTATGTTATCCTGCTGTTTATTTTAGTATATATTTTAATGATTAATATAATATTCTGGGAATCACTGTTTTATTGTGCCAAAGGCGTGAAACAGTAATAATAATAATAATTAATAGTATTATTGATTTTAAAAACATTAACATTTGATTATCGGACACTGACATATAAATTCTAATTTCTGTTTTATTGTTTGCTTTTCCAGCTATTCGCAAATGTATTGATTCGACCAGATTAATTTAGTTTATTCTTCTATTTTCTTCCTCTTGCTGTTTTCGGGTACAAATTCTAATGTACCATGTGTTGCCACAGAAACACATACATCATAATTACTTAACTACTTTAAGTATTTGTGATCAATATCTTCATGATTAAACTATTTTACTTTATGCCACTGACACATTTACAATACACACAAATTACCCCAGTTCTAAAAGGAAAACAAATCTGCAGATAAAAAGTGTTTTGATTCACAAAGATAATGGTAAACCTGCACAGAAATAAAGAGACAATATAAACTGAGATTTAAAATATATTATTACATCTGTAAATTATTGAACAAGAAGTAGATTTATAGTAATTTATAGGCAGTTGTGAAGTGAGGGTCTCTCTCTTTGGTCTCTCTCTAGTCTCTTGTCTCTCTTTCTCTAGTCTCTCTCTCTGGTCTCACTCTAGTCTCTCTCTGGTCTCTTGTCTCTCTTTCTGGTCTCTTTCTTGTCTCTCTCTCTCTCTCTGGTCTCTCTCTTGTCTCTCTTTCTCTAGTCTCTCTCTCTAGTCTCACTCTGGTCTCTCTCTGGTCTCTTGTCTCTCTTTCTGGTCTCTTTCTTGTCTCTCTCTCTCTCTGGTCTCTCTCTGGTCTCTCTCTTGTCTCTCTTTCTCTAGTCTCTCTCTCTCTCTCTCTCTCTCTCTCTGGTCTCTCTCTTGTCTCTCTTTCTGGTCTCTCTCTTGTCTCTCTTTCTCTAGTCTCTCTCTCTCTTGTCTCTCTTTCTCTAGTCTCTCTCTCTAGTCTCACTCTGGTCTCTCTCTGGTCTCTTGTCTCTCTTTCTGGTCTCTTTCTTGTCTCTCTCTCTCTCTGGTCTCTCTCTGGTCGCTCTCTTGTCTCTCTCTCTTTCTGGTCTCTCTTTCTCTAGTCTCTCTCTCTCTGGTCTCTCTCTTGTCTCTCTTTCTCTAGTCTCACTCTGGTCTCTCTCTGGTCTCTTGTTTCTCTTTCTGGTCTCTCTCTGGTCTCTCTCTTGTCTCTCTCTCTCTCTCTGGTCTCTCTCTTGTCGCTCTTTCTCTAGTCTCTCTCTGGTCTCTCTCTTGTCTCTCTCTTTCTGGTCTCTGGTCTCTTGTCTCTCTTTCTCTGGTCGCTCTCTCTGGTCTCTCTCTGGTCTCTCTCTGGTCTCTCTCTGGTCTCTCTCTGGTCTCTCTCTGGTCTCACTCTGATCTCTCTCTGGTCTCTGTCTTTGGGGCAAAGATAGATGATGCGTGCACGTTTGTATAATTCACGCCACATCAACTGTTCAAATTCACACACGACCCACAGACCAGCAGGAGATAGAACAGAGCGTGTGTGGCGTTTGTCCCGGGACGAGGAGCGAGAGAGAAAATGGCCACGCTGCAGTCCACACCTGCTCTCATTCATTTAGCTAATGCCTTTAGCTGCAGCACGACATAGCGACTTCTGCTTCTAATGGGCTATTTTCAACCCGTGACGTCGCATTGCCTGGTTATATATAGTTTGAGTGAGAATTCTATGAAGTACAGTATGAGGCTGGTGCAACGTTTAAAGGGGACATACCATGCAAAATCTATAATAGAACTGTTAAATCTAATCCTTTACAATTATTTTTAAAAAAATGCTTTTTAACTTTTTGTTATTTTGATTGCATGAATGATTTAATGGATTATTAGTGATTTTTTTGGTCACCTTGATTGTCCTACAAATAAAAATGGATTGCAATTGATTTACAATGCATATTTTATAAAACAAGTTTCCAAAGTAGAACTAACATAATTGAAATAAAACTTAAATGTATGAAATAAAATTGCTAAAATAAAATAAAAACAATAAAATGCCACATTACCAATACATTGTAAATACATAAATACAAGCAAAAATTAAGACAATAAAACAAGTCTGTCAGAGGACCACACAACTCGCAACTCGCAATGCGCTGTTTATAGCCACATGGCCCTAGATGTAATATGGGTCTATTCAAGGCTTTTAATTAAAACAAACAATAGAATCTAAAATGTACAGAAAGCGTGTGCAAAGAAGCTAAAATTGTAGAATTGCTCACGTTTTGTCTATGTTATTTTGGTTCCTGTTACAGTAAAAGCCGTACACTGTAAGAGTTTAATGCCCTTTACAGAAAATAATCTTTCTTATTTTACTGAAGAGTGATTCCTGCAAAGTGCTGGTGTGTGACAAAGTGCATGTACAGAGAACACAAAAACCATAGGAATACTTTGTAGTGTTTGATCATGAAAATGAGGTTTGAAATGGCTTGCCATAGTGACAGGGGTCTAGTTTCTCATTGAGAGAAAACAGAGAGAGGATCAGCGAGCAACGGTTAGACGAGCCAGTTATAAGTTAACATCTAGTTTTTACACAATAACAGTACACACATCCTTGAAAAACTTCCAGAATTGAAACAGAATCGGTCACAAAACGTTCTTTTTTTGTTCTGTAATAATATTTTTGAACTTTTCCTCCTGTTGCCGTTAATGCTTGAGTAATATTTATTCTCCTGCATTCGAGATGGCATTGCTGCTACGATCGGGTTAACTACCAATTCTTAAAAAGATCTGTCTTGTTGATTTTGAAAAGTCAAATGGGGAAAAGGCTTTCATATTCCTGTATCGTTTCGATGGTGTGCAGTTCTCCAAACGTCCAGCAGATGGCGAACATCGCTATAGTTTTTTGTCCCTCTACGACACTGAGACCAGTTGTTTCAAGCGTTGCTGTGTTTCTTGAGGCTTCTAAAACAAAACCTGTGTACATTATGCTAGCTCATTGTGAAGGAGAGAGAGGTTGTACTGTTCTAACATCACAAAAACTTTGGATATAACTGCATTTACAATACGTTTGGGTGGGTTCAAAATACGTTAGAGTGAGATTAGGTTATCGATAAGCGGGATTGGTCGCCAGAAAATGAACGTAAGTCGATGTAATGTCCCCAAGAGGTATAGAAATCCAATTGTGTGACAAGCGCTGATTAAATGTCCCCATACGTCAGTAAACGCATGAGGCAAGCAAAAATCCAGCCGCATAATTACCTATATGGACCCAAGATGGATGCATTTATCAACCCTGCGTGAGAAAGTGCTGGTTCTATTTTAAATTCAAGACATACATCGAACCTTTTGGCATTTATCGATGTCTTTATATCCTTTTGCGTGTCACTGTGGTGGTTAAAGGGTGGCTTGTTGTGAAGAAAGTTTGGAATGTAATGTGTTCATTTTTTCGCCTCTTTTAAAGTGATTTATTTTCTCATTTTTACCAGATTGGTTCTTTCAATATGTTTCTTTCCCATTCCGTTCACTTTCATAAGCTTGCGTCTTTTTACAGTATTTGTAAATTATAAGTAGTTTCCCTAAATACTTTTGACAAACTTTAGTCATTCTTGGACTACTGCTTTATATCTCTATTTTAGCATGATGTAGCAATATAGCATCGATTGACGGGGCTGAAGTTGGCTGGATGACACTGTGAATTTGTGTTTTTGATGTTAACGGCTTCTTTGTGATAGCAAGGCAGAGGGCCACGTAAAAGGCCACAGAGGGCCGCATTTGGCTCATTGACCTTAGTTTCTGATCAAAAGTGGAACTGCACTCTCCTTGACTCAGGTTGCCAGATATTCGGACAAATCCAGCTGGGACCATAATATCTGAATAAAGAGTTTTGTCAACAACAAATCTATAACCAACACCTTTTTCACAAAGACAGAAATCCTGGTTTTATTCCTTGTTTTGTCGTTAATGATTGGAGAATCACAACGAGACCTTTTTTAGTTCTGTGGCCACATGTTACTTTACCAGTGAGATTAGCTCGACACGGTGAGTTCTGGCAACCCGGATCACCCGGATCAATTAAAACATCAACAAGATTTAGGGGCTGTAAAAGTAATTTTGAAATTCAAACATCTCGGCTGAACTACTCTTATCAGTTAAAGAAGTATTTGAAAAAAGCATGTTTTGTTAATGCCTTTTTACAGATTAGGACCATTTAATGATGACTTGACATGAAAAACTTACATATTGCTACTTTAAACCTATTTTGAAGCATAATATAGACAGAATTATTAGTATGAACTATTTGCCACTGACTGCATAATTCTAAAGCCTTAAAGTCCCAGATAATGTTTTAAAAGCAAAATCATTAAAAGTTTGAAGGTGCAAGAAAAACAGCAAAATTATATTTTGGTATGAAACTAGTGTACTCATCCCTACAGCTTACATTGTATTGTGTTATGATAATAATTACTAACAAATACACATTCTTACTCATTGTAAAGACATTTTTTAAATTCAATGATGTAACTACAGTAAAATACTGCAATAAGGCCGAGAATAGTTTATGTCATATGACTGGGACACACGTCGCCCTCTGGCGGTGGGTGTTGGTATGTGCTTGTGTTAGATCGCGCAGCTGTCCCACTTTTGCTCTTACGTAATGCCGACGTGATGCAAAAGAATCTGCTCTAAACCATTTTCACACCATTACATAATACCTTCTTAAATTATTTAGTGCTTAACCTTTGCACATCAAAAGCATGTTTTGCTTTTCAGAGTATTAACAGAACAAGATCAAGATTAAAACCGTATAAATATAGAAAGGGGTGAATCAATGAGAGATTAGAATAGTGTTATCTTAGAAGAAATATCAGCATTGAGATTTGTTCATAGTTTTACATAGAAATAACAATCAGGACTTTAAAATGTAACAGGTCTGTGTAAAAGCAATCTTGTTTGTATTGCAGGTAAAATGCATAATTTTTAAGGTGTTTTAATCCAACATTATATGCGTGCTTACAAATGTTATTTTGTGTCACAGGCAACAAGACGAAGGAGGGAGTGACTGCATCAGTAAACACAGGTAAGGATAATACTAGCCTATTTTAACTCCAGAACTCAGAGAACAGTCAATTTGACGACTTTTAGTTTTGGAAGTGTAATTACTCAGCTCATGTACATTCCTGGTCTTCATAACTTTTAATGTTTTTATATATAGTTTATTTCTATGTCATTATTTTGATTAAGTTATCTATTTATTTATTTTTTAAATGTGAGTAGTTCTACTCCTTGAGAAGAGCCAGTACTAGTTACCATAGCAACACACTGTCAGCAGCTAGCATTTAGCATTAGTTATTATTTCAAGTTATAGCTTATAATAGTTTTAGCACTTATTTAAAAGTAAGCACTTATTTAAAAGTAAGTAAAGGTTGTTCCTGATTGGTTCCTTGGTTGCTAAGAGGTCGCTATCTGAGAATGAAGCCGGTTCGAACCAAGAACCAATAATCTTTGCTTCTGTGTTATAGTTCAAGATTGGTAAAAATTTAAATTTTTTGTGGCAGTGGCTAACAAGACTGTGGACCAGGCTAACATCGTCGGAGACTCAACAGTGGCTGGAGCTAACGAGGTTTCCCAGGCAACGGTGGAAGGAGTTGAGAACGTCGCTGCATCAACCGGACTCATCAACCAGGTTTGGGCCCTGTATTAAAAACTGAATTAAAACAAACTGATTTAACCAAGTAATTACTCAATCATTTGTCTAATAATGCAAAACTCAGCCAGGACAGCTAGCATAGCATACCACCACCAACGTGTGACTCCATGTCTATGATATCTATGAGATAAGCAACATCTGTGCAAAATATTAACAGTTTTGTTCAGACGAGTTCGTAATTGTTAACTCCTTTCGTGCTTTTCTTGTGTTTTCTGTTGTCCCAATAGGAGGAGCCAGTTTACGAGGTGTCTATGGCAGATTTGCATGAGCTTTAGGCAATAGTAAAATAAGGCATTTTCCAACTTTGTGAAGTTTGGGAACGACGTTTGAACACCGGTTTCCCTGCATGTCATAGTATGCAGAAAATATATTAACTTTTTAGGTTGATTTGAAGCTTAGCTCATTTCTCAAACTCAATGTCAAAAATAACCTTCAAAATATGATGTTGTGGGCTTTTAAAATGGGCTTGGGACAGGTTTTTCTACGTTTAAAGTGGATGTCAGTCACTGGTTAGACCCGCCCCTTGCTCACCTTCCTGATTGGTCAAAATTAATTCAAATGTCTTGAGGCCCCATGTCATTGGTTTAACTATTCTCCTCCTGGAAATCTTACTGGTCAAAGTTATACCAAGGGGAGGGACTGTTTAAAATATGTGATTGTTGACAAATACTTACTGTACATAATAGTACTGTGTCCCATGGTCAACATAAAATATACAACATTTTACAAAAGACATCACCTTGAGTTTTTTTGGTGGGATAATGCCATAACTCTATATCTATATGAAATTATAGTTTTACACAAATCAATTGGTAAAGATTGAAGAGAAAAGTATATTGAAAAATTGTCACCACACAGAGAACTGGAGTATCCTCTTTATGTGGCAAGTGATTTTTACCCTAGTCTAATTCCTCTGCAATCAGGAAGTACAATTATAACCAGCCATTAGAGGAAAAACTGGGATATATATATATTATTTATTTTTGTCTCAACTGCATTTTTAACAACATGTGTCGAGCAACCTGTCGTATGCATATTTTATTAGGTCAAGTTAAATGACCCACATTTGGAGCTGCGCAAGACACTTCCTATTTTTAACACCACGCTCAAATAATATAGCCACTAACTCCCAGATTGAAAAACACACGCAATGACAATAGTAATCATTTAAATTTTAATCCTATTTGTAAGAAATAGTTTTAAACAGTCCTCAATCTAAAAGAAATATACAAACATTGTTCATTATAATCATGTAAGTTTTAATAAGAAGTGTATTGTATCATGTCACAATTGTAAACCGCTTTGTGACCCTTGTCTGTGAAAGGCGGTATATAAATAAACATTACTATGTTTTGAGGTAAAGCTAACTATGCTACGAGCTAATCTAGGCCATTGCACAATATACACGCTAACACGCTTCCTAAATGTTTGATGCAGGGACGCTCCAGTTAACAATGTTCCTAATCTGCTCCAGCTGTTGTTGCTGAGATTTTATTGCTTTTATTGTTTTTGAAGTCATTTTTAGCCTGGTAGAGAAGGAACGGTGTCATTTCTACTCTATGATATGATACCTTGCCCTCTCCAGGTGGAAGAGAGGGAGGACAAGCGATTAAGTTCAAGGATCTCAGACGGAGAGCAATATTTCAGACTTGTTTCACCAAATATTTTCTACTGAAGATATTATTTCACATTCTAAATCATGAAATGACCATGTAAATAGTGTCATTATCACGTTTTAATGTCCGAAAAAGAAAAAAAATATCAATGAGTGACTCTCAATTTGTCATTGAGAGTCACATGAGGTTGAGGTTAAGGTTTTACGAGGGCGATTTTGGGCCATGAGGAGGTGCTGACAATAGTAAGAATGACAAAGGAAAGTTTATTATTTGTATAGCACAAATCATACACAAAGGCAACTCAAAGGGCCGAACAAAACAAGAAAGGAAACATTAAAAATCAGGGCATTGATATAAATAATAATCAGCTTACCAATTGCAAATAAGCTAAATAAATAAAATGAAATGCAAATTGCAAGTATGATTTTTAACCTGGATTTGAACATAATCAGATAAGAAGCCTTTGTCACATTTTCAGGAAGACTATTCCAGATTTTAGCTGCATGAATCTGAAATGCTGCCTCCCCGTGTTTAGTCCTAACTCTGGGCACCAGCAGGAGGCCAGTCCCTGTGCTCCTCAGAGTTGGTTCATATGGCACTAACACTTCAAAAATAAAAGAATTAGCTTTTTTTGGATTGATTTTTGCACTTAAAAAGACAGTCGCAGATTAGAGAGAGTGACACAGATACAGTAATTTAGTCATGAGCAGCATTGCAAATTCAATATTTACGCAAAAAAACATGTATAGCTTTGGCCATTGGCTTGCTTCTAACCCTAACCCACTGAACTCCTGTAATCATAGTGCTCTACGCATAATTTAAGATGCTTTTGCTTGTCAACTTGTGTATATAAATGCATTTTCTTTCCCCTTCTTCATCCAAAACCATTACAGCAAAGCATCACAGCAGCAGCAGAAACACCAGCCTCTTCATCTTTTACCATCATATATAATGTGTTTGCGCCTCCCATGGTTCAATTCATAAATATTAACCTTTTTTGGCTACTCTTCCCCCCTCTGCATGTCTGTTTGGTGCTTGAAGCCTTTCACAGCATTTGCCAAAACAAGCAACTTTGAGTCTGCTTTTGTCCCCCGCCATGTTTAACTTAGTTTTTGTGCGTTTTACAGGGAGAGTATGGAGGAATGGAGCAGGGAGGTCAAGGAGGAGAGGTAGGACACACACAAAAGAACTCTTACAAGTAGTTTTATGTCATCAATATTCTTGAAGTTTGTGACTTAAAGCTGGGGTGTCTAACTTTTTTCTCCCTCCCATTATAATCCATTTAAGCCTTCACAGAAAGAGTTTTGTGAAAGTGAATATCCTGTGAACAAATCTGGCAGCAAATATGTTAGATTTTGGGTTATCACTATTTGACGCTATTTGACAAATCTAAAAATGTGCTACAAATAAATGCATGTGAAAACTGTTTTGAGAGCAAGAAAATGGATTTTAGTACATAGTTCATTTTTTGTGTGGTTAACTTTAGACCTTTATTCAGAGCTTTTGATAAACTGACTTTATAACACTGTTCTAATGTCAAAAAGAGACGTGGAGTTGTTGTTGTCCTCACTTGTGCTTCACAGCAAGAAGGCCATGGGTTTGATTCCTTTCTGTATGGAGTTTGTGTGTTCTCCCCGTGTCTGCCTAGGTTTCCTCCGGGTGCTCCAGTTTCCCCATACCATTAAAAACATGTACAATAGGTCTGGCATGCGCCTCCTGTGAAGACCCCGCTCCCATCTCTGTGCGGAGTGAGAGACAAATACCCACAACAATTGTAAAGTGCTTTGTGACTCTGGGCTGTGAAAGGAGTTTAAGTAGTTGACTATCATCCCTTTCAAATGATTGGTTGGAACTTAAAGCTGGGGTACCTAACTTTAAAACCCATAAAAGAATGTCATAACAATATCCCCGCCTTCAAAACAATTTGGTTCTAGTTTTCACATGCATGCATTTTAGGCCTCTGTCACATCTTTCACAGACAGAAAAGTTCAAGAGAAAAGACAACCTCACTCAGCCCAAAGGGTCAAATAGTGACTCACAGGGCTCTTTCTTACAGGTAAACAAAAGAAAAATGTATTCTAGTAAGATGAAAACAGCAAGTTGTGGACTGATTTGTTCAAAACATGTTTAAATTCTTATAAAAGGAGTTAAGACTTTTTCTGTTGAGACAAACATGAAAAGTTACGTAGCCCAGCTTCAAAGCAAGTTAAGGCTATAATTCTCAGGTTTTCCAAAGAATATATCTCTTGTTTATATTTGTTTTATTCATTTCAATACGTGTTATCTCAGTAAAATTGTAAACAAAAATAAAAAATATCTTTGTTTTGCCCACAGGGATATTAGCCCACCTCAGGACCCCTCTCCCCTTCTCGCCCTCGCCTTGCGGTTCCAGACTCCAGATGTTCAGCCTATTTTTTGTGACTTTATTGAACCAAATCTACGAATAAAATGGAAAAAAAACATAACAACCAACAGACTTTTCTTGGCGTCCCACCTCTGCCTCCGAATACCTCCACATCACGCCATCGCGAACCCAGCAGAAGCAGCCAACAACTCGACAACGTTACTTTTGTCCCCTCTGAAAGTCCTTGAATTATTTTCTTGCAGCTTGTTGTAGCTTTCTCCTTGTGTGTGTGTGTTGTAATTGTGTCGCAATCAGCCTCACCCGTGCTAAACCTTTGGAGATGCTTCACTTGTTGGCAGGCCACAAAATCACATTAAATACAATTCACAACAATCAGAACAAAAACAACCGCTTTAAATTTTTGGAAACTTGGACTTGAATCAAAACGCACACAATAGAACCAACTGATACCAACATTATTATTAGCTGTGAAACCCTGTGTATTGAATGGCAAATGTAAAGGCATTTTTGCACAACCCCACACAATAATAAATTGTTATGTTTAGCATGCATTACTTAAAAATAGACAGACTATGGTAAGAATGTGTCTAACTAACCAATAAATGCATGTAGTCTATAGTAAAAGGCCCATCATCATAACGTTAGCCATTTAGCTCAGTAAGATTAGCAACGTAGCATTGTTAGCATAGTATTTAACAGCTCTAAATATGAATTACAGAGGTTTTATCTACATTTATGCACCAATAAGCTAATACAATGTATGCTAATGCCTCTAGATTAAAATGTTAATGAAAAATAACAAAGCTAACAATCTTTAAGTCAACAGTTATTGTAGTTAGCCGGAATGCTAACATGCTAACTCAATCCAGTTTAACCAGTGAATTTAACTGGCAGTATTTAGCATGGTGTTTGTTGACGAGCAAATGATAAAATGATAAACAATTATAGCATTTATGTACAAAAAAAATAGGAAAAGTTTTCTAAATTCCAAATATTATTCATTATTATCCTAACAACAAAACAACAAAATAGACCAAAACAAGGTCTATTTTTACTTGTCATAAAGATTGCTATATTTTAGTCATTTAAAAGCAAATATTCTGCATTCTTTGCATAGAGTAAGATACATATAATAAGGAGTCAATCAATGTCTATAGTTTCTTTGGCCTAAATAATGTTATACCAAAGTCAATATCGTTGCATTAAATAAGCCGTAAGCGATGATCAAAAGCAATAATAACCCGTATGATGTGTTCAAAAGAGCAAAAATAGTACAAATGGCATGAGCAAAATGTACACTAGGTTCACATAAATATTGTGCATTTTACTTTATTTATTTAAGATAAATAATGGACTGTCATCAAACTATAAGGTTTTAGGTGTATGCCCTATTCAGGTCCATATATATAAGGAATCATATGGCTGTCCAATGAATCAAGTGTAAAAAATAAGGCTTACAAACATATTTAAACACACACAATGAACACTACTTTGCCACAAGTATTATCTACACAAACGTATTGGCAAAAAAATAGTAACCGGAGCGTAAAAATATAGGATTACAGCAATCCAAGTTGCTCAAGCCCGTTCTCCATGAACTCAGTGGTTGAAATAACAAGCAGTTTTGTGGTGATACAGTTTTGCTTTAAATTCTCACAGGAAAAAAAAACAAACTCAAATTTGGTTTCATTTGTAACCTAGATTATAGTTCGATATGTGATGTAGACTAGTTCCAATGGATTATTTCTCTGCATACTTTTTGGAAATGAAAATGCAAGCCAGGCTATCCAACTTTATAGTGAATATACCATTGACTAGACTTAAAACAAAAGCAGGGTGCAGTCAAACAAGTCGGGGTAGTGGAAAAAACAAGAACATTGATTTTGAATTGTTTTGTGTATTTTATGGCATTGTCATCACGTGAAGCATCTCTGCATTTCCTTTGATGCCAACGGAAAGTGAAGCCTGCATGTTGCCTTATATCACTTATGACACTTACCTATTCCAACACACTCTCCACAGACTGCACACACACACACAGACGCACACAGACACACACACGTTTAAGTTCAAAGCAGATTCCCTGGTTTTATAAACTGTGCCGGACAAAATAAATGGTTTTGTTCAAATCCAACAAACGTTTCGACTCGTTATTGTGTGTATGAACTTAGAAGCACGGCTAATAACCTCGTCAAACCTGTTAATTCTCATCTCCGGGTTTTTTTTCCTCTGAGGTCCAAGTCAGTCCCAGTTCAGTGAAGTCAAGCCAATTCCGATAAATGGGAGGTGTAGTGTGCGTCATTCTTCTGACGCACACCTCCATGTTCTTAGAATGTGGAGAGACTGGTTTGGCGGATCATGACTGTTTACATTTTTATATCTCTTTTTGATTTAATGAATAATGAAAATGTGTAAAAAGTGTTATACAAAAGCGGTATGTAAACTCAATACAGAAAAACTGGTCCACGCCTCCAGACTGGACTACTGCAATTCCCACCTGGTAATACCCTTCTATACTTTTCACATACTATCCTTTTGTTTGTCGTCAGGGCTTGTAATAAAAGTAAAAACGTTTAAAACTTGACTAAGACTCTGGAATTTAAAAACTAGAATTATTCACTAGTTTTGATCTTACACATTTTTGATTGTACTTAATTATGGCTGACAAACAATGTCAAGGCCAATAATACAGTGAATACCAAAAATCCTTTAACTTTTATAAAACTAAATGGAAATGGTTACAAAGGCAAATTGTGTTGAAGAGAAGGGGATTCTCAAAAGGTCAAAAGAGGATTTCCAGTTGAATTTCCAAAATACGACTATATACCATTTTGATTCAAACTTAAGTAAAAATACTCCATTACTTCTCCCAGTCTAGTGTTTTATAACCACCTCAGACGCAATATTAAGATATCATTGTTACTTTATTGTGTTGAAAAACAGTGAAAATAAAAATACAGTATGTTTGATAAACGCTTTGTGAAGGTTGGGACGGTTACACAAAGAAAACCCAGCTCAGAATCGCTCACATAAACGTAGCAGACGCTTAACCCACATCTGAAACAGTGCTACGAACAGAACAGTTGAACTTAATAATTACAATTTTTTTTTTTTTTTTTATAATAAATCTTATAATAACTCCCTTTGATAAATCGCAGTTAAAGTGGCGGTCTCTCTTTCTCTCCCCCCGACATAAGGCATCTGTACTGTGGATTCTGTGATAATGAACTCCACGTGAAGCAGGATGAGGGGAAAGGAGGGGAGGGGGGAGGGGGAGGAGGTTTTTTTTCTAACGGAGCAGGTCTATGTGAAGGTGAGCCCAGCCTCGTTGTAGACTTTGAACACCTTCTCGATGGCGTTGACGTAGGCCGCCGTCCTCAGGTCCAGGCCCAGGTTGTACTTGCTCGCAGTGCGCATGATTTGCTGCAAGGACAAAATAAAAACACAAAAAAAAAAAAAAAAAAAGATTCAGATTCAGTTTGTTGGCTGTTTGCGGTAAAACTAAAGTTCCCCAGTGTGCACTAGACGAGTACAGAATATAAAACATGTTAAAAAAAAAAAAGTACAAGAAGCAATCACTGTGAAACCCCATCGACAAAAACAGTTTAAATTAAGTGCAAGATCATTAAAGTGCTTTGTTCAGACTGATAGCAGCTTGTGGAAAGAAGCTTTTAGCATATCAGCAACGATATCTACCAAAACTATAATTTTTGTCAAAATTTCTTTCACAAAGAGGTACATTTCATTGGAGGTGAGACAGAGGGACCTGTATACAAGCCAAAAAATGTACTATTAAAAAATAAAAATGAATTTAAACTAGAATTTTCTTCCTCATCCGAGTCCAGGACAAACCATTAAAAAGTGCAAGGAGACAGTGAAGACTCATGAACCAGCCAATGAGTAGACTCAAAAGTGTGAAATGAAATACTAACCCGAGCAGATCGCTCCATGGTGTAGGCCAGACCTGAGTGAACAATGTCCTTCTCAGAGGCACCCTGGAAAATAAGTAAAAAAAAAAAAAAACACAACATTTAATTAAGATTTTTGATAAACCAATATAGTTTTATGCATATCTTGAAACTATACCAACAAAGAAACAGGACATTTATGTCAGATGTCATTTTTTTACCTCTCAAAGTCTGATCATAAACTTGTGACTTTGTGAAATTGAAACAAAAGATATAATTTACCCTCTCCAAAATAAATGTACCGTACTTTCTGGACTATAAGGCGCACCTGTATACAAGCCGCATCAGCAATATTTTAAGAAAAAGTACACTTTGTCCACATATAGGCCTGACACAACACGATTAAGGTGTTTAACAGTTTAACCGTTAGCTTCATTCAGCTTCGTTCACCTTCATCTGTTTTGAAAATTAGCAAGTGCCCTATAGCTGCTAAACTTGAGTCAAAATATGAAGTCCATAAACTCAAATACACATATTAGCCACATCGCTATATAAGCTGCAGGGATCAAAGAACTAAAATTAAAGAAGTGGCTTATAGTCCAGAAGTTGCGGTACTTTAGGTCAAAATGAACGACCTAAAAACGAGTGAGAAAAGAGACTATTATTATCATTATTATGTCAATTCTGGTTTCTCTGTAACCGTCTTGCTAATGGACCCAATAACAGTGATCAGTTCAACTCGTGGAATTCTAACTACATCCATTTGATCACGGAACGCCTCAAACACAGAGGGGAAAACTGAAAATCGTGACTGCACTTACGGCGACTCGAGCCTGGAAGTCTGCGGTGGGCACGACGGGGATGGGACCTCCCTGCTTCCCAAACTTCCTCTCCAGACTCTCCTGTACCGACACTGAAGACAGAGGAGTCACATTTACACTTGGCCTTTCCCGATACTGCAGGTCTAAAACTGGGCCTAAACCAGGTCTGTACCAGGACTACACCATCTCTATAGCGAGGTGCAGACATGTCCATGGACCTGCACTTTACTTACGGGTTTTATTTGCGTGTCAAAATGATGGGACTGAGACACAACGGAGCGTCACTCACTGAGCAGGTGGTAGTTGGAGTCCCTCTCGTACTTGAAGGTGAGGCGACCGTAACTGACGTGGTTCAGATTCTTCAACCACTCGAAATACGACACAGTCACACCGCCGGCATTAAGGTACATGTCCTGAGACACAGAGAGAGAGCAAGACAGAGACAGAAATAAATACTTGTACTACAGTCCACACAGGTCTAGGCTGTGGCGTTTTAAAAAAATAAAAACAAAAACATAAAAAGGTGTTCCAGCTAGCTTATGTTCAAATGGGCTTCTTGTGCACTGAAGTGAACACTGTATATTTGGAATGGACAAAGCGTCACTATAGTCTAGAGACGGGAGGTGTCACTTACAGGAATCACCATGACGTTGTTCGCCAGGAAAACTTTGTCGGCTTCTGGAGTCGTGGGTCCATTGGCTCCTTCTGCGATGATCTGAGATTGAAAAAACACAGAAAAAAGGAGATTAGATAGAGATCATAAACGAAACATGTCAAACTCAGGCACGTGAGCGAAATCCAGACTGCAAGACCATATTTAGTGGCCCCTAAAATTGTGTGTGTGTAACTATGCATTTAAGTGGGGCTAGAATAATCAACCAGAAATTAATACTGAAACATTAAAGTCATGTCAAAATACCTTCATAATAAAAAAAACTATTGGAAATCCCTTCTACTTTTTCGGCCCCCGACCAGATACTATTATTTTTCTTCATCTGCCCCTGACCAGAATGAGTTTGACGCCGCCATTATAAGCAGAATTTCTGGACATCACTTACTCAGACCTGCAAGTTGTAATAAAGAAGATTAAATAATTATGTGAGAACAGTTAGATTTCTGCAGTATGTCTAAGTTTCAATTGCCCTAAGGAGATAGCTCATAGTTTCTCTTGAATACGAAATGAAAGAACTGTCCGCTTTTCCATCTGTAGAGTCCAGACCCCGGACCAGACCCCGTGCCCCAGGGAGAGTGTGACGCTGCACCTTGGCCTTGATCCTGGGAGCATTGTTGCGTGTGAGCTGCTTCTCTCCGGCCGCAGGGATCAGGATGTGGCAGTCGGCCTCCAGGATGCTGCCCTCGTAAGCCTTAGCCCCCGGGAAGCCCACGATGGTGCCGTGTTGCTGTGGGCAGATGCAAACACCAACGTTAAACATGACAAACAACCAAAGAATGCGTTAGTAGAAGGGAGCGAAAGGGTTCAGACCAGTTTGTAGTCCTCCAGCTGCTTGGGGTCGATGCCGTCAGGGTTGTAGATGGAGCCGTCGATCTCTCCCACTCCCACACACTTCGCCCCGAATCTGTGCAGGTATCTCATGGAGTGAAGACCCACGTTACCGAAGCCCTGCGCAGACACAGGAGAGATGCGTTCAAACACACGTTATGGCCCCTACATAAAGAGTCCCGGATCTACAGCCCCAGTCCCAGATGTACCCAGGGTGTGTGTTTTTGAGTAGTTCCCTGTTGATGCAGGAGGGTCTAAGGACAGTGATGATCCAGGACATTTAAGCACATTTGTTTTTAAACATTGGTCAGCCCACTTCCAAGGAACCAATGCCCCCGTATGTGTTATGAGTCCATTTTCTATATTCGGCCGGTTTGATTCAATAATCTGTCATTGGTGAATTACCTTCTTTGAGACGACTGCTGGTGAGATGTGTGGGTTTACAAAAATACATTGAATTGAAAGATTTCATTTCATTACATTAGGAGGAAGGAAGATTGAAAAATAAATGCTTTGGTGCCCTCGTGTGGCCAATATATTAATTACAAATGTCTATTTTATGACTGATCACTACTAAAATACAGGGAAAAGAATGAGGACATAATTGCTGTTTTGTCACATGTTTCTAACACACTTCTCACTTTTGTTCAGTATCTATATTTTGTATTGATACTATTCCTTATATTTATACACAACACTGTAAAGGATAAACGTGCTTCAGTCAGTGTTTTGGGTCTTTTGAGCTTAATCTCCAGAGAACGACTTAATCCTTTAGACAAAAGACAGTTTGTTACTCCGTTGCAAATGTTTCAAAACACAGATACCACAGGACGCGCCATCTACTGAGGGTAAGGATCAGTCTGTAGCTGTGTGAACAAATATTAAACTCCAACAGAAATCACACTTTAAAAAAATCTGTAAAATAATAATAATGATATTAGGCATTGAGGTATTGGTTATACTGAGCAGAATGGGATAGAAAAGTGAATATGTGTATGTGAATAAGAAGTATTGAAGTTTGAGCGACAGGTCTTTCCAGCGGTATGTGAAAACTAAGTGTGTCTGTATTTTGGCAGATGGCGCGTTTGTGATTGATGTTGATCTAAACCTCGTTATTACTGAAGAGACGGATCACTGAGGCCGAGGCCGAGGCCACGCAGCATCTGTACAGAGCTCCACGATCGTGCGTCTTTGCTTTTGTGGATCTACAACAATGCCGGCTGATGGGGATTATTCATTTGTGCTCATTTTGACTCGTGTACTTGAAATGCCAAAGAAATAAATGGCGTAACATTTTCTACTTTATCCACTCTGTTACGTCAGATGCAAACACATACAATAAGTAAGTAAGGCGTCTCATCAGGTTTAAAAAGGACACAATTAACGCCTGATCATTGGTTCGTTAAAATATAACTGCGGTGCCCTGGAAGTTATAGTCTAATGATTGTTCATAGAATACTCAGTTTGAGGTGGGAGCAGTAGGACTGGTCTGGTCTGGTCTGGTCTGGTACCTGGATGACAAAGGTCTTGTCCTGGAAGCCGGGGGTGTATCCCAGCATGCTCATGTAGGACGCCTCGTGGATGAAGTTCTCGATGCCGTGGAACAGTCCTCGTCCCGTGGCTGAGATCCTGCCGTGGATCCCGCCCTGGCTGATCGGCTTTCCGGTCACACAGGCGTGGGCATTGATGTCCTAGAGGAGGGAGAAGAAAACTTTATTAAACTCACAATGGAGACATTTACAAGGAGGAGGAGATGAGGAGATGGCTAGAATGTTTTAAATTGTTTTGATATTTTTTTTAATTATGGTTATATTTATAGCAAATCAGATGAATAGAAAGTCAGCCATGTTTGAAATACGCATGAAAAAGTTAGAAGTAGTTCCATCACATGAGGCCTTTTTCCAGTGACAATACTCTGATTGTAACTCTAGTAACTTTTTAAAAATACATTCTGTTGTAATACACTTTCAGGCCTGAGGGGGGCGTCGGTCTGTCCTGGCAGCTGTGAGGTCATCCCATAAACACCGACCTCCTGTGACACGTGCCCATCGCAGGAATGTCTCACTGTATCCAGAGCAGAACTGGCAACCTCTGCGACAGCAACACTCTCGGGGGGGCTTTTACTGAGGTCAAGGGAATTTAATGCGGCCACTTCTATCCACGAGAAAATGTGTTGGTTCATCGTTGCCATGGTGATTCATAATGTTGACACTGGGTTTGTTTGATATTTTGTTTGTTCAAGGTCGGACCCCTGTGTGAAAGCTTTGCATTGCTTCAAGACTTCTTTTCAATGCATCAGAAATGGTGAAGAAAATATTGAATTGAGAAGTCATGCAGTAAAATAAACATTAATTAATTTATCTTATTCTCCTTTTTAGCTGTAGCTACCTCAATTATTTGTCATGAATGCCCAACTGTCCCATTGTCTCAACAGAATGTCTTGCAAAAGTAATGTATTGTGGGCAAATCCTCTCATTACAAAACATATTTTTTCATCTTTTGCAGTGCAAGAGAGATCCCTGCAAGTCACTATTTGATGTATTGGGCTGAGAGCTGATAGCCTCACTCAGCCTCACTCAGCCTCACTCAGCCTCACTCAGCCTCACTCAGCCTCACTCAGCCTCACTCAGCCTCACTCAGCCTCACTCAGCCTCACTCAGCCTCACTCAGCCTCACTCAGCCTCACTCAGCCTCACTCAGCCTCACTCAGCCTCACTCAGCCTCACTCAGCCTCACTCAGCCTCACTCAGCCTCACTCAGCCTCACTCAGCCTCACTCAGCCTCACTCAGCCTCACTCAGCCTCACTCAGCCTGAGTGAGGGTGGTTGTCAGTCTTTTCGATTTCTGTCTGAAAAAGGTGATCTGGAACTGTTTTGAGAAAGACTAGATGGGTGGATCTTATGGCATAGTTTGAATGTTTAGACACAGCTTTAATAATATTTCCACAGTGATTTACTTTGTGTATTAATCTGCATTTCTCTTTTCCATCTCAACCAGTTCATTCCTGATGCCTGTACTAGATTATTCCCCAGATATAACTGCTATCATCTGACTAGCTGCTGACTCCATGTGAACAAAGCCAGAGCAGAAATAAAATATATATAAAAAAAAGGAAAAACATAAATAATTGGTGTGGTTGGTTGGAGGAGGGAGCAGCAGGAAATCTGGAGAGTTGCGGCCAAGAGCTCATTCCTGGTGACTCACTTCTCCCAGAGTTTGACTCATTTTGGAATCAAATGAAAAGGAAAATGTATAAAGCTATGTGGACCTTGTAATGAACACACACCAGTTGCCATGGAGATTCAAACCACACATTAACTTTGTTAGTTTTGTTTGTTTTTGGTGCAGAATGTTGATAAGTCCCAGGATCAAATCTGGATCCTTAGATTATTCCAATAATGTTGAAAACAAGGTTAAAGTCTTGGTTTAGATAATAAAGTATTCAGAATTTCAGTTAGGTGATGCCCTTTTCGAAAGCTACACATTTTTTGTATCTGTAAATGCAACAAAGTGACAGTTTTAGATGTAGTAAATGCGGTGAAAGTGGATGGACTCACGGTGTGTGCGATGGTGTTGGCGTAGGTGTCGGCGATCCAGGACATCTCCCTCTCTCCGGTGCTCATGTCTGGGGCGGGGACGTCAATGCCAGGCCCTGGACAAGACGAAAAGAAAAATCAATAATGGCAAAATTAAGAGAGAAGAAAGTGAGAACAATAGAAAGACCGGAGAGAGAGAGACACACACACTAGATGTAGAACGATGAATGATTGAATAAGTTTTATGAATTGTGAAATAAAGAAAAATCACAGATTGAGTTGAAAACCGGTCAAACCCGCAAAAACAACTTATTAGGACTTCCTCCTAAGCCTGTTTAAATGCCTTGCTATGAAGACGTTTTTTAATGCCTGGAATGTACAATATGACATTAAACTATCCATCTCCATGGAGATAAGCAGGAGGCGCTACAGAGCTAAATGGAATGACTGAATCCGTGGCAAAGTATGTTTATGTTGGTAAATTCATGTCAAAAAAATCTTCTAACGTCAAACAGTTTGATTCTTCCACAGAACTGAATCATTAGTTTCTTCTGTCAAGTCATGTTTAGAGCCGTCGTGGAGCAGAGAATACCTGGAAGAGTTGAGAAATGCCCGGTGCAGTCTTACAGTTACAGCATGTGAGTAATGTATGTGACCCACTTATTAGAGTTCAACTGTCTGCTACACTTCTAAAAGCACGAGGGAACAAGTGTTTACCTTTTCATCAACTACATTTTGTTTCCAGCCCTTAAAACCAAATATGAAAGCAAAATGTTCTGCTAATTTTCTCTGTATCCTTTCTTCTGACCGCCTTCACATGTAGTTTGTCCAATATATATTTTATAATCCAACTCTCATGTCATCGTTCGAGTTATTGACTAAATGACCAAAGACCAACATTTTAATGACACAGCTTCCTGAAATGTAGCAGCATGGAAGCTCTGCCTTGTTGCGCTCATATACTGTACATTAGGTGGATTCCCAGGTAGCGTTAGCCATAATGCAGAAGAAGCCGATTAGAGCTAGCTCGAACAAGATATTTCAGCAGGAACAAGAAGCCATTTTGTTATTTTTGGTGACAGAAGGCTCCAGATTGGCAAGTTTGTTAGGATTCATATCTGGATTTACAAAAAGTCCATATCTCAAGACACCAGGATCTTAGGTAGCGCTAACCATGGATCTTTAAAGCCTAAAACTATGGCTCCTCTACACTTGACATTGGAAAGTTAGTGTCACACTCCGAGAGAGTAGGAGCAAAACTAAACCACTTCCCGCTAGCTCAATGGCTTTCATTGAGCTAGCGGGTTAGCATTGTCCATTTATATACAGTCTACAGTTGTACTTATATTTTCAGAGCCCGGACCTCACAAACCATTACTACAGCTACGGCCCTGAGTTACAGACAGGTGCAGGGGGCAACTTTTCACATTTGTCCGTGAGAGAGAGTCGAGGCTCCATTCGGGACGGTCCAAAAGCAGACGCAGGAACGCAGAGGGGGAAGGGAGCGGCGACAGGAGCCAGAAAGCGCGTTTGCACCACATTCAGCGCGTCAGAAGGGTCATGTGCAGTGGCCCGGAGGAGGAGAAGGAATAATAACATGACACATTTATCTGTGTGCGGTGAAAAGGAGATCCACGCACCAGGGATGAGACTGAAATAGTGAATGGATTTGTGACTCTTGACAGGCTTTCAAAGACTCAAATATGAGCCTTTGAATCAATATAAGAATGCTGTATATTACAAACTGTGGCCCGAAGAACATGTTAAAACAGGGATAGCATTCTCAAATAATATCAATTGGTAGGTAAACATTTGTGGGAAGCCAAGTCACTGTATTTAAAGTGTCCTAGATCTTAGAAAGCACTTGAATAGAACTAAAGTCCCCAGGTCAAAAAGCTCTTTTGAGTGGTTTGTAACTAAATCAATACATTACATTAGACTTTTGTAAACAGACCCACAAACAAATAAGATTTTGAAATGGGGAAAAAGTTTTAACTTCTCGTGCATCAACCTGTTCAAACATAATATTTGCCGCTGCATCAATTCCTTTTCCAGTAAACTTCCAGTAAGCATTTTAGTGGTAGAAAAATATAGTGTTATTGAATGATATATTAGACTACAATTCTTTAATATTATATTTATAAAATGGTAGTTATCCAATCGAAAAAGGTTAGACACATCTAATAGTGTGTTTTGTTATACTCCATGCATCTGTGTGCCCTGCAAAGCTGAAAAGTCGAGGTTGAGGTGAGATACAAGTCATGTCTCATACTCGAAATGAACGATGTGAAAAATCTGTCAAAGAACCAGAAATATTGTGAAACACTATGAAACCGTGTACACGTAGAAAAAAACTGAAATGTGATTAATTACGACCTCCTTTGTGTGAACTCTGCAGAGCTAATGTCCCAGATAAGCATCGAGAGACCTGATACGGGCACAGAACCTGCCTAACCTGTGTCTTTGCCCTTAATAAACATTGTCCAACTGAAACTGGCCTCCGGTAGTATGTGGGGTATTTATAACGCGACAAATATGAAGTCCAAGGAGCCATGTGCCGCAGAGTCCCGTTTCAAGTCTTACCGATGAAGCCCTTCTTGGCCAGCTCGATGGTGAACCTCCTGGTGATCTTCTCCAGTTCATTGTCCTATTGTGAAAACAGAAACTCAGTCAATCAAATTCAAGTAAAACAACAGAAATTTATCGGAAAAAGTGTAGATAGACATTATATGACAAAGGTAAAGTGGAAGAGGCGGCGACGGTCTGTCTCAGTTCAGTAGAGTTTACTCATTTCAGACAATTCTGACAATTCCAGGCGCCTGGCAACAAGATATAAAGTACATAAGGCCTGAAAAAGGAATAGAAAGAGGCAAAAGATAATAAACGCCTACCCTTTAAGTTTTTAATTTAGAAGGCTCTTAATTGGCCAGGTGTTTGGGCTCATATCTGTTGTAACCTACTGTTACTGGGCAAAGAGTTTACTTTTGAATGCAAGTCAATAGGAACCAGAGAGGTGAGGAACAAGGCGGGAGCAAAACTTCGTCCACGAGCACTTCCATTGGGCTTGATTGAGCTAGCGGGTTAGCATTATCCATCTATAATGTTGTAAGAGAATACAAAATATTGTAAGGTTAATATTTGTTACTTTAAAATGCTCTTGAAAAAATGATGCTAAAATGTGCTAAAGGTCTTGGTACTTTAGCCACGTCATGTCTTCAATAAAGAATTGCAGCTTTTATGAATTCCAAAAGGAGACTTTTAGATGCAGCTCATGTGAACGCTCTACAGTCATGATTACAGATCTCTGGTGCGGTCTGTGTCTGTGGGGGTGGCATTACTAAAGCTTACACTGTAATTCTTGGTGTTGATCTTGACTCCGGCTTTAGCTCCTCCGAACGGCACATCTGGAACAAAGGAATCAGGATTTAGAGACAGATTGTGCATGAGTCGGACCAGTGTTGACGACACACTGGGGAATGTTAAATATACTACTTTTCTTTTTGGTTTCTTCCTAAACGGTTTTGAAAATTCTTATAGTTTTACATGAAATAAGTTATCCGGTGTATATACAATTTCCACTCGCTTTTGAAGATTTTAAATCCTTTTTTAACAAGATGTGTTGCCAATGGGTAGGAAAATTGGCAGAAAGGTGATTATTCAATAGAAGTTAGAAATTTGGGCCACAATTCAATATTATTGCGATTCTTAACATATTGTTATACAGCAAGTATTTTGATTCTGCAAATATATTGGGATTCAAGTCCCTACCTCATGTTATTCAAAGGCATAACATAAATGAAGGAAATTAAGACTGCTCTACTCAAATGTCACATTTATTATGGTCTGTGCGTTTACTGAAGTGCAAACACATTTTCCTGTTTACTAGGCGACCTCTTCCATGAATGGTGAAAATGATTTAAATAATACAATAGACTGGTAATTTACATCTGAGGTTTATGTTACTCTATTATGTCTGCTGTTTTTACACTGGAGTACACTCAGAAAATACTGAACAGAACTGATTTGTTTCCCCACCACCACTAGTTGCCAAGCATTCAGATAAACACAACTATCAAGTACATTCATATTGATTCTTGTTTAGCAGTGTTGGCAAGTAAGTGATGCAATTTCCTCTGCACCACATCCTCTGCCAAAGAAACCAGGAAATATGATTCAAGCAAAAGAATACATGAAACATTGAATTGTGTGTGTGCAATTTGAATTCTCAGGTTACATGTTTTTAATTTAAGGAAGTAATAATAAAACTGCTACAATCATCAGGAATTATCTCGAGTTGAAGATACGCACCAACAACAGCGCATTTGTAGGTCATCAGAGAGGCCAGAGCCTTCACCTCGTCCACGGACACATCTGTGCTGTAGCGGATACCTGAGAAAGAGGACACAACATTAAAATAAGTGAATACAAGACAAGACACAAAATAAACAAATGTAGAAAGCTAATGGAAAGTGAGGACGTCTGGTTCTTTAAAACTAAGGAGGTTGAAGCAGTATGTGCATATATGTGCCAACTCCACAATAGAAAATACTAAAGCTAATAAGGCTTTTACAGTACTAACAGTATTCACATTTGCATTGATAGGGCAAACTGATGAGGGCTAAAATAAATTCCCAAAGAAATATTGTTTTCATCACAGTCATATTAAAATTAGTCCCGGTGGCGGTTGCTAAGGCAGGCTGGAGTTTCCCTCAATACTTTTATGGTTCATATCTGGATTTACAAAGCCTATGTCAAAAATAATAACACCAAGGTTCATAGAGAGCCCTGAACCTAAACTAGGAGATTACTATACAATGCAAGTCAATAGGAGCCAGAGCAAGATTGAGCAAAACTTTATCCATGAGCACTTCCCTATTGGGCTTCATTGTCCATCTATATACAGTCTATGTTTACAAGTAGTGAGCATTACTTAAAGCACATACAGAACATACCAAATCATTTTATTCATGTGACCAATTTAATTCTTGTAATGAAATGTACAAACTTCTAGCTCTGCATCACAAATATGGGACTCTATTCACTATTACCCTCAGAAATGGGTGTGTTCTGCCGACTGGTGAGATCTGCGTCCAATCAGAGTGGTGCTTCCTGCCCACATCCCACTCTCCCTCACTTCCTGTTATAAATCATTTCTCTGTGGCAACCGACACTAGATCATAGGACTGTACCACTCCTCTCTCTGTGCAACAGTGTGTGGACCAAATATAGCTGGTTGGTTTAGACACACACTGACACACAAACACACACACGCACAGTCGTAGGAACCCAAAGGACTAAACAGGGAAAAGGGACGACATTAAAAAAAAACAAAGTTAGACTACAAAACATGACAATAAATCCAGGAAGAGCCAACAAAGACCACACCCTAAAAGTTGCTTATCTAAAAGGATTTTGTTGGCACCGCTTCTGCTAAATCAAACACAGCTCTAGTACTACTTCAAATACCTAAACAAAAAAACTCTGAAAATGACGCATGAGTTTTCCTTCCCACTTTTCAGTTCTTACTTTGTACATCTGAAAAAGTCTGGTTTTAATCATGAATAAATAGACTGGCAACACACACACACATAACTAACTTTCTCAAAAGCTGGTTTAAAATCTTCATTGCTCAACTGTAAATAGACTTTGTATCTTTGTAATTTCTGAGATAAGTATACTGCATATCATCCATTTGAACGTTTTACTCGCCTCAGACCAATTTATACATTTCTATCATGTAGCAACACAGTTCTCATATCTTCGTGTGTTAACTTGTCCTAATGTAAAATAATTGGTTAAAATGAAACATCCGATTTTCTCACTTTTTAACAGTGACCTTTTCTGCGCAAGATCAAAGTAAAGTCATGTCAAAAAATAAATAAATAGCAGAAACAGGATAAGGAAAGGTTCAGCAGCCAAATATGCAAACTATAACACCCAGATCTCAAGCTAGCAGTATGTTTCCTATTCATGGCTTGTTTTTCTTATATCATGTTTGAGGCAAGATTTTTATTTGTGTAAAAGGCAGCCCGGAGCCGATTATATTCAATATACAAAAGTAGCCCATTGTGTTGCAGAGAGAGGGCAGAAGAGCTAATAAAATTATACCCATGAAAGCTTCCCCACCCCCATCCGGCCTCTGATTTACAGTGTTATTCACCCAACCACAGAAAGCAGGAGACACATGAGTCCGCTTCGTTCTTGAGATGGACCCTGCAATAACCATTTCTACATCATAAAAATACAGCTTTGGATCCAGGGAACGTTCTGTATCAGTCAAACCAGGAAGTGAAAGTCGAAAGCTAGTGCACACATTTCTCTATGAAGCGTTTGTGAGCTTTAAATGTGACCTATTCCCTTCATGCTAAAGTATTATTAATGTCTATACCTCTGTTTCGGTGTCAATAAATGATAAGGTAAAGATAAAAGACTACAAATCTCATAACGAAATCCATACAGCAGGAGACAGTGTTGTGAATGTTTAATTGACTTGATCCAAACTAATTTGATTTTAGCCTCATTAACAGTCTTCCGAGTGCGTTCCTGTGATAAAGGCCTGGTTCAAACCAGTGACTGCTGCTCTGACGTGAAAACATTGGCCTTTGTATTTTAACCCTATTCGAGGGTCTAACTGAATCAATGATTAATCTAGAAAAATAACAAGTGGGAGTTAAGTGGAGTTTGCACCGGACTAAAGGAATTTAGACCCAATGAACACAAGAGTACGCACAGTGCTGATACAGCCTGATTGTGTGTCTAATAAAGAGGACATGAAGGTAATAGAGTGTACAATAAAGATAAATATCCAACTGGACAGTTTCCTTCTGACTAAATGTGTTTACAACACGTCACAACCAAAACAAATAGACATTTGTCTTATAGGATGATGTAACAGTAACTGACATCTTCCAGTCATGCATGGAAAGATTGTAAACAGATGCATGACAAGGCAAACTGCTTAAACTGGAACATTTTAAAAGGATTTTATTCCAAGAAAGGCACTAGAGGCTGGAGCCAGAGTGTCTTTATGGAAACTTTTCACTCTGCAGCAGCTGTTGAATATGTTTGAAAGCATTATGTGAGGCCTGTACAACTGCAAAAGCAGGGTCCATGTTTCAGAGCAGTCCCTGTGAACATATACTGAATGTCTCCAGCCTGGAGGGCCCTCCTTCCCCCACCTGTCACTCTGACAAATAGGAGAGCCTGAAATATCTCCTCCTCCTCTGCTCAGTGAGTGAAACACATCTGACCCCTGAACAAAGAGCATAGTGCGGCTCTGTGCGGCTCTGTGCGGCTCTGTGCGGCTCTCACTGAGTGAGTCTGACAGACCAGAGTGAGTCTGCAGAAGCATCATGCTCAGACAAACATGTCCAGAAAAGTATCGTCAAGTGTCTTTACTCCTGGCCACAAGTTCAATCTGAGCTGCAGAGGGTTGTGTAGACAGTGATTCCCAACTGGAGGTTCTTGATCGCAGAACACAACAATAAAGAACAAGACTCTTACTTTGGTAACAGTCAAAGCATGTTGTCATTTGAATCTACAAAAGGTCAATACAAATGTAAGTAGTAATTTGATGATGAAAAAAAGATTTAAAAATAATAAAAATAATCACGTACAGAGTTATAAAACAAAACTTTCCACAAAGTTAACAATGAGACCGGGGTCTACTAAAGCCTAAAAACAGCCCTGACCAAAGTGGGTTTGACCCCTGGGCACGTGACAGGCAGTACTGCTGGAGGGGTACACAGGGCAAAGGGACCAGTACACAAGGAGACTAGAGGACTAGAAAACCTGAGGACTAGGAGACTGAGTGAGAAGCAGAAATCAGTCTGCAGATGAACAGGTGTGCCAAACACCAAAGGTCACAATACAGAATGAATGGCATCAAACTAAAGCGTGCCATTGACTGAACAGTGACAGTCTGTTCAACAGTGATGATACTGGTAATTATAGATTAGAATGGTGATTAGAATAGAGATTCCGGGGTAAGCACCATCTGCCTGTGACCTGTGCAGCACCAGTAGCTCATGATCAGGCTAACTAAAGCTAACTAAAGCTAACTAAAGCTAACTAAAGCTAACTAAAGCTAACTAAAGCTAAGTAGCCCACTGTGCTAGCTGCTGTCAGGGCTCAAGAGCAGCTGTCCCGGGGCTCACCTCCTTTGCACGGGGTCCGGTGCTGGCTGTGCTGTGCCCGATAGCCCTCCACCACCTCCCACTCCCCGTTGTCCCTCTTGATGGGGAAGGAGACGCTGAGGACGTGGTTACAGGGCTTGATGATGCGCAGGATTCCTCTCACTCGGTGCCTCTTCTGCTCAGGAGTTTCTCTGGTCTTCAGGTCTTCCACCAGTTTGTCCTCCACGATGGCCGCGCCTCGGTCAAAGAAACCCTCCACCATGCGGAAGAAGTTGGGGTCGTCGGGCTGGTCCGCGGCGTCTGCGTAGTGCCTGACCCGCATGAGAGACGAGGAGACCGGGAGAGCGGACTCCACACAGCCGGAGGACAGAGCACTGCCGGCGGAGCGGCTCAGCAGCTCCCCGAAATAACGATACATGACTGGGAGCGAGAGAACCAGCACTAACTACACAGGAGCGGAGACACGCAGCTCCTCTGGGTCCTCAGGCCGAGTGTGGAACCGCATCAGCAGTGCGCTTTAACCGTTTAACGGGAGGAGGACCGTTAAGGCGCGCTCCCGCTGACAGCGCGCGCTCTCGCCTCGTTCCTCAAAACGTTTAAAACTGCTTTCTATATTTAATCAATATCTCAGATCTATCCTGGCACCCCAGAGCAGTCAGTTTGACGGCCTTTTTTGTTTTTACCTTCACAACTTTCTGACTTGTTCTGTTTCTATTTGTAGTTTATTTCTTGGTCATTATTTTTTATAAAAAATATCATTTGGTTTTGAAATACGGGTACAGGAGACGTCACTCACTCAAATCCAGACAGACTACAGCCATATGATAGCACACTTCTATAGCAGGTCTGTTTGTGTTTCATGCCCCTGTGTCCCTTTGCACTCTCCTTTCCAAAACCAAAACCTAAACATCTAGATCAGGGGTGTCAAACTTATTTTTTGTCAGGGGCTAAATCTAAAAACATAAGAGTTGATTGGGTACAAAAGTATAAAAGTGGTTTTATTTGATCATTTTTGTATTTTGACAAAAGTTAGTTGGATATTATTTTCTGGTATAGGGTTGGATTCAACCACAATAGTGCCAGATATTAAGAAAAGATGTAATTGAAGACTGATAGTCTCTATAACATTAACTTTTGGTTTAATTTGAGTTAACATTCCAGTTGTATGGTTGTTTTCCTGATGGTTGTCCTGTAGCTCTGACTGCCACCCCCCAACCTAGAAATGGATTTAGGGGAAGAAAATGGATGGTTGTTTTCCTGAGACAATAAGTATCCCATTATCATTAATTCTTTAAGATAATTTAATGATGATAATCAAAAATCATTTCAGGGGGCACTAAAAATGCTCTTCCGGCCGAATTATGCCCGCGCACATGAGTTTGACATGCCTGATGTAGACAAATCCTCATTTATAGGCCACAGACACTGATACTCACAGAAAAATTACTTTTTTTTACTACTTGAGAGAAAATAGATATGGAGAATTTGTGCATAGATTAGAAAAAGTGGGGCACTAACATTTCAAAACAATATTGTATACTTTGAATGCTCGAAAGTTCTCAAAACGGCGATGATGATTGGAAGCTGAAAATCCTTTATCTGCTCATCTTTCATTGGCTTTTTGTGCACTATGGCCGTGTTGACTCCTGTGTGTTTTCAGCGTCAGACAATGTGAAACCCGCTTCTGTCGTCAACATCTTATCTGGAGAATAAATACCAGCCGCATTTTATCAATACATAACATTTCATCATCAAATATCATGGCTATATTACATTATTTTTTATAGTTATGAGTTGTTTGGGATATAGCCCATTCATTCATTCTGACAAAAACATAGTCTACTTTATAAGCAATTACTGTATATCTTTCTTTTTGTGTTTCCCATTGTGTAAAATAGATGTTTAGTATGGCAATAGGGAAAATACTCCAACAGGAGAGTTTTTCCTTGATGGTACTCTGGCACTTTAAAGGTACTCTGTGTAATTTTTATAGCTGCTCCAAATGAAAAAACATGTTAACTAATGTGACTTTTTGAAGAATATTTACGTCCACCATGTTTTTGAATTGTTGTCATAGGCTTAGAAATTGACTCATAAATGTCTTTGAGAGCTGGAGGACTCTATGTGTCAATGCACCATCTTGAAATACAGTGGTTGATAAGGGACAAAAAGAAGTTTGACCGAGAGTTGGGGACCACTGTCAAAGAAAACATATTGTCCTGTGAAGCTATACCGCAGTACCGTAAATTACAATATATGATCTTAACGCCAGATGGGAGTAAAAACAACGCAGTGTATCTTTAACGCCTCCATCCTGCACTCACTCAAATACATTCAGATCTTTTGTACATGTAGTGGTCGGGGAAACCGGAGCACCCTGAGGAAACCTGCCCAGACACAGGGAGAACATGCAAACTCCACACAGAAAGGCCCCGTCTGGAGGTGGAACCGAACGCTGGATCTTCTTGCTCTTCTGCCCAACATAAAAACGAATTATCTTTTCATTAATAAATTCAATTCAATGTATTACAACAGCAGTGTCTTGGAGGACACAGAATCAAACAGTTGGAAACACAATAATAGCAAACAAATAGGTGGTATTGGTCCATAAATGTCCTTAAATTAAACCACTGTCCTCAGACCCTCCTGCATCGTCCACTAATACAACTTTAAAATGGCTATTTATCATTTATATTTTGACTACTTTAGCAAATGAAACAGTATGTGAAAAACCTCAAAAGCGATCTTGTATATTCCCTCGAGATACAATGTGACAAGGCGTGAAGCTCCTGTGAACCTGAAAATAAGTGGGTGGATAAATCATTAGATACACAAAAAGGTTTTAGACATTTGGTTTAATGGAGCGTGTTTTTGTGGTCAGAATTAGCCACCATTTACGTTCCTCCATACCATGTGATCTGCTCCACTGTCTCCACCTGGTCCTCATATGTTGGTTGCTTACGTAATCCTCATTGCATTGTCCTATTTCTCTTCTCAATACAAACCGGATCTTTAAAGGGGAGTCCACATTTGCAGTCAGAAAATAAGTAGAGACTAAACCTCTAGACTAGACTCAAGTTTCAATGTTCTGAATTACAACGATTCTTGGGAGAGAAATGTAAACAGGCTTCTTCAGATTTCTTCCCCACAAACTGAGCTTCCAATCTCATGTTAGCATTTTAACATACTGTATATACGGTCTTTCTATAACACTAAAGGCAGTGCATCGGGTCTGTCCAGTTCAACTGCTGTGTCCATATCAAATAAATAAATAAACGAATCACACACATACAAGCTATTAACAGTTAAATTGTCCTCTACTCTACTCTACTCTACTCTACTCTACTCTACTCTACTCTACTCTACTCTACTCTACCCTACTCTACTCTACTCTACTCTACTCTACCCTACTCTACTCTACTCTACTCTACTCAGATTGGGAGCATTTTACACCCTGCACACCAGGTACATCTTTTTACCTGCGAAGCTTCTGGAAAGAATTTCAATATTTCCAATAACTTTGAAAACATATTAAAGATTTAAATTGTATATAAATGCCTTGAGAAGATTGCAAGTTAAGTTAAGTTCCCTGTAAAAATAAATTTTCCCTGTGTGTTTTTTATTTTGCTTTTAGGTAAAACTGTCAGGAGCAGTGGCTGGTTTGGTCAGGAATACATAGCTGAAGATAACCCTATGGTGCGTGGAAATTGGTTTGTGTTTTAAGGCCGATTTTGTATCGCTCTGGGGAAGCGCTTTATTTTTAAGTCTACAAATGTGCTTTCACTTAACATACAGTATTTCAAAAGGTGGATTTATCTATCTTAAATTTGGGAAGAATTTTTGATTGAAACGGATTATGAAGTTAAAAAAATACAGTTATAGAAAAGACGTTTTCAACTGTTAGGGAAACCATTAACTTTGCTTTGTAATAACTTTTATGTACTTTTTTTTGTTTAATTTGTATTCTCTTTTTTATTTATATAGCATTATTATTATTATTATTATTTTTTTTATTACTTTGTTTTATTTTTTTGTCTTGTCTTTGTTCTGTTTGGGGTTGTAATTCTGTGGTTTTGTTTTATGTTGTGTGGTTTTTGTGTTGTTGTTGAATGTTGATGTGTTTGTCTGTTTTGTTGTCTTTAATAAAATAAATAAAATAAAAACAACCAATGGTGCATGTTTTGTGTGATGGGGGAAAACTGGAGCGCCTGGAGGAAATCCACCCAGACACAGGGAACATCATGCAAAGGAACCATTCAAGATTTGATTTTGTGACATCAATATTTCTGTGTTCTTTCCACTTCTGGCTCTCAGATCTGACTCTACAGTCTCTACGACCTTTACCCGTGGGCAGTAGTAATGTTATCAGCTGAAAAGGCACAAAGTCGAGGCAATTGTTGAGCATTATCAGCGCTTTGAAACCAGAGCTTATCTGCTATTGTCCTGTCGGTGCGTTGGGCCGTTGTCTCTGAAGGTGATAGAGGGAAAAGTATTATAAAGATTAGTCCAGTGAGACGAGCAAAGGCACAGATTGGAAATTAGGTTTAGCAGATATAGTGATAGTAGAAAGAAGCAGCAATAAATGGGTTTCAACAATGTCTCTTTTGTCCTGACTTACTTTAGGTTTAGTTGCATCTTGTCTTCAAAATCAAGTAGCGTAAAAGCACATTGGCATTGTTCAGATTTTATGTTGGTTTTGGTAAAATTAATGAACTGGACAATCATGTAGTTGTTGTAAGTATAAAGCAATTAATTAATGTTTTTTTTTTTTATCTAACTATAATAGACACACATATGAATAGGCTGTGGTCACATCACAACCGTCCAAAAAGGCTTTATTTCAATATTATGATTAGAGCCATGAACCATCTCAAACTGTGAGGAGCACAAGCACTGAGTGGATAGCACTCCTACATCTCAGAAAGAAGGTCCTGGTTTTGAATCCAAGTCGTAACAGGGCCTTTGTGAGTGGAGTTTGTATGTTCTCCTCATGTCTGCGTAGGTTTCCTCCGGGTGCTCCACTTTCCCCTACCACTAAAACATGCAACGTAAATCCTCCAGCTCTGATAGTCCTGACCAAGCCGAGCATCAACATCTGGAGTCGGGTTCCCGGGCGCTGTTACTATGGCGACCACTGCACCTCACAAAGGCCCTAGTGGCATTTGCAGGATAGATCAAATGCAGTGGACAAAGTTCCCTACGGGATAAATAAAGTGCACACACACAGGGACATTCAAAAGCCATTGCGTACTATGCAACTATGAGACAACAAAGTGAAATGTATAATATAATATGCATGCATTGTAAAGTTATTCTCATGTCTAAGTGTCACGGGGCAACTTGACAGCGTGCGTGCGTGAGTGTGCGTGTGTGTGAGTGGTTGCGTGTTTGTGAATGACTGTGACCCAGCCCACTGGAATTGGGATATCAGGGACAGGTGTGCGTGATTGAGAGGCAAGCAGGTGTGGAGAGCGAAGCAGCAGAGCAGGGTGCGGAGAACTGGACAAGCGGGAGGCAGCACTTGGGCACGACGGAGCAGCGCTGTGAGACGGACATCGAGTGGCCAGTGGCAGGACGCACCGTGGGAATCGCGGAGGGGGAGAGTGTAACGAACCCCCTCCTCCCAGCTAAGTACCCGTTTTGTTTCGCTGTGCAGGCAGGGCTACGTGTGGTTTTTTTTGTGCTGTGTGTGTCTGTGTGCCAAAGCTTGACTGCGCAGTACTGGGGTATATTATTCCTGTCACTGACCTGGGAGATTGACGGCCGGTCTGCCCTCTGTCCCAGGCACTGCGACCAGCGTGGGAGAAGCTGAGAGGACGCGCTGTGGAGAAGCGGAGGGGGAGAGTTCGCCATCCCCCTCCTCTCAGCTAAGTGTTGCACATTTTCACTGGGGAGCGTCTTGTGGAGAGCCAAGCAACGCTCAGGCTCCTGTAACCCGGTGTATTGACTGCCGCCCTGTTTGACCCTCCATAGGCCTCCGGGACGTGCCCTGGGACCGGACCACCACCCCAAGCGCCAACTTGGATCTATATTGGGACTATTCAGTTTTTAGAGGGATTCATCTTTGGATTTTTAGTGTAGCCTTTTAGTGACATTTTAAACATTATATATTGTAATAAATTGTTAATTTTTCAACCCCGGTGTATTGTTTTGATAGAGCCACTCCCCTTGGACCATTGGTTTTAAAGATCTAGTTGGGGCATTGCGCCCCCTGGTGACAGAATTTGGCGTTGCTGGCAGGATTTGGTCCTTTCGGGGTTGAGCCTCTATTAAATCAATATGCCAACAGAGGAAAATCGGTCAGGTGCACAGCCTGTTATGATGATGCCCTTCTTTATGGGGGGACCTTGGGCGTCTAAATTTAGTGGGGCTGAATCGTCTATTAAGTTTGGAGAATGGAGGAGCCAAGTAGAGACTATGCTCACATTCCAACCGATGGGGGACTCTCAAAAAGCAGACGGATTTGTTGGAATGCCACTTAATAGGGTTTTTTTCATGTAAACCAGTATAATGCAACTTAATGGGGATTTTTCCATGTAAACCAGTATAATGCAACTTAATATGGGTTTTTACATGTAAACCAGTATAATGCAACTTAATAGGGTTTTTTTTTACATGTAAACCAGTATAATGGAACTTAATAGGGTTTTTTACATGTAAACCAGTATAATGGAACTTAATAGGGGTTTTTACATGTAAACCAGTATAATGGAACTTAATAGGGGTTTTTACATGTAAACCAGTATAATGCAACTTAATAGGGATTTTTACCATGTAAACCAGTATAATGCAACTTAATAGGGATTTTTCCATGTAAACCAGTATAATGCAACTTAATAGGGTTTTTTACATGTAAACCAGTATAATGCAACTTAATGGGGATTTTTCCATGTAAACCAGTATAATGCAACTTAATAGGGGTTTTTACATGTAAACCAGTATAAAGGATAACAGTTTAAAGGATATCAGGAGCTTCAAATACTTCAGGAGTTTCAAAGGATTTTTCAGCTAAATTCCACATTAGATCTGTTCCGCAGTCAATCGCAATGGCTTCAGCCATTGCAAGTTTCTAGTTTACATTGAGTTCTATGGGGAAAATGTCTGGGTAGCCCACGTGAATTTAGTCTGGTTTAGTCTGCAGTACCGCGAGAATCCCCTGAGCACATGGTTCTTCAGCTATAAACTAGCAATACCCTATCCAGTTATTATAATAGATCCATGCTCTATGCACGCACCACTTCCGGGTTTTAGCTACAACCCCGCCTCACTTCCTGTTCGCGGGAAAAGGCTTGAGTTTCACTAGAGTTCAGCAGTTTCCCAAATAATGCTCAAACGATAATTAAACTGTGAGGATACTGGGCATTTTTGGGACACAGCAGTGCTCTTTGATTGTGCCGTCATTGTGTTTTTATAAAGTTTAAAAATCGCTCTGAGTGGCCACAGTCAAAGCTCTACCTCAGAGAGAAAGAACACGCAACACTTTTGGGTCAGTCTCAGCTGAATGTATCAATCTAATCACTAAAAATCGTCACTAAAACTCACCTAAATGTCATGGAATAGCATAGGCAGGAAGTGAACGAGCTGGTCTGCGTTAACAGGAAATGACGTCACGCCTCCCTGTGCATATAGCCCATAGGTTTACTATATGAACGTAATCATTACACTGTAAAAAGTGTTGCTTTAATCAGAAACAAAATAAATACCGTAAGAGGTTCCAGCGGCCTTTTTGAGTACTATCAACTTCAGCTCTTTATTAAGTAATTAAGAATATTACATTCAATTTGACAGAATGCAAAACTATTACTTTGAAGTGATTGATTTACTTAAGGTTCTAACTAATCTAACTAAACTAAGGTTCTATGAATATGTTGCGAAGCCCTTTAGGCTTCGCTAATGCATATCTCTTCGGAAGCATCGCTTCCCGCCCTGAGAAGATCAAACGATCCACCCTCCAATCACCTTCACGTCCTGGAGTAGGTCTGTCCCCTATAAATAGGGTCATGCACCACAGCTTTTCTCCTTTCGAACTCAGCCGAATAAGAGAGGGCAGGCCTGCTGAGCACGAAGCTAAAGGGCTTCCCAGACCAATGTACTCCCAGCAGGCATGAACTCTGGTGATTGGAGCAAACTCGTGACCCTCGTGCTCATACCGCAAACAAGCGGTAGAAACGGAGGTCCTACGAGCCATAGAGAAAGGGATGCAGGGCTACCTCTCCCAAGAGTGCCCGCGCATTCCCCAACCTGCAAAGCAGGAAAGAATTCAGAATAAACCTGGGCAGGCAGCCTCTCCCTCTTTCAACATCGACTCCCACTGACTACTGTCGTTGTGTCCTTGGCAAGACACTTAACCTCTGGGAACACCAGCCACAGTGGGGCGGCTGCGGCTGTAAAGTGCCAAACTGCTGTTGTGTCCTTAGGCAAGACACTTCACCCCCATTGCCTAGAATGAGTCTGGTGTGTGTATGAATGGTTGGTGGTGGTCAGAGGGGCCGATGGCGCATACTGGTTGCCTCGCTTCTGTCAGTGTGCCCCAGGGCAGCTGTGGCTACATTAGTAGTTTATCACCACCGTGTATGGAGTGAATGAATAATGACACATGTGAAGCGTCTTTGAGTGTCCAAAAAAGCGCTATATAAAACCGATGCATTATTATTATTATTATTAAGAGCACCTGAACCCCAGGAATGTAGAGCAGACTGCAGAAGGGTCCAGGCCGCCTCTCCCAAGAGCGCCTATCCCTTCTGCAGAGGTGTCCAGGCCGCCTCTCCCAAGAGCGCCAACACCTCTCCACACAACCCTCCACCTGCAGACCGGTCCCCACCGAGGTTTGTCGAAGGAGGAACTAGGGCCGCCCTGCACTCAAAACCGAATGAGCCACAGAGTCAGAGGCCACATCTAGTAGGTAAAACTGCACAAAGGTCGAGGAGGAGGACCAAGACGCCGCTCTGCAGATCTCCTCCACCGAAGTGCCACGGAACAAAGCCACCGAGTGGAGTGAGCCCTCAACTGGGCCGGAGGCGGCAAGCCCTGAGCTTCATACGCCAAACGAATAGGCCAAGCGCTGTGGAGACAAAGCAGCACCCTGACTACTGGTGCCAAACCCCACAAACAACTGATTCGACCGTCTGAGGTCAGACGTGCGGTCCAAATAGCATGTCACAGCCCTGACCGGGCAGAGACTATGACGCCGCTCTTCACCTCCGAAGCATGCGGAGGCGGGAAAAACGGTCTCACCCTGGTCACCCTAGATCTGAAAGATGACGTGACGACGTTGGGCTGGAATGCCGGGTTAGGCCACAACTCCATCATGCCCTCCCGATCGGGGAGGGACAAACAAGACGGCTGCATGGAAAGGGCGCACAGATCCCCAGACCTCTTGGCCAAAGCCAACGCCAACAACAATGCCGTTTTGTAGGACAAACAGGCAATGGTCGCATTGTCCAGGGGTTCAAATGGAGGCCCCGACAGACCAGCTAAGACCACCTGAAGGTCCCAAGACGGAGCCGACCGCCGGAGGGGAGGCCTGATCCTGCGGGCCCCTCGGAGGAAGCGCTTCACCAAGGGGTGGCTACGCGCAGAGTGGCTACCAAACCCCACGTGCCCTGTGGTAATGGCCGCCACGAACACACCCAGAGTGGCGGCCGCCCTTCCCTTCTCCAGCAAAAACTGGAGAAAAGCCAAGACCTCCTGGATGGGACACGAGGTGGGGTCCAGGCCTCTGTCCACGCACCAAGAGGCGAAGAGTTTCCAGCGAACCTCATACGCTTTGGTGGTGGATGTAGCCCTCCCACCCTGAATAGTAGCGACCACTGAGGGAGGGAGACCAAGGCTCAACAGTTTCCCCCTTTCAGCCTCCAAACCATGAGCCTGTATCCCAGGACAGGGCGTAAGTAAAGGGCTCCTCCTGCCTGTCTCAGAGCATCGGGACGGTCCGGAATGGGCCAAGGCGGAACGAGCGCCATGCTCACCAGGTCCGGATACCACCTGGCTCCCGGGCTGTCTGGCGCCACCACCAGGATGGAGACCCCCTCCCTCTTCACCCTGTAAAGCAGGGCTGCCAAGAGCCAGAGAGGAGGGAAGGCGTAGAGGAGACCGTTGGGCCACGACCTGTGCGCCATAGCGTCCACCCCAAGAGGGGGCTTGTCGCTGGACCTGAGCGAGAACCAGAGTGGGCACTGTGCGTTCTCTGCATTTGCGAAAAGGTCGGCCACCGGTGTTCCGAACCGGAGCCAGACCTCCGCCACGACCGCTGGGGCGAGACCCCACTCGTCCCGCAAGGCCCCGCCCCTGGACATCCTGTCGGCGGCCACGTTGCGCTCGCCTGGGATGTGACGGGCCCTCAGAGAGGCTAGGTGAACGTCCGCCCACAGAAGAACCTCCACTGCCAGCCTGTGAAGGGCGCGGGACCTGGTCCCCCCCTGCCTGTTCAGGTAAGCTGCCACAGTGGTGTTGTCCAATCACAACAATCACATGTTGGCCCTCCAGTCTGGTCACAAAATGGGCCAGCACTAACCGCACCGCCTCCAACTCCAGGAGGTTGATGTGCCCCAAGGGGGAGGACCAAACGCCTTTACCGGGTGGCAGCGTAAGGGCAAGCGCGCTGCACTTACGTGGAGCCGAGCCCCCTTTCCCCAGCACTGTGGACTGAGGGGGGGCCGAGTAGTCCCCCTTAATGCTCTGGATAGTGGGGGGCCCCTGGGAGGAGGGCTGAGCACTAGCTGCGGCCCTGGACCTTTTGCCGGGTGGCAGCACGAGGGCAGGCGTGCTTTGCTTCCGCGGAGCAGTCCCCCTTATTCTTCTGGATCACGCACTCCCTGCCTACGGGAGGCGAAACCACGGGGAGTGCACAGCAAACCTGGAGCCTGCCTCCAACGTGCCACCTCGCAGCGAGAGAGGCTCCAGACGCCCTGTAGAGGAGCAGCGTTGGCCAAACGCTGAGTGAGAGGGAAAAGGGAAAGAAGTTGACTCTTTATGGGAGTAACGGGCCTGCTTGCGGCCTTTATTAAAGTATTTCCCTCCCCTCCCTGTAGCTGGAGAGCCGGGGTGGCTGCCGCGCCTCCGTTGGTCACGAGCTCGCTGTCTCCCGCGCACAGGACCCAGAGAGCCTATAAGCTCTGAACGATGCGGGGGGGGCCGGGCGGTCACGGGTTCTTTGCTCCGCATAACCCGGACGCCGTGGGACGAGGAGCCCGCGGAGGACGGAGATGCTGTGCCAACTGAGCGGAGGTCTTGGACGCTGTTTCCATCCGCTCCACGAGGGTCTGGATGTCCGGTCCAAACAAGGAAGAGGAGGAGAGCGGCAGATCCAGAAGGCGCCGCTTATCAGCGTCCCTGAGAGGTGACAGGCCCAACCAGAGATGGCGGCTGGCGACCTGGGCCGCACACATGGACCTACCACCGTCCACCGCTGAGCCCTGTGCCATGCGGAGGAAGGTGGCCATAGTATCCTCAGCCTCCTCGATCTCCGTCCGGGAGAGCTCCTCCCGACCCCGGATGAGAGTGTCGAGGGAAGCAGCGAGGAGAGTCATGTTGTTCGCCAAAGCCACGACCTGTGTTGCATTGGCATAACATCTGTCGAGCATGGAGATGGTCAGCTTGTCCCGCTCGGAGGGAGCTGCCAGTCCAGACCACGGAGATGAAGCTGGAAGCAGAGACAGGCGCACTCCGTCTTCTATGGGAGGAACGCCTGAAGGCCTAGGCCATGCGTCCACTCCTGCATACACTCCGTACGCCAAGGCCGGGGATTTGGCTGCCATGGGCCTATCCCACTCACGGCTGGCATAATGCAGCAGCGGTTCCATCCTGGGAGCAACCACCTCACGTCTGCGTCGCCGGGGGGAGGGAGCGAGGGACTGTAAATAGTCCACCGGAGGCGAGGCGGGCTGGACCGGCATCGCCATACACATCCTGACCACAGCCGATGCGGTCAGATGCGGCACGGTGGCTGAGTGGATAGCACTCTCGCCTCTCAGCAAGAAGGTCCTGGGTTCAAATCCCGGTCGGACCAGGGCCTTTCTGAGTGGAGTTTGCATGTTCTCCCCGTGTCTGCGTAGGTTTCCTCCGGGTACTCCGGTTTCCCCTACCACTAAAAATATGTCCAATAGTTCTGGCATGCGCTTCCTGTACTGGCCCCACTCCCATCTCTGTGTGGAGTGAGAGACAAATGCCCAAAATTAACAATTGTAAACCGCTTTGAGACTCAGATCTGCAGTGAAAAGGCGGTATATAAATAAAAACTTACTTACTTACTTACTTACTTACTAGATGCGAGAAACGATCCAGGGGATAGCGCTCGCGTTGCCCCACCTCCTGGGAGTAGGAGGACTGGGCATCCTCCTCACAGGGCTCCACCAACTCCCCCTCATCGTAGTCGGACCCTGGTCCAGATCCAGAGCCTGACATCTCCGCTGATCTAGGTGAAGCAGCAGTGTGGGCGGAGGGTGGCACACCATGGGCATCACTCCAGGCGGCGTTGAGTGGCCCGCTGCGCCTGTCACGCTCCTCCCTGGGGAGCGCGAGGCAAGCCACACAGCTGGGGCTTTCCTCCGCTGCATGACGCCAGCCCAGGTCAGCCTGGGAGAGTGCCGCTGGGCACGAGTCGCAGACCCGCAGCCTGACACCGGAGGGTGACAGATCTTCAGGCGCGGCGAACTTGCTTGATGACATCCTTGTTCCACTGAATCGAAGCTTCTCTTAGGCAAGCTGAGAGAGAAAGGAGAAGAGCTGTGGTGCATGACCCTATTTATAGGGGACAGACCTACGCCAGGACGTGAAGGTGATTGGAGGGTGGATCGTTTGATCTTCTCAGGGCGGGAAGCGATGCTTCCGAAGAGATATGCATTAGCGAAGCCTAAAGGGCGAAGCAACATATGAAATAGAACCACAGAGTCTGACTGAGGCTCTGTGTTAGCTCTATGGAACCACAGAGTCTGACTGAGGCTCTGTGTTAGCTCTATAGAACCACAGAGTCTGACTGAGGCTCTGTGTTAGCCCTATGGAACCACAGAGTCTGACTGAGGCTCTGTGTTAGCCCTATGGAACCACAGAGTCTGAATGAGGCTCTGAGTTAGCTCTATAGAACCACACTGAGGCTCTGTGTTAGCTCTATGACAGCTGGACGAGAGAAAATCTGCAGTTAATTATTTAAAAAAAACATGTTCTAAAGCTTTAAAACAAAAAAAAGAAGGTAAAAAGTTTTTGTTTTTTTAAAGATGTTGTTTCCTGTCAAACACCTGTTGGAGCTATTAGTTTTTGTTTGATTTGATTTTGCAAATACCAATCAATCAACACAATTAAATGTTAATCATAGACTACATTATACATACACATTCTTTATACACATGCACAGGGGTTTTCAGAAGTATCTGTTAAGGTTTTCATGACAAAAATACTGTTTTAATGCAAGAAAAAGCAATGAAGAGGATGAAATTATGGATTTAGGTTAAGTTTATGTTTGGGTCACTCACCGCTGATGTTCAGAATTCTTTGTTAGATTTTCAAGCAATTCGAGAGAGTTCTAGTTTGGAAGTTGCTAGCCTAGCGGGACAGAAACAGACTGAACAAGCTGGTCAGGAGGGCCAGCTCCACTCTGGGCTGCTCCCTGGACTCTGTGGAGGAGGTGAGGGACAGGAGGGTGCTAGCCAAAGCCACCTCCATCATGAACAACACCTCCCACCCACTGCACAGGACTGTAGAGGAGCTGAGGAGCTCCTTCAGTGGAAGACTGAGGCACCCTCAGTGTAGGAAGGAGCGCTACCACAGGGCCTTTATCCCCACCGCTGTCAGACTGTACAATAAGTCACTTTAAATGATCACTGTGTGAAAACCTGCACTACTATTGACACTGTTTCCAATTGACACTTGTCACTTTTGTTGCACATAATTATTGTCACTTTATTGTACATAATTATCCTGCATGTAACATGTTTGCACATTTCCTCCTTTTGCACAATCTGAGTGTCTCTATCCATGCCAAATGTGACATGTAAATTTCTCCTATGTGAGATAAATAAAGCACATCTTATCTTATCTTATCTTATCTTAACTGTTACTAGCATAGCTTCGGGAAATCCTTTGGGAACTATTTTATTTTCTGTCATTAAATAAACCTTTCGGCATTCATAAAAGTGGACTGAAATTTATTTTGTGTGTTCTGTTGGTACAAAGCCGTATAATAAGCTTCAGAGCGGAAGCAGACTCCTCCGCTGCTCGTCGGGGTCCGCTTCGCCCTGTTGGTACTTTTTTTCCAATAATGACCTGTGTACTATACATTATCCCTTACACATTCAAGAATCATTTTGTTGACATTTCTTATTTTTATGTGGAGCGTCATACCCTTTTTATTGCTCAGTCACAAGACATAAAGGAACTTTTACAGTGGCAGTAATAGTAAGCCTGACAAATGTCAAATTCAGATCTGAGACACTGGTGCAGCTGTTTGCTCTGAGAAGTGAGGCTTATTGCTGTGATTGTATGTGTTGTTTTGTGTTTTTATGTGATGTGTTTGTCTTATCCTGGACCATGAGTCTGTAATAAAAGTTTGATGACAATAACGAGTAGTAGCAGTAGTAGTAGTAAAAACTGGACCACATTTCTTGAAGCAGGTTCTATTTTAGCAGGTGAGGCCACTTCCCAATCACTGTCACACTTTTGAACCATTTAGTGTGAAAAAGCCCATATAACTTTTTTTGATTAATAAAGTGCACCTTTACCTTAACCTTAGTATAAGTGTGAGGTGTGGTTTTTTTTTTTTGTATTGTTTTTTTTCTCTCGCTCTTGACATACAGGTTGATGTCATCCATGTAGAGGCGGTGACTGATCTTTGCTCCGTTCCTGAAGGAATATCCATAGCCAGTCTGGTCGATTTTTTTGGCTTAGAGGGTTGAGGCCTATATGCAGAACAGCAGTGGGGACAGAGTATCTCCTTTCCATGATCCATGAGTACGGTATTGAGTCGTAGGATCAGGACCATTCGCCCTTCTGCCTTTCTGGGTGAGTCCCATCTCTCAGCAGCTGGTTCATTTGTGCTGCTAGGCGCTCATGGAGTGATGTGAGTGTCCTTAGCCAGTAGGCATGGACCATATTAGGGCCAGGTACTGTCCAGTTTTTCATAATCTTTCTCGGATGTCTGCCTCTGTAATGAGTGTGGAAATAACTTCTGTGATGGTAACTGAGTTCTGTTCTGGGAGGTGGCTGTGCTCCTCTCTCAGGGACACCAGCCATTGTGCACTGCTGTTATGTGCTGCTTCCTTCTCCCATATGTTCTTCCTCCAGAACTGTTCGGTTTCCAGCCTTGGTGGGTCTGCTCCCCTGTTGCTACCCTGTATGTAATGTCTATGTAATTGTATCTATGTAATTGTCTTTAACAGATCGCTGCATTTAAACTCCTCCGCATGATGACAGAAGCACCACAGCCACCTACAGACCCAAAACCAGTAAGTTCACTAGAATTCCAAAAGAACTCAATTCAATTTCATTCACTTATTTTTGTAAAGGCTTCAATCACAACAGTAGTTACAAAACCGTTGAATTCACCAACATAGATCAGAGAATCAAACAGTTCAAACAGAAGAAATGCAACAATAAAAAACACAGATATTGGTCCACAGGGGGCAGCTGACCAATGTCCATAAATGTTGATAAATATCAACATTTAAAAGTAAAAGTAGTTTACTTTTATTCGTTTACTGGCACATTTCTTTGAGCAAAACTAGAATCACACTAGAAATGTACACAAACTGACATCAGAAAAATGAAAATGATTTTTCTACGAAAATAGAAAAAAACTAAAAGATTAAAGACAATGCCAATAATGCTAATGCACATAAAAATAATTGGGTTCGTACAGTGCTTTAATTGGATGATCAAAGATGCCCTGGGGCACACTGACAGAAGCGAGGCAACGAGTATGTGCGAACAGGTTCGTACAGGACAGTACGAACCAGGCCCTGCCTGCTTAGCTTCCTAGGTCTGACGGAATCTGGCTTTCAGGATAAAAAAAAAAATTCAAAAAGACAAAGGAATATCACACAAGTCAAGCAGTATTCATTGTCCCTGTAACAAACAAATAAATAACAATACATTTCTTGTGCAGGAGGATGTTCATCATTTTGACTATAGACACGTGGGAGATTCCAAGAAAGCCAGAGTTAAGGCCAGAGACGAGCAGCTGAGAGGCAACCCTGAATGGCTATATGAGCACGACGAAAGAGATGGAGTCATTAGTTCTCTCATCTTCTGCACACTTCACAGAGAAGAATGGATAGACGCGATATGCGAGTACTATCCAGGAGCAGTCAGAGGGAAGACAAAGAAAGGAGACACCAAGATTAATCTAGGAAAAAAACGTGGCTCGATCATCGTTTTCGAAAGTGGAAAGTTTTTAATTTTGGGAAGCTGCGACTTGGAATATTTCAAAGAGGGTTTTGAAGACATGAAAAAAGATGCAATGAGTAGAGTGAACAACACAGAAACAGCAGATGATGATTGTGACATGGCAGAAGCACCACAAACCTCCACAAACTCAAAACCAGTAAGTTTACTGCCAACTCCAAAAGAATTACACTTGAAATTAACATAAACTGACAACAGATAAAGAAAATGTAATATTTAAGGAAATACTGACTAAAACTAAAGGATTGTTTCCTTTATTTTTCTTATGTTTGTTCAACAAAAAGAGTCTTGTAAAAGTAAAACATTGTGAACAAATCAGACCAGAACATTCTATCTTCATCTTGTAATAAAACATGTTATCTTTGCATACTTAGCCCTCTGAGTCACCATAAGACGCTTTGTGCGGAGGGTGGTCCTCCTTCCATCAGTCGTCCCAAAGGCAGCTATGGCTATTGTTATAGTTTTTCATTGTGTGTGGAGTAAATTAAAATCTACTCCACTTTATCTGTTTACCACATTTTGTAACAGTTTCCTGAAGTGCTGCACAAACATTTTAGTAATAATGATGTTCGGTTTTATATAGTGCTTTTTGGGACACTATATGGAGTAAAAGGATAATCACATGTCAATAAAGAAAGTAGCTATGAATTCATAATATATAAATTAAAAATGTAAAGAAATAAGCCTATGAATAGATACTAATCACATAAAATATTCAAATAGATACAAAAGAATACGTAATAGGACAAAAGGAGGACCACAGAACTCAAGCAGTCTCTTTGAAGGCCAAGAAAGTGCTACACATAAATTCTCTCCTCTCTCTTGAAATGTTCAATAATATGCACTGTTCCTGCAACAAACAAATGTATGAAAATAAATCTCTCATGCAGGAGGTGGTTCACGAATTTGACTTTACAAATGTCAGAAATGGCAAGAAACCCCGAACTAAGGCCAGAGGCGAGCAGCTGAGAGTCAACCCTGATCGGCTTTACAAACAGGATGCAAGACATGGAGTCATTGGTTCACTCATCTTCTACACAGAACACAGAGAAGAATGGATAGCCTCGATACGCGGGTACTATCGAGGAACGGTCAGAGAGAAGACACAGAAAGGGGACACCAATATTAAACTAGGAAAAGGAAGAGGCTCGATCATCGCTTACAAAAATGGAACATTTTTCATGTCTGGAAGACTTGGCATGGCCTTGTTCATACAGAAATTTGGAGCCATGAAAAGAGATGTGATGATTAGAGTGAAGCAGAATTTAAACAGACAAGCACCACAGTCCTCTACAGAGCCAAAACCAGTAAGTACACTGTCAATTCTAAAAGAACTACACTTGAAAGGAAATCAAACAGACAACATATAAAGAAAAATAATTATTTAATTAAACGTAAAACTAAAAGATTATTTCCTCATAAATAACACATCTTGGTTAAAAGTAAAATATTGTGAACAAATCAGATCAGAACATTTTATCTTTACCTTGTAATAAGACATATAATCTTTGCATACTTAGCCATCTGAGTCAAAAAGGTAGCTATGGCTATTGTTATAGTTAACCACTATAAAAGTAAATAAAAGTAAATAAAAACTCTTTTCATCACATTTTGGAACCAAACATTTACCAAAGTGCTGCACAAAGATATAATAACAAAGCATTCACTCACACGTCGTTCTTTTTTAATTAGATTTGGATATTCTGCTTATGTGTCTTAGTATAGTGGTTGTAACATTAAAATAAATGTGGTGGTGGTTCGTTTTTTTTCCCTTGTTGCAATGAAAATGCAAATATATAAACCGTAATTGTCTTTTTCAGATCACCGCATTTAAACTCCTCAGCGAGATGGAAGAAGAAGTAAGTAAACTTGAATTCCATTGGTGTAAATGATTATCCATCTGTTTATCACACTTTGTAACCAAACAGTTTCCAAAGTGCTTCAACAAAACAATAACTCACACCGCTGCCACAAAAATAAGAAACAACAAATAGAAAATATTCAAATAGATACAAAAAAATTCATAAAAGGACAACAGAGGATCGCACAACTCATGGAGCGTTGCTGACACTACGAAAGCCAAGAAAGTGTTATATGCATAAATTCATCTCTCTTGAAATGTTTTTGCACTGTCCTTGTAACCAACAAATAAATAAACATACAATAAATCTCTCATGCAGGTTCTTCAATTTGACTTTAAAGAAGTCCAAAAAAAACCAGAAGCCCGACTTAAGGCCAGAGACGACCAGCTGAGAGCCAATACTGATCGCCTTTACGAGAACATCAGAAGACGTGGAGAGATCTCCTCAGTCATATTCTACACAAAACACACAAAAGAATGGGAAGGTACGATACTAAAGCACAATCCAGAAGCGAAGAAGAAAGGCAACAAAATAGATCTAGGATGGTGCTTAATCACGATGCACGATAATGGAAACATTGAGATACTGGTACAATACAACTTGGAAAAGGTCCTGCAGATGTTTGAAGACTTAAAAAAAGATGTCCCGACTGAAGACATGAGCAAGATGTGCCTTGAGGAGAAGAAGGAGGATTGTGAACCTACTAGAAGCAGAGCAGAAAGAGGAGGGGGAAGCGGAAGAGGGGGACGCGGAGGAGGAGGCAGACGAGTAAAAAGTAGATGTGAAAGGGACGACGAGGTTGTTAAAGAACCTAATGAGGATGAGGAAGAGGAAGAGGATAAGAGGATGAGGAGGAGGAAGAGGATGAGGAAGATTTGAAGAAAGAGGAGAAGAAATAGGAAGGGGTGGAGCGGGGGGAGGACAGGGAGGGTGAGGAAGAAGAGCAGAAGGATGAGGAGAAGGTAAGGAAAGGGCAGACGCTGAAAAGGGGAAGAGGAGGAGGAGGAGAGGAAAGGGTGGACGATGAAGAGAAGGAGGGGGGAAGGGGATAGGGTGGAAAGCGAGGAGGATAACAGAAGAAAAGAAGGAAAAAGAAGGAAAAGGAGGAAGAGGAGGAGATAAGATCATCTGTGGCTGCAGGCGGCTCTCTGCTCCTGGTGCAGACGGCTTCGTGGATGACACTTCTTCAGCTGTTTACTTTGACACCTGGTCTGTAAAATAAAACACCCTTTTCATGACTCCATCTATTTTACTCATTTGAAGTGACTTTGTGTGGGAGTGATGTGGTTGTCAATCAATGTGATTGATTGATTTATAAGGAGGATTCAGAACTTCCTAAAAGTGGAGGAGGAGGAAGTAGGGCTGGGCAATAAATCGAATTTAGGCAATTAATCGGCTTTTGAAAAAATCAAATTTGTGAAAAATGTGAAAATTGTGAAATCGAATAAAGGTTATTGTGAGAGTTCCAGCAGCACTTTTATAATACGTATTGGGGGAAACAAATAAAACATAGTTTTGAGACTTAAATATTGAGCGGAAAGATCAAAAAATATTTTTAAGGGCAAAGTCTGTCTTCGTTGATTTTAATGAAAAACAATTTAAAATCGAAATCGTCCAAAGCAGGATTTTTTTTATTTATTTTACTCTTTTGCCATATCGCCCAGCCCTAGGAGGAAGTGGAGGAAGAGGGAATGCTTTCATTGCTTTGATTTTCTTCTTCTGTGAGGTCATAGCATGACTTTAAAGCTACACTGCTCAACTTTTTATGTGTGCTACATACTTGTTGCCATGGAGATGTGATTGCTTTGCTTGGAATGTCTCTTATGCCCTGTTTCCACAAGCCTTACTCAGCTAGGCTCTACTCTACTCCTTTTTAAAAGCCTTGTGTGATTTTATGTTTTTTGTTTTTTTATATCTTAACCCTTTAATGTTCACTCCTTGAAGAAAAGCAATCTACATTTTTCTTTTTTTGGATTTTCTAAAATGTAGGAGCACTAACAACAAAATTATTCCTTTTCTGAACCCCTATATTTCTAATCAAAGACCCAAATGGTTCAGATGCAGTTTGATTTCACAGTGACAATTGTCTGTTTTATTTGTTTTTTTCTGTACTTTGTCTTTTTTCTGTAATTTGTCTGTGCACACTGGAGACTTTTGCTAATATATTCCAATGTGGTGTTTTTATACTGCAAATGGCAAATAAAATGAATCTGAATCTGAATCTGATAGTAAACTGATTTGAAATATTGGTGTGATCCCAATGGTTGTTTAATTCTCTGTGTGACTTCAGTGTGTATGAAGCACCTTGTATAGGAATATGCTCTACAAATAAGGGTCAGAGGGAAGAGCACCCAGACAGAGGCTCCGTTAGAGGAAAAGGACGTCCAAAAGTTGTTCTGAAGTCAGGAACCACAGAGTCTGACTGAGGCTCTGTGTTAGCTCTATAGAACCACAGAGTCTGACTGAGGCTCTGTGTTAGCTCTATAGAACCACAGAGTCTGACTGAGGCTCTGTGTTAGCTCTATCGAACCACAGAGTCTGACTGAGGCTCTGTGTTAGCTCTATAGAACCACAGAGTCTGACTGAGGCTCTGTGTTAGCTCTATAGAACCACAGAGTCTGACTGAGGCTCTGTGTCTATAGAACCACAGAGTCTGACTGAGGCTCTGTGTTAGCTCTATAGAACCACAGAGTCTGACTGAGGCTCTGTGTTAGCTCTATAGAACCACAGAGTCTGACTGAGGCTCTGTGTTAGCTCTATAGAACCACAGAGTCTGACTGAGGCTCTGTGTTAGCTCTATAGAACCACAGAGTCTGACTGATGCTCTGTGTTAGCTCTATAGAACCACAGATTCTGACTGAGGCTCTGTGTTAGCTCTATAGAACCACAGAGTCTGACTGATGCTCTGTGTCTATAGAACCACAGAGTCTGACTGAGGCTCTGTGTCTATAGAAACACAGAGTCTGACTGAGGCTCTGTGTTAGCTCTATAGAACCACAGAGTCTGACTGATGCTCTGTGTCTATAGAACCACAGAGTCTGACTGATGCTCTGTGTCTATAGAACCACAGAGTCTGACTGAGGCTCTGTGTTAGCTCTATAGAACCACAGAGTCTGACTGATGCTCTGTGTTAGCTCTATAGAACCACAGATTCTGACTGAGGCTCTGTGTTAGCTCTATAGAACCACAGAGTCTGACTGATGCTCTGTGTCTATAGAACCACACTAAGGCTCTGTGTTAACAACATTTTCCGTGTGCTAAAGCTTTAAAACAAAAAATAAGTTTAAACGTTTTTGTTTTTTGATGATGTCACAATAATGTTTCCTGTCAAACACCTTATGTTGGAGCTACAGTATTTGTCAAATTTTCAAATTTTTGTTGGGTTTGATTTTGACGAATTTCAATTGTGTTTTAATTTTAATTGTGTTAATGATTGCAGATTTGAGTTTGTTTGGTCACAAGGTTAAAGAAATGGTGAGAGGGTGAAGTTTGCTTGGACAATAAACTAAATGTCCCTTTTTGTTTGGACATTTCATTTCTCTCCACTGTGTAAAGCCATCCTGACACACACTAAAGCGGCTTTTGATTTCTTTCTAATGCCAACTGCCATTACAGCATGATTTCCTGGTTGTACAGGACTGACTTTAGGGTCATCAGTGAAGTTTGAGACCATGTGGTAAAAGATGCAAAAATCAATATATTATCAGCTTAATAAGACAGTTCTCTTCCAATAACTTTGACCTTTTTACACACACTGACACCTGGATTCAGAACTTTTGATTTTCATTATTATGTCAAGAATGATTCCTATGAGTACATGTCCTCTTTCACATCTTCAGTTAATACATAATCTATACACTTACCTGAAACAAATTATATGATGGTTGTGATTTAATAGAGAAACATCATTAAACTGTTAATTGGGATTGCTGATGCCAGGTCGACATCTTTACTAAAGCTTCTGTCAACTGCTGCCACCTAGAGTCAAAACGTTGCAGCTCACATCCAGACTAGAACCAGGAAGGAAATCAAGTAAATCAGACCAGTTCTCAGGTCTCTGTTTCCTGTGGATCAGAGAATAGACTTTAAATCAGCTCTGCTTGTTACAAGTCTCTCCATGGCCTCACACTCTGGAGCACAGGGACTGGATCCTGCTGGTGCCCAGAGTCAGGACCAAACATAGTGGGAGGCTGCATTTCAGATTCATGCAGCTAACATCCGGAACAGGTTTCCTGAAAATGTGAGACAGGCTTCTTCTCTGACAATGTTCAAATCCAGTTTAAAAATCGGTCTGTTTAGCTGTGCACACTGAGGGATTTTATCTTCTTCTATCTTCTTCTTATCTACTCTTTTTAATATACTGTGATAATTTATCTAATGCCTTGTGTGATTGTTTACATCTTGTTTTCAGCACTTTGAGTTGCCTTGTTTATGAACTATGCTATACAAATAAACTTGCCCTGCCTCGAGCGGAAGTCTTTACAGGCATGTGAATAACTGTCATCTTTCACCATGGCGACAGTTTGGGAGGTTATTTATACACATGGCAAACAACAATGGCCCCAACAAGGAACCTTTGGCCTCAAGTCAAGGGCACATGTTTTTAGCTCCACTCCCTCTGCTCTGTACTTAGAGCTGTGTCAGGGGAATGGACAGCTCTGCGTTGCTATTGGCTGATTCCAAGACAACTCCCACTGAGCCAACGGGGCGTGAGTGATGGTTCTTCGTCCAATCAGCTTTCGGTATATACCCAGCGCCCCTTGTCATGTGATCACAGCTCTTAGAATGAATGATGGCTGTTCCCCTGTGTGTTTTTACTATGGGGCCAAACATGTGCTTTTGGTTTCAGATCATTCCACAATAAGGCCTTATGTCACCAGGGGGCGCAATGCCCCAACTAGATCTTTAAAACCAATGGTCCAAGGGGAGTGGCTCTATCAAAACAATACACCGGGGTTGAAAAATTAACAATTTATTACAATATATAATGTTTAAAATGTCACTAAAAGGCTACACTAAAAATCCAAAGATGAATCCCTCTAAAAACTGAATAGTCCAATATAGATCCAAGTGGGCGCTTGGGGTGGTGGTCCGGTCCCAGGGCACGTCCCGGAGGCCTATGGAGGGTCAAACAGGGCGGCAGTCAATACACCGGGTTACAGGAGCCTGAGCGTTGCTTGGCTCTCCACAAGACGCTCCCAGTGAAAATGTGCAACACTTAGCTGAGAGGAGGGGGATGGCGAACTCTCCCCCTCCGCTTCTCCACAGCGCGTCCTCTCAGCTTCTCCCACGCTGGTCGCAGTGCCTGGGACAGAGGGCAGACCGGCCGTCAATCTCCCAGGTCAGTGACAGGAATAATATACCCCAGTACTGCGCAGTCAGGCTTTGGCACACAGACACACACAGCACAAAAACCACACGTAGCCCTGCCTGCACAGCGAAACAAAACGGGTACTTAGCTGGGAGGAGGGGGTTCGTTACACTCTCCCCCTCCGCGATTCCCACGGTGCGTCCTGCCACTGGCCACTCGATGTCCGTCTCACAGCGCTGCTCCGTCGTGCCCAAGTGCTGCCTCCCGCTTGTCCAGTTCTCCGCACCCTGCTCTGCTGCTTCGCTCTCCACACCTGCTTGCCTCTCAATCACGCACACCTGTCCCTGATATCCCAATTCCAGTGGGCTGGGTCACAGTCATTCAAAAACACGCAACCACTCACACACACGCACACTCACGCACGCACGCTGTCAAGTTGCCCCGTGACACCCTCCCCCTCCAAACTGTTCTAGTCCCTAGAACACACATACAAGGGTCAGTTCAGGTATCTTTGGGGCCGAGCCCCCAAATTGGCTCTCTGGGACCTCCTCGGCTCTGGCGGTGGTACAGGTCCCTCCTCGACGACTTCCCCCACAGGTAGCAAAAGCCCCCACATTGATGCCGGAGGCTCACTTGAGGGCGCTGTTGTAGCCTCCGGGGCGGTGTAGTAGAGGCATGGCCGGAGATTGTTGCGATGAATCACCCGTTCAGGGCCATCCTTACCCTCCGGGCGAATTTTGTAGACTGGGCGCTCTGGGTGGAGCCTACAAACTATAACAAAGGGTCTTTTCTCCCAGCGATCACTTAGTTTCCCTGCCTGGCGCCTGCGGTGGTCACGCACCAGAACTCGCTCTCCAGGCAAGAGCGGGACTTCTTTGGCAGAACGATCATAAAGCCTCTTACTTTTCTGTCCAGCCTGTTTGAGACAATCAAATGTTCTCTTATAGGCATAAGCCAGCTGCTCCTGATGCTTTGCTACCCAGTCTGTAGTGTCCATGGGAACCTGTACTCTCATACCTCCAGACAACAAATCTACTGGAGTCCTCATATGCCGACCGAACATCAAAAAGGCGGGTGCATAGCCTGTCGATGCATGGACAGTGTTATTATAGGCCTGGATTAATCCAGGCAGATACTCTGCCCACCTTTGATGTTTTTCTACCTCTAGGGTACCCAGGAGATTTAGCACTGTCTGGTTGAGCTCTTGTCTGCAATTGAAGAACTGAGTCCTCAATGTGGAAACATGTGTGTTGTCCCCATACAGGGCAGACAATATACCAAAGATCTTAGCGGGTGTATTTCTTTCAGTGCGGTCTAGGGTGAGAACTTCTCGTTTGGCCTCTCCGTCCAAAAGTCCAAAAATAAAGTCTGCTTTTTGAGAGATCTCTCTCAACAACAACAACAGGAGGAGGAAAAGAGAGAGAGGAAAAAAAGAGAGAGATCTCTCTCTCAACAACAACAACGGAGGAGGAGGAAAAGAGAGAGATCTCTTACTTTTCTGTCCAGCCTGTTTGAGACAATCAAATGTTCTCTTATAGGCATAAGCCAGCTGCTCCTGATCTTTGCTCCCAACACTCTCACCTCCAACAACAAATCTACTGGAGTCCTCATATGCCGACCGAGTCGATGCATGGACAAGTTATTAGAGGCCTGGAGAATCCAGGCAGATACTCTCCCAGGAGATTTAGCACTGTCTGGTT